ATTAATCTGAGTGTGTGGTCTTGACTTATTGATGAATTCACTCGTCGTTCTACAGTGAAACTTTCTGCAGATGATTCGATACGATTTAGCTAGCACCAAAACGAGACAAGTACATTCCGTTCAATTGTCTTTCTATTTTGATTATTTGCAAACAAATACGGTGTTGACAAAGTGAGTAACAAGAACGAACAAGACAATGGATATGATAACAGACAGTTAACAAGGACAAACGATGGTGCATGTCTTCACTTACACCCTTTTACAGTCAATCTTACATTTCAATCGTAACGGAAGTATTACCACTTGTTTCGTCTAGGCAAGACTTTTATTGGACTGTCATAACCGCTTACGATCGACTGTCCCTTGTAGGGGGCATCGCATTGATGGCTATAGAGTGAAACAATAACGCCTTATTCGTGAAAACGTTTTTTTTTTGTTTAAATGAGGACAGTCCAGATGACAGTAAGACGAAGAGAAGAACCTACTAAGATCGTCATTAAACGTGTGAATATTGCTCGCAAAAATCTCTAGTTTTTTTAAGCACAATGCCCGTTCTCAATATGTCACTATTTTCTGTGTATCAAAATAGGAATTTTGAATAGTATCATTGGTGTGAATCAACTTTGTATATTTTAAACTGATCTAAAAAATATTCAGGTGTTATCAAAAAGTGTTATTTGGTAATAGTTTTTGATACAGCAACAGCGGTTATTTTGACTTTTTCCTTTCATAAATAATTGAAGATGCTTCAAAAAAAATCATCAGAATGAATTCATAGTGAGCATTACCGAGCTATCCCAAGCGAAAAACTATCAAATTTATACTTCATCTGGGTGAAAAATTTTTGATCTCACCCGGCAGTTCTGACCATCGTGTCAGCATATGAAGGGTCTATAATCTCTTCTAGTATGGTTACTTTCTCCTGTCGGTCGTTAAGGGCTAAGCGATGGCAGACGTTACATGCATCGAGAATACCAGGGTAGGGATATCTTGGTAGTTGAAAACCGAATACAAGATTTCTACTGGTAATGCAAGAGAAGTTGTTTTTGAACTATTCGACATTGATAAGAGTTGCTGAGACGTGTAATTTTAATCGAAAGTGGACTAGATACTTTTCTTTTAATTAATTTTATTTCACCATTATAGAATGTGCTTATGAAATTGCCCTTGAATTTTTCTTATAAGTTCTGCTGTTCGTAATGTAAAGTCATATGGTTATTCTATTTCCATGATTTCTCTTTCTGTTGAAATTAAATGAGCAAAGAATCCAATACGAGTCCGAATGTTGTCTGTATTTCAAAAATGAGACAAATCGACATGGACGACGAGATCGTCTATTTTAAACCTGCCTTCAAAGTTCAACCTATATTGAAATAATGCACATTATGTTTACTTGGTATTACAGTTGTTCAAATTTAAACACATTCTATCTACTTTGAATAAATTATAAAAACATTCTCAGAGTCAACTATATGTGCGAACTGTTGATCGGATGCGATCTTATGATTCAAATTAAGAAGTGCCGTCATTTTCGTCGTATTTTTCAATTTGATCCATTGTCTATCGAGTGGAATAGAATATGTTTCTAATTGACCTAGAAATGGACCAATACACTTGTACTTGATTTCAATTGGTTGTTTCAATTTATGAATGGGTAATTTTTCGATTTCATACTCGAGGAAATCGATTCATATATTCTTATTTTCAAATCACTGAACGAATATATGCGTGAGAAAAAGCGAAGTGACGAGTATGATCAACGAGAAATATCAGTTGATGTAAGTTTCAACATCGAATATATTGCTAACTAGCGAAAGACACTATTTTTGTATTTTAAGAAAGAAGCAGATGTTCTGCGGCAAGCTGTTGAGTCCGAGTATACAACTTTATACCGTCAAATACATAAAACGGCGCAAAAAACCGCTCGGTAAGAAATTTCTTATCCAACTTTCCCATATACAAAATAAATACAGATTAGCGAATTTTCATGCCGTATATATGTATTATTTGTTTCAGTCGTATTCTTCGACATGTAGTTCAACCATCTGCACCACAAGCATTAACTATCTCTATTCCTACATTAACGAATGAATTAAATAGCGATACCGATGATAATGACATTACTGTTTCAGTGACAGTAGCAGATGGTACAAATAAAAATCCACACAAGGATTCAACTATACCAATAGTTATGCCAACACTTCCTGTCGTTCGAGAATTGATCTCGTACGTGCCAACAACAAGAAATCTTGCCACACGTGGTCATCTTATTGGTATACCATACTTGGGAGATAAATTTGATGCTGAAGATCAACGATTAATCAATTCGATTTCGATCGAACCATCCAAATCACAGAAATTAACACGAAGTAGGAAATTTCCTAATTTGTTTTTCATATCTTTTCAAATGATCTTCATTAGAGAAAAAACTCGATGAACAATCATTAGAAGCTTTGTATCGGTCACTTCGCTCGAATCATCTATGGATTAATTGTTCGAATGAACAACTTATTGATGCAATACTTTGTAAGAGGACCGATGATGAAATAATCTGATGTAACATGTTCGTTTCTCTCTGCAGATTATCATCGTGACTCAACACCGCGAGCCAAACTTTTGGCATTAGCCCATGAAAATGATTGCTATCTCAATGAAAAACAACAAAATCATACGAATATTGATCAAGATGATACGCTAGATATGGATATTGATGAACTTGTCATCAAACCGTGGTGCTCTCGATTTTGTCCTCGATGTTATACTTATAAGTAACAGTTCATTGTCCGTAAGAATTTAATAGAAAGTTTTGTTTCTAGCTGTTTACTACATAAGGAAGGTCCAACGCATTTACCATTACCAAAGAAGTTTTCTCTTACGTTCGATAACCAAACAGAATCTTGCGGTTCTACATGCTATAAACTTCAACGTGACCATCTCAAACGACCACTATCACCATCAACTTCCCCAACTGAATCGACAACGTCACCTGATAATAATAATAGGAAACGTCAACGGCGAAGTTCTTCCAATCAAACCTCTGTAATGTCAGATGAAAATCTTCATAATGAAAATCCTCTCGATATAAACGTCCGATCGACTGATGTACAAAAACGAATCTCATCACATTATTTAACACGAATTGAAAATCAGATGGATAATCAACTACTTCCAGCGATATCCGTCGAGAACAACTGGACACTAACTGATCAAAGTTTATTTCGTTTATTTTATTTTCTCTTCGACGGTGATTTATGTTCATTAAAATACATGTTTCAAAGCAATCACACATGTCAGCAATTGTATGAAGAATTTATTCGCGATTCCAAATATTTTTCCGAACGCATATCATCAACAGATGGTTCACCCTGTTTAATACGTCGTCCATACCGACGACGTATGCCAGAAGGCACCACGCGTGCCTTTCTTCTCTATATCAAACGAACTCTCAATCGACCCAATGATAATCACAATCAAAAGAATACGGCAACAACCCTGAAACCATCGTATCAACCTTGTTTACATGATGGCCCGTGTACGGTCGACAATCCTCAATGTTGTTGCATGAAAATGGGCACATTTTGCGAAAAATTTTGCAATTGTGCTAGCGATTGTCCACATCGGTTTCCTGGCTGTGCCTGCAAAGGATCGTGTCTATTTAATAGTTGTTTATGTAGTGCTGAAGGGCGTGAATGTGATCCTGATTTATGTCATAATTGTGGAGCATCATTATTCTTCGATCTATTAAGTCCTCCGATCAAACAGTAAGTTACTTGTTGCTATTATAGACTATAGATTCATTGATCCTATCGTTTATATCGAATGATGATTATCTAGGGAAACCGGTGCGTCTCCATCAGTGTCGGAAACAACAGAAGAAAAATCTTTTTCAAAAGCATCTGTTCGAAATGTTCGATCACGAACTCTTTGTAATTTGCCAGCTCGATCACAAACTCTCCGATCGTGTCGTAACAATGAGACAACGTATAGGACAATTTCGAAACAAAGACGACGCGCCAATTCACGAGCATCGCTAAATTCGCTTCCAACTCCATCGTTACCGGCGATTTCATGTGCAAATATATCTTTACAACGGAAAGTTCATAAACAAATTCTTGTTGCTGAATCCGATAGTAATACTAGTTGACATTTGTATCTCTTCTTCGAACATTCGATCTTTTAGTTGCTGGTTATGGAGCATTTCTCGGCTCACCAGTTGCCTATCCTGGTGAATTAATCGCTGAGTATACAGGTGAGATCATCTCAGAGGAAGAAGCCGACCGACGTGGTCGACTTTACGACAAACGCGCATGTTCTTATTTATTTAATCTCGATATGCAACATTGTATTGATGCTCGACAATTTGGCAATAAATTAAGGTTAGTTATACATTGATTTTTCCTTGTGCACCACGCCTTCTCGGCACATCATCTTCCTCTTTAGATTTGCGAATCATTCTTCGAAACCGAATTGTGTACCCAAAATAAAACTAGTCAATGGTAATTCGTATTCATCGGCTGAGAACATGTTTTGTAAATCTTCTTTTCCAGGCGACTATCGTATAGGTATCTACGCAAAAGAAGTGATTTTTCAAGGCGATGAATTATTTTTCGAATACATGTATGACGCTCATCAACGTCAACAATTTATCAATAACGAACGAGTTGATGAAGCCGAACAAGAGAATGTCACAGTTTTAACACGATATGCGGATAATTTTATGCTAGTCCAACCATCAATTGATTGAAGTCAGACTTTTTTATGTCAGATATTTCCAATATAGTCAACTTTTGTGTACCTCTCTCTATGCATTAGTTTTTATTTTGTTAAAAACGACAAAATTGAACGCATTTTTTTCCTTCAAACATGTTCATGATCTATTTTTCTTGTTCCTTATTGTTACAACCAAATTAAATAAAACAATTGATGAAATTAGACTTGACTTGATTTGTTTTTTTCTTCGATTTAAAACTATCTATATTCTGATTGTCGTCTAGAATAAAATGCCACTCATTGTCATTTCCGGTGGTCCATGTTCGGGCAAATCAATGCGAGCCCAAGAGCTGCTTGACTATTTCCAGACAAAATCAATGCCCGTACAGATTATTACGGATAACAATCTGGACCGAAACGCAGTTTACGCAGGTTTTCAATCAACTCTCTCTCTGTCTCTCTCGTTCATTCAAGTTGTTTTTCTTCTCTGAAAAAAATAGATAACACGCTCGAAAAACAAGCACGAAGCGATTTGAAAGCTGAAACACAAAGGTAGAACTATCCTTCTCGTATTAATCTTACGCTGATGCTAAGCTTTCAGATTAGTAACAAAAACGGATTTGGTGATTTTAGACGCTTTGAATTATATAAAAGGTAATACACCTTGTCAACTAGTATTCATTAGGAACGTTCCTAGCTGCATATGCAATCCTAGTTACGCTTTACATCAGATATAATGGAAATCTCAGACAATAGAGTTGGTCTTAACGATGATATATCATGATAGAAAAGAAAAGGAAATAAATGATGGATGTCACACTCTAGCTTGTTTCTTTTATCTCGACATGAATATGCAAATTTTCCGGTTTAACCTCTCGTGACAAATTGTCAAGATATTTATAGATGTCTAACACAAACGAAGAAAAAACTCTTTTTTTGACTTTCCAGGCTATCGTTATGAACTTTATTGCATAACTAAACTCTATCAAACCGTTCAATGCACAGTAAGTTCAGCAATCGATTTATTTCTGATCGATTGTCTTTCATAACTGAAGATCTACTGTAATACTCCTGCACACGTTGCACGTGAATGGAATACAGCTAACCGTCGATATGATCCATCTATGTAAGAACATGACGTGTATGCAGAGAATTGTTTAAATTTTGTTTCTTTTGAATAGTTTTGATGCATTAGTGCAACGTTACGAACCGCCAGAAGGTCGAAATCGTTGGGATGCACCATTATTTGAAATCACCCCGGAGGATCAATTACCACTAGAACAAATTGCAGATTATCTGGCAAATAAACGCCCACCACCTCCCAACAAATCAACAGTTAACGTAAATTGTTCGCTCAATGGAAACTCTATGGTAGTTGACATTGTTTCTTTCATGTTAGTTACCCATCTCGGACACAAATTTCCTACACGATGTTGATCGAGTAACGCAGGATGTCATCGATGTATGTTGTTCGTTATAGTCAACGATTGATTTCATTCATTTGTTCATTCTAGTCAATTGTTCAACAAAGTAAAATGGCTGTGCTCGGTCAGCAGTTTTCAATTCCAGGAACAACAGAAAAAGTAGAGAGAAAGAGAGAGAAAGAAAAAACATTTTCTTTTCGTTTAATTTTAGATAAACTGGAACCAAAATCATTCGGTTTCGGATCTACGTCGAATTCGTCAACAATATTTAAAATTCATCAAGACACATCCACCATCAAAGGACAATACAAATGTAACAGCCATGTTCGTTCAGTTTCTTAATAACAATCTTTGTTAAGAATCTTTTTTCTCTTTCTTCTGCTCGTTCTCGATAATAAAAACACACACATAGACACGAATCACTAACATGACACGTCACTCTTATTATCAATGAATCATTATTTCTCTTTTTTCCACAGATGTGTTTTTACTCAACATCATCTAACGTGACACTTTTTCTTTAACAGCCGGCTTTTTTCCTTTTGATTTACTACTACTCTCCAATGTCGCTTTCCTTCCTACATTTCTAATTAAATCAAACAACTATCTATTAATTAAGAATGAGAGATTGCTCAAGCGAAAATATTATCTGCCAAATAGCGTATTTAATTTTTCATTTAAGATGGAGACAATGTTAAAGCATCCATACTCTTTGTCTCTTGTCGAAAGGCAAAAAAATGCTATCGACGAAATGACAGATCTCGTCCTTGATGTAGTATAAGAGAGTTATAAATATTCTCGACAGAAGCAGAAGTTATTTACATATGAAAATAGAACAAAGTGGCAAGATAGCTTCCCAACACGGTCGAAGTTTATTTCCCCAAACAATAATTACCGAGATGATACCGTACCAGACAGTTGTGTTGATCTTCTTTGGGCTACTGATTCCTTTTAGTTTTTCTTATTGATAAACATAGTAGACTTGTTCCTTTCTCATTTCCTAATACGATTGCGATGTAATTATAATATAAAATCCGATCAAATCGTTCATTTCTAAGACAACATCATTCGACAAGGATGTTTTTCCCCGTTTAACGGCCGTACTCGTCGCCGATGCAGCATCGAGTAAATCTCCTCCTTCTTTCGTCATTGATACTTGTCAAACATCTTCATAAGAATAGCAAACTTAACTTTATTTATTAGATCGAAAGGCGATGCTTCTTATTCGTTCTCCGACGCTAACCTTTGCATTTATATTTTTAATTATTTCCATTTGTTTAACTATCTTCACATTCAATGTTCCATATGATGATTCGCAGTATCTTATACAATTCTTAATAATCTGTCCTCCGATCAACTCCATATTTCTCTTTCTATTTTCGGCAACATGGATCGAACGAAGATTTCGTTTATCCTACATGCCATTCATATGTTTGATTATCTTAATGCTGTCATCATTAACATTAACCATCGTATCAAGTTTACTTTTATCATTATCGATAACGATGTATTTCAATTTAATTTTTTATTCCTTCTTCTTTCTTCTATTCTTGTCTTTAATTATCGTCACTATCATATCGTATTCTTACGGTTCATTATTTATACATCGTCATCGGAATATGATGACCGTTCAGCAACAAAACAGTGAAATCCCGAAAAATGTGGAACCTCTCAAACTTGATAAATACTCGTTTAAATCCTCAGATAACACTGAACTTATACTCTTCATGTCAAAACTGCCCGGCCGTCGTATTCGTCATGACATTCGCAACATTCAAGATGATTTAAATCAAATACAAGTTCATACAATCGTGACATTAAACGAGCCGAAAGAATTGTCATTTATGAATATGACAAATAAGAATTTTTACAATATGGACATTTACTCCATGCATGTCAAACGAGCTAATATGGAACATATTGTGTATCCCATCCGCGATCGTTTTATTCCGAAATCAATTAGTGACTATATGCAATTTTTATATTGCATTATCCTTAGTGTAAATCGTTCCAGTCGTAATCGATTGCTTGTGCATTGTATGGGTGGAATGGGGCGGACTGGTCTAACAGCGGTTTGCATGGATTTAACGTATGAAAACATGATGGCAAATGAGAATGAACCCAAAACGAAACAAAAGTTTATCGAACGATTCTGTCATTATCCATTTCTATTAGCAAATCATTGTCGCGTATGTCGAGCAATTGCGAATGTTCGACAAGCACGACCAGGCACAATTCATAATCCATTACAAATCTTATTTGCTCACGAATATTACGCTCGTCTCAAATCATCTTCTTACATGCAACAAATCAAACAAATCCTAGAACTCAACGAGAAACTCCTCTCCAGCACGCAGGACGACTTTGCATTACCAACGAATGTTTCGCTTTAATATCGATCGTCAATCATCACATTCGAATGTGTAAAGAAAACAATGACACGAGAAACAAAATGAACGTTCAATTTTCCTCTTTTTCAAACATCAAACATATGTTATAATATTATGTAAACGAAAAGCTAATCTGATTTTTTCCATCGGAAAGGCCAAAACATTCATCTAATTAAAGCCGGAAACAAGAGAAAACACACATCTTTCGATTTGATCTGCTTGACTGCTGTCTATCTAGGCAATGTTTTATTCACAGCATGACACATTTGCCTCATTCTTCCTATTAACAGCATCGTTTATCCGACAAGTAGAGCATCGAAAAAACAAATTCAAACGCAAAAGATGTGATGTTGTCTTCACACACACACACACACACACATAAACGCATCAGATATCCTGTCTCTCTTTTCCCTTGTGTCCATTGTTATGTTAAAGAAATTCGAGAAGAAATATTGAACTACTGATTGTTTGAAAGATTTAGCAAACAAACGGCAAGCTTGTTCGTTATGTATGTCAATAGTTATCTAACATTTGTAGATAATTGGATTGAGAGTTGAAACGAAAACAGTCGAATCTTTTGACAAGTGACTATTCCGACCGTTTGAATTTGGAATTCAAAGGTATAATCAAATCGATAATTAATACACAAGATTGTCATTTTTTGTGTTTCTCCATTCCATGTCTTATGCATGCATTCATTCATCATTCTTATGTAAAACAGTCATTTTCGTTTCCACTTCAAATGAATGAATACATCATTGACATTGCATGCAATTGGCACGTTGAAATATTGACGAAAGACAATCTTTCTCGATAATTGAATATTGATAACATATTTGTCGTTGTTCAAAGAGATGCCATTCTTTTATTTCGTCGAAAACGAACACTCGATACTTCTTCACAGATTACGTCGAATCGCTCGAAAAGAACTCCTGTGTAATTCATCGAGTTGACCATTGTCTGCCTATCAATGTTTTATTTTGAATAACAACCTCTTCATGACATCATCAGAACATTGTTTGTTTAACAATTCAAACTCATCGATTCTTCTAGTACTCAAATGACGCCTTGCCTTGTCGATGAGTGAGTTCTCTTTCGATTCTCATCTCCCATTTGCCGGAAGACATCAATCGCAGCAACAGAAGTCAATAATCATAAAAAGCTTCTTTTTCGTTTTTAATATCTTTCTTAAATAAATCAAGTTTCAAATCATCAAACACAGCAATGTATGTTTAAAGTATAACAACGAAAAAAACAAAGAGCGAAATTATCTTGCACATACAATGCGCATTGGAGCTTTTCTTTCTCTTCATCGTGTCTTCCACACACACACGCGGTCATATCCGAGCAAAATCAACAAACAAACAAAAAAATAATAATAATAATAATTAATAACAAGAGACAAAATCACATGTGAACTATACATACAACAGACGTGATATATAAATAGAAAAATAAGTTCAATGTAGAGACGAAAAAGAAAAAGAGAAAATTTCAAATCTAAGGGAGTTGAAATAGTTTTCTTTTTTTGTGCGTTCAGTTTCACTTATTGAGTAAAAACGGCGAAAAAAAGATATCATCGGATGTTATTAATGGAGACTCCATTGGCGAAATCGAGCGAGATGACGATACTGACGAACGAGTATCACTACCAAATGATGATGATGGTGAGATAGTTTTACATGACAACGTATCAGCACATTCATCATGAACAAAGTGGCATCGTGGACCATAAGGACCTAATCAAGAGAACAAATCTTATAGAATGAAATTTTTCGTCAAGACTTTTTCGACTTACAGTAACCAGTGCAATGATATGTTCGACAAAGGACAGTTTTATATTTTGGATGTCGATTTAACGAACGTAGTTCATGATAGCCGTGGGCAAATTGACATTTTTCTCCATACTTGCAGAAGGCAGTTTCGTGGTATGAACGACACAATTCAGTTTTGTAACGTTGTGATGTGCTTTTACTATTCGCATCTGTTGTCGTTGTTTGGAAAAGGTGTGTCGTGATTGTTGTCAAATGTTGCGAATTCGAACGAACAACAGGACCTCCAACGGCTTTTGAGTAGGCTTTCGGTGAAGATGTTGGAGATAAAACGTTTACATTCTAAATAACGAAAGACATTAGTCTCACACATTCAACTAACTCAGATTGAAAACTTACAATTGATGTTAGAACATCGTGTAAATAGCAAGCTGGCAGTTGATACATGGTAGTGAATATCAAGGCACCAATGTCGAGACAATAAGATGACGAATATGTACGTATATGTCGTCTATCCTCTTATATATATTTCTCTTTTCCAAACGAATGTCTAGCGCATATATTTCTCTCTCTCTCTGTCTCTCTTTCCTCCTTTTCTTTTCTTTTTCTTCTATGAACCTGCCATGTGAGCAAATCAAAGCCAATAGGAAAACACCCATTCGTTTTCAAATGACGTAAACAATTTTCATATTGGCATGAAATCAAGAATATCGTTAGTAATGCAGCGAATAAAAGGAAGCAAGTGATTGACTAATTTCCAAAAATGAGATCGCGTCTTGATGTTTTTCGATTGTATGATTAGAATGATAAAGGTTCCTTCTTTTGAAATGCACACTAGGCAATCTTGTCGATTCCTTTGATCCAGATGAACAAGCTACTTGTTATTCTCTACAAAAGAGAGGAGGAAGATAGAACTATGAGAATTCGAAATGGATAAGAGACCATCTTATCACCTTGTTTAGTTGAGAAAAAATAACAAAATGATATTCACACATGCACATGCTAAATAAAATACAACAAAAACGAATATTTAACACTTGAGAGATTAAGTGACAATGATAGATTTAGTTCGATTAGCTCCTGTAAAAACGTTTCTCGAAATGTCAAAAAGAAACGTCCATTGATTGCACTTGTGCGAACTAAATACGTCTAAGTAGAGATGGTACTTGATTGTTAATTGTAAAACTCGGACATGTTCATCTTTGCCTCCACACTTGCCTAACAAGTTCAAAGACGATACACCCCGGAGAGACAGGAAAAAGTGTCATGAATGTATTAGAGAATGCGGACAATGATCGATGAGGATCATCTCTTTGATTTGATCAATGTTCATTCAAAGGTGACGTAAACCTCATTAATCGAAGAAGATAAAAGAAAACATCTCTACGGAAAGAAAAGCCACTATATCCTATCTGTTGTTCGATCTGAAAATTAAATCTATCCCATTGCTTTCGTTACAAAAGAAAACTCTCTCTCTCACACGTCATAAATTTACGAAAGAAAGGCTCTAATTGAATAGCTATCCTGCGTTGTCAATTGACATCATCGATATGTAACATGCAATTGCAATAGCAATGGACACGCATTTTTCTCTTTCGATATCCTCCACCTGCCTGTATATCAAGATGATAGTAATTGCCTTCTAGGTAGTCTAACGATATGCAGGTGATGATTAAACCAAATCGAAAAAATTCTCTCTTGATCGATTAGATGTAATGAAATTGAACCGGTATTTCTTTTTAAAGGATGATTATCTATTTATTTATTAGTAATTAGATTGTTTTACGAAGCATCTGCACTATCGACATGTGGAGTATAGTCAAGTGTTTGAAGGAAATAGAGTAGATGTGCCGTTTTAGGGTTCGTTGTGTTCGAAGTTGGTTGTTGATGAACATCGCCTGACAATGCACTGACGCAGAAGCTGCTCGATGGGGATAGTTCATTTGAGAAGATTGAACTCAAATGGCTTATTGAAGAGGTTACACGTGGTAAAGTAAGAAGTTGCTCAGAACTACCGTTGGAACGTCGCAGAGGACTCTATAGATATGACATAATTAAACGTTGGTAACGAGAATTAATTTGTTTTTCGAAACATACATGCGAACTTTGAAAAGATGGAATGGTCAGTTCATTATGACTAAGCGTTTCGTATCTAAATGAAAAATTTTATCAAAATGTCAACGAATGCCAGATTTACTTTATATTTTCATTTGGTATACAATCGTATTCGTATGGTGATGCACTTGGATGAGGAGCCAGAGATATCTTGACATAGAGAAATAGATAGACAAGAGAGATTGACTCAGAAATAGCATACCATGCTTGAGTGATTACTTGGGAGCAACAGAGGACTTTCAATATTCATTGAATCACTTCTCATACTGCCATATGCTGTACTACCAGACTGAGCGCTTATCCGATGATTTTGAATGGAACGAAATGCAACTTGATGTTGTTGTTCTAAAAATCGGATGAAACTATTTTTCAACGTGTTATTCGTTTCTTGACCACTTTACTTGTTCGAAGAACTTCATTTGAACATTCATCCGTATTCAACAATGTTTCATTTTCAATAGCCTCACACACTCCAGTGATATGTATTGCTGGTAGAACTGCTTTCCTTGCGATTTGTTTCAAAGGATTCATCACTGGCATGCGATGCACTGGCAACATAGTGCTACTGCCAACGGATAATTCTCCTAAATTTTCTCCTAATGCCTAGAAGAAAAAGATTTGCGCAGTGCCAACGATTTGAACAAAAGAGAAAAAGTATCGTTTACGTCGACATTAAGTGCAGCACTTTGATCCACAATTACATCTTCATCGTCATCGTTATCGAAGTCATGATTTTCTAGCATAACATTGGACTGATTATTGAAAACATTCGACGCATTGATCTAGTCCGACAAAAGAAAAACATTTAAAATCAAATTATCAAGTATGTCTCACATTCCAAGATGGAACTGTATCCGGAAAAGGTCCTGCAGCATTCTGATATTGCCGATCATTGCTTTCGTCCGTTCGTTTATGTTTCTTTTGTTTGAATGCATCTTCACCGTGAGTATTTTTCACATGTTTTCTTAGTGAACTTGGATCTGTATATGATTTACCACAACCTTGAATTTGACATACATATTCTTTCTAAATGAGAACATCAAACGGCTGTATTGTGATTAAGTCGGATTGGAAAATATCAACTTTATTCAAATGTGTTCGTTTCACATGCTTAGTTCGATCAGATGGATTGCTGAATGCCTTCGAACAGTCGGGGTATTCGCATGGATATGGTTTCTCACCTAAATGCTCACAAACGTCAGTACATGCTACTCCCTCAATCTCAATAGTTGTTACCTGTATGCGAACGTTCGTGTAAACGTAAATATTCTGCTCGTGTAAATGCTTTTGTGCAGCCAGTGTGTGTACATTGAAATGGTCGATCTTGTGTATGAGTTCGGAGATGAAGAAAGAGAGAATAAAGCGATTTGAACGGCATTCGAGTGCGAGTACATGATTGCCATTGACAATGCCAGGTACGAGAATCAGTGCGATCGATGTGAACAGATCGAATATGCTTGTTAGAAAAAAACAAGACGCAATTCAAAATCTTGTAGTAATAAAAATGACGAACTTCAGTTAATTGTGTCGGTGTTGAGAATAACAGATCACAGCCAGACCATTGACATTGAATTTCCTGTGGTTCGATTAGTGGAGCAAGAATCTGAGAAAGAGCAACGAAAAGTGTATGCGAAGAAAAACGAGTCGATAGTTATACTCGAGGTGTTGGATTGATCGACTGTTGAATTGTTGGCATGACATGAATCTCCATGAACGATTGTTGTTGTTGCGAACGAGATCGTAAATGATCGGACATAGGAGAAAATGATAGTGGACGTTTACCTTTTCCATCACTTGACGAGAATGACGGTGTTGATAAGCGCGAATCTACATAGAATAAGTCAACAGATACCATGCTCTTTTCCGATCGATTAAAATATTAAACTTACTCTTTGTAGAAGTAATTGATGGTAAGGTACACGATTTGGAACTCGAACTCTTTGATGCAACGGATAGTACACCGCCGTCATTTGTTGAAATAACTGAAGGTACACCACCTCGTTGTACATCTAGATGACAAAATAAGTAAGTTGCTGATGATATTTAATAGAAAAGATCCTACCGATTGATTGTTGAATAAATTTTACAGCTTTAGATACATTTGCCCAGTCTATTGGTGTCATTCTTTTCCTTTAAATGAACACATTCTTGAATATATGCATCCACATGTTATCTAGTTTATTTACTCACTGAGTAACATCTATTTTGCTCATTATTACAGATAAATGCGATAATGATCATGCCAGACAGAAGAAATCATTTGATCAATATTTGCCATTTATATAATTATGTTCCTTCGTATTCATCTACCATTGGCCACCTGTGCGTGTTTCTCAGGTAAGATCAATAATTGTTGCTCAGGTTCTAATTGATTTAACATTTATGAAATGAAAATCTAAAGATCATTTACATTAGAGATCTACTGAATGCGAGAGACAAAAGCCATTTATTCGTTTGAATCAACTCGAGGTACACATACACTTTATCGCATTTTATTAAGAATTGTTTCGTTTTTCATCAACATTTTTCTTATTTGTTTTATCCGAACATTGAAATCAGCAGGGTGGTAAGTTCTCTAATGAACTATCAACAAGATTTTTTCGTGCCGTGTTCTCTCTATGTTCCTAGACTCTGACGACAACAACATGAATACCACCGGCGGTGTTAACAAAGCCGCAAAACTAATACGACCAGACCAAGCGAGTATCATATACATGATCAGTATCTGTATTAGTCTTCTGATATTCCTTTTCTTATGTGTGATACCAGCTATGGTAATTATGTATCGTACACGGCCACGTCGCCAGTCGATGAACTACATAGACTCACGAATTAGTAGCGAATTCATGTAATTTTGCTTTGTATCGGCTCAATTTCAACTTTGAAATATGGATTTAAATAATAAAAGTTCATTGACATAACTTTTCATCCGATTCCATTCATCCCTTTTGTCGAATTTTTGGCTGATTAGAAATGTATTGAAAAAATCATTTTAACAAACAGCAGGCGATGTTCTAGTGATGAATTCACTTCAGTATACTCCCCCGCTCATTTCTTCATGTAATCATCTTTTTGATTGAAACTCAATATATACATTTCTATTTTCTTAGCTCTCAACACATTGTATGCACCACCTATATGGGTGTACCTCTCTTGTCAACGAAATTGACATTCATTCTTTTTGTTTGTTTTTGTCACTTTCACTAGACATGTCATTGTAAAACATCAATCGTACGTTTCATTCTTTCTTGTGTTCATTGCTCAACTTTCGAGTAAATTTTCGCCAAAAAAATTTCTCTCCAAACTTATCTAAAAGGCACACTTAGGTGTAATCGGTCATGCTTATTTTATCTTCATACATTTCCTCAAGGTGTCTAACGCCTAGCGACCCCTATGCTCAATTCGGGAATTCTTCAACAATTAAATACGTATATTTTACTCTCAATTGATCGAAAGAAATAGTTCAGCATGAAATTGATATTCCAGTCGAGAAAATCAGATTGAGAATTCTGTGTCGAGGTTTTACTCAGCTCCCTGAATGCTCCATCACAATGACAGCAATGTCGACGAATGAAATGAACGAGAGTATAAGCGAATAACCGACATTGCATTTGCCCATATATATATATTCTAACTTGCTTGTTTATTTACCGTTTTCCCGATCTTTCTCTTCTCTTAGCTTCTCTATTTTCTATTTTTGAAAAAAATAAAAAAGAACTATTTTATTATCCATATATTATTACTGAACTAAGTCGAAATTAATGTCCTTCAAAACCTAATATCCAGGAATGAGGATATGGAAAATGAGACTTTGCAATGCCGTTCAACGGCTACAATCGAGAATATGGGTAAGGAAGAACACGTTCAATCACAGATTCGTTGAAACAATTTCGTGTTTTTCTTTAAGGAGTAAATTCTTGTTCTGCATTTGGCGCTCAAGGTAACATTACTGACGATAAATTAACTCTTCTACCTGTACTGCAAGATACACTTACTATAACACAAGAACGACAGACATCCGAAGCAAAACATACACCTTACGACGAACAGTTATCATCAAGGTTAATAACTTGTCTACTAGTTGTTACAATATGTCGATTTTTTTATATTTCAATTTAGTACTTCTTCAACTATGAACTGGGATATGAAGACGAATTATATATGTCCAACAGTTGTTCATCATTCTACGAATAATAGTAATAATAATAATTATGTTAATTTAACTGAATGTGTTTTACAAACAAGCCCAGCGACAACGATAATGGAAACTCCACAGACGACCAAGCTAAGTACGAAGAAAAAGCAATGCTGTGACAGAAAAGGAGAATTTCGTGGATTGTTTTTATTATAGATAATGATGATAGTATCGGAAATAATACTCAACAGCAATCAACAAAGCAAAATTTTACAAATTTTGCTAATACAGATCTCAATGGTGAGAGGAAATTTAATACTATTGTTAGAATTCGTTCGAGAGGAAGAAGAGAGAGAGAGAAAGAAATTTAAAGATATAGCTTTTCTCCATAAGGGCACTTGTTCAAATAATCGTCGTATTTTATAGGTTCAAAAGTGATTCGTCTAGTTCGTGCGAAACAAGCTACCAAACGTAAATCAAGTTTAGATACGCTAATTGAAGTTGTTCAGAAGGAACTTCTTCGTGTCAATGGTCAATCCAATTCGACGTCACCGTCATCATCTCCGCCTCACTATTCTCAAACACGTTCGACAACAATATTATCCTCATCCAAAGCTGTACAATCCCAACAGCAACAGCGATCTACGGTGTCTACCGTATTACCCTCATCACATCCAAGTTCGTTAACATCTCAATCAAATCGTTCATTTAAAGCAGCACGGAAACGTGTTAATCAGCATTTTACTAATCCAAAACGAACGACATCAAATCAAAACCGAAGTAAATCATTCAGTTCGAATAACGATGAATTTACCGATGATCTTGATCTATCGAATGAAGATGACATGAACAATCATCATGATGAACAACATCAATCGTCTAATGAATCCCTTGAACAGACAGAACCTTCAACAGAGAACATAGAAGAAATCGTTCGCGAAACTGTTGATAGACTTGTTGCCATAACATTGCTTCATAATGCACCATTTATTGTTAACATGATTACCGGCACGCCAGGTAATGGTGTTAATACAACTGCAGAATCAAAAGCAGTAACAAATACAGTTAATACTAATGTAAGTCGATTTACATCGAGAACGAAGACTTCTAATCTCGGATGCTTCCTTCGTTTTTTTTCTTTCTAGACTACATCTACTGCAAAAACTTCGACGACTACATCATCGTCTGATTATTATCGTACTGATCTTGCATTACTCTCATCAACTGCCAGTGAATTACGAAGCTCGATGCAGCAATCATCACCTCTAAAGCAACCAATTGTGATTCAGCCGAATCCATCAACAGATCTATCAAAGCCGTCGACATTGTTTGTTACTCCGCGTGTATTGAATATACAAACTGTTGTACCGAAACCAACAACGAACATTCAAATTGGTAATACGAAAATCATTCTTGTATCGTCATCGACGACGGCAGCAACAGGCAATTCTCCTAATCAACACTCACAACAATGTCTTGTTAATAATAGTCCTGTCAAATTAGTGAAGCTAACGCCAACACTACCAAAGAATGTTCAAATTGTGATTCCATCCCGAACATCTAATGAATCTCGTTCAACAACAACAACAACAACAATTCGTCCTCTATCGACTTTAACAACTTGTTCTATGGATCAAATTCCTCAAGCAGCACAAGAAGTAACCATAACCACATCACCCAATTTAAATAAACCACGGAGACGTTCGTCAAGCACAACACCAACAGATAAACCTGTAGGTAAGATCCTACGACCCATCGCAAAAGTTCTTCCAGTTTATTCATCTAACAATAGTACTCATGGTTCGTATATTTGTCTAACATTGTAAATATTTTCATACATTTTCAATATTCTCTAGCAAACAACTCTTCATCAAATACGAACACAAGTGCAAAAAGCGATGATCTATCGAAATCAATGTCTCTTCATTTTCAACAACGTCCGTCAACAACACATGGTCCAATGATATACCGAATGACATCAATGAATCCTAGTATGTTTCGTGCGAAGGTACTGTTTGTCTAGGTAATGCTCATTTGTTTGCAGATGTGCCTGTCTTTCGTGTACGTGCTACAACTAATCCGACATCTTCGACAATAAAAGCTGATACTAAACCAATATCAGTTGCGACTGCTGCAAGCATGTGTTACGAACCTAAACCAACGCATAGTACAGCGACAACCAGTGGATCGGTTTCCGTAGTTGCTTGCTTCAAAACGACAAAGAAGAGAAATAAGGTGTGTATAATTCTCATCAAAACTTTGACTGTTCATTCGTTAAATAGATCTTGAAAGAAAGACATTGACCCGTGTTGCTCTTCACTTGATTAGTCTATACTTTTTAGAATGATCATTGCATACAAACTTATGTATAATATGTTTTAGGAACGAGCCATCATGCCTCGTCCAAGCCCAAGTGACTCTCTTGAGACTTCTCATGACGTCCAACAGCGTTTAACTACTGTTTCGAATACGACTTCTTTAACACTTTCGACGAAAGTACCGTTAATCATAAACAATCATTCGACAGCGGCTGAACCAACAAATAATAATACTAACTCATCACTTTTTCCATCCACATCTTCTCGTTTTATTCAACAGCACACTTTACCGACAGCACTTTCCGATAACAAAACATCGAACATACACGTGCTATCTCGACAACACCAACACAATGATTCAACAACATCATCGAATGAACTTGATATATCTTCTCCGAACAATATTTCGATTCAACGCAGTAGTCCGACACAGCCGAATAATTATTCAAATTCGATCAAAACCATAGCAACTTCATTGATATCATCATCGCCGGCGCGACCATTGATGAAAGATAAATCCATTCAATGTATTGATAATAATGAGAACAGTACTGAAGAACATGAACAAATTCTTAAAAGTAGTTAATAACCATTTTTTTGCTTATAATATGATGTTTTCTTGAATTTAGATAATTTATCAAAGAAACGCAATGGTCATTCACTAGATGAGAGTTCATCCAATGATGAGAATTGGAGAGTCGCTGCTGACACGTAAGAGATAGGTCTTCATTCCTCGAAATTCAACGTCATTCTCTTGACAGGCTTCTTCACAATGTTCTCTCTCAATATGGCTTCCGTTTTCTTGACGTTAATTGTCAACAAAATTTATCAGCTCGATTTGATTCTATTCAAGCCAATCTTGTCGTAAGTTTCACATATATTATTAATTCGACGTGCTCAGCAAAGACTTTCGATTCTCAAATTTCACTTCTAATACAAAACGCTCGAGTGATTGTTGAATGTCATCGATATGTATTGATTTATTGTAGAGCGGTGTGATACTATCTCAAGATGAGTTTTACAAAGCGGTACGTGAAACAAAAGAAATACTAGTTCAAAACGGTTTATCGAAAATCTCGGCTGATAATTTGGAGAAATTATTTCATTATTTTGAAATTGAATACCCGAAATTATGTGATGGTGATTCATTGAATCGAACAAATGATCGAGTAAATCGATGGACGCAATAGTATTCACATGTAAATTTGCTTTCTCCTCTTTTTTAGAAACGAACACGTCGACAATAGAACAATGCCTATGTCGAAATATCTTTTGTTTTGTCTCTTTTTAGTGTTTCTCTTCTAACCTAATGTACATATGCATTTTTTTCGCCTTGATAAAAAACTGCTACTTTTTGTTCGTTTTCCGTTACTGTTTTGGTTATTTGCTTTCTTCTCGGTTAAAAGATCGTTCGATAGACTTTTGTAAAAGATGCTCTATCGAAGAAAAACAAAAGAACAGCACAAATATCAGTTCGTTTTCTCTTTCTCTTCTTCCGTGTCTAGGAAAGGAAATATGCATACAACTCTTGCTTTCTACCTTGTAAACTGAATTTGCTTGTTGTTTTTTTGCACCCGACAAAAATTAACGATCAACCGTGATTGACAGACAGAGAGAGAGAAGGAGAACAAGTGATGAAGTCTCTCGTTCTTTCTCTTTGAATATGTGTATCATTTTATCATGTTTTCTCTTTTTTCGTTTGTTTTGTTTTTCTCGACTTGTTCATGTGAGAGATAAAAAGATCTATTTATCATTTTCACCCATCATATAGTTGTGCATACATGATGTGTTTATTTAAAAATAAAAAAAAGGACACGAACGGAAAAGAAGACAAAAAAAGCAATTATATATCAGTTTTGTTTTGAACTCAGTTTTAGATGAATGGTTAATACAATGCCGAAAGGTTCTGAAACAACGGCTAAAGAATGTCACGATTGTGGACAAAGTGGTGAGTAACCTGTAGGAGTTTTGCTCAATCTAACGTATGTATGTTTAGGACCGGAATGGTGCTCAATCAATCACGGTGTGTTGTTATGTGATGAATGCTGTAGCGTTCATTTAAGTCTTGGTCGACACATTTCACAAATAAAATCGTTCAAACGAAGCTATTGGCCACCGTGTCAATTGAATGTAAAATATTAAGTTTTGTACCTGAAATCTTCTTATCTCTTCTCATATAGCTGATTCAAGAACTAAGTTCTAATGGTGCTAATCTCGTCTGGGAATATGGTCTACTTGATCCACAAAATAAATTACCAAGGAAAAAACCATCGGCTAAAGATTCTTTACCGTATAAAATATCGCTTGAATTATCTGAATATCCTGTGTTTGTCGTTTAAGGGTTAAAGCAGATTTTATTCGAACAAAATATCAACAAATGGCTTATATCAATCGTTTAAAGGAGGAAAACAATGGAACATTCGAAGATTTACATTTGGTATGAACAACTGGACTTTGAAATTAAATATTTACTTTCTTCTCTTTTAGCAATTGCATTCCATTGCACGAACAGATAATATTGTTACATGCTTACGATTTCTTTCTCAAGGTGCCGATCCAAATTACAAAAATCCGGTAAATTTCAATTGAAACGAACTTATTCTCAAATATCTTCGTTGTTTCTGTTCTAGGAAACAGGAACATCATCAGTTCACGTCGCAGCCAGTCGTGGTCAACAAAATCAAATTGAAGTGAGTGTTAACATACATGTAACACGTATCTACATAGTACTGTTTAGTTACTGTGTATTTTTGGTGGTGATCCAGCAGCCATTGACAGCTCGGGAGTGTCGCCAGAAGAACATGCACGCGCAAATGGCTATTCCGATCTCGCTGACCGTCTAGTTGAACTACAATATGAATTAACCGATCGTCTTACGTGTTTTATTGGAGGAAAGCGACCAGATCATAAAACCGGGGTGCATATTAATCTTCCCGAACTCAATGAAAAGTATGTTGAACAGCGTGAAATACAAATCTGATTGTTTTTGTTTAAATCGCAGTCTCGATATATCTGATCAAGCACTTCTGGCACGAAAGAAGCTACAACAGGTAAAAAAACCCTTTGCCACGAAAAAGACAAAATGCTATTGTTGCATTTTTGTTAGTTGCCCGATCAATTATTCGAAGACTTAGCAATGGATGTATTCGATGAAGTAGAACGTAGAGAACTGAATACAAGTAAAGCATAAAGTTTTGAGTCTCTCTGTGTTTCTCACCACCTACCCTTTTATCTAGCTTGGCATGCTCAAGTGGATAAAGCTTTAATACCTCTGCATGTTGTACCGTTCCTACCCGTTAATCCTGCATTTTCTGCCACGCGCAATCAGGTACCCAAAATTGTCTGTCGATGATTCGTCGAATCGTTCTAATTCTTTTCATAGGGTCGCCAAAAACTTGCTCGCTACGGTCCTAAGGAGTTCACCACTTTCATTTACGATATATTAAATGAAGTTCGTCGTCGATATCATGGAATTGTTCAACAATCGCCAGTTTCACCTGGTTCATCATCAAAATGTATTTCTACTTTTTATAACTAACTACAGTTGGATTCATTCCGGTTTCTATGTAGTTCACACTCTACCTCGACAGCATAATCAAACCAATATCACTAATAATAACGCATCTGTATCAACACAAGATATGTTACACGCCAATGGACAAACGACAATGTCGTCGACAGCGGCCCTAATTAATGCATTTATCGATTCAGATGATGAACCACTGTATGATAAAGTAGCATCGGACGAAGATTATAGTAGCTTACCTCCAAACGAACAACAAAAACGTTCTAAAATGCATAAGAAAGCGAAAAAAGTAGAGTAGAAATTCGAATTGTAATTCAGATTTTTTTTCTCATCTATGGAATTTGTTTTAGCCGTTAACAGGTGATTCTTCTAAAGAACATTTTGCCGATGGTTCACTACAATCGCCAAGCGGAGTAAGAGAAAATCTTTTTTTGTTTCTCGTTTGTTTAATTCAATCAATACTGACTTCTTAGAGTATGAATTTTTCGGAAATATCCAATGATGAAATGCCGCGCAATCATCGTTCTAATGATTTAAAATCACGTGTTGCTAATACTGAACTTCAATTGAAATATTTAGCATGCGCTCATATAGATCTGAAAAATGAATTAGCTGTTTTGCATCAAATGGTAATAGTTTGTGTTCGAAATGATCGAAACAAAAAAGTCATCCTTTATTGTTTATTTAATTAGATTCAACGTTTACTCGACGAGAGCTTGCTGAATAAAGTAGACTTTCAAGTTTCGAACGATATCATTACAAATCATGACAACAATATCTCCTGTTCACATATGGAAGTTCATACATCAGGCATGATCAATGGTGACGACACCAACCGAATTATCAATAAAGTAGAAGTTATCTGCCTACCTATCTCTAAATAATCTAAAGATCATTTCTCTTGTTTTAGTCAATTCAACAGTTATTTGATAATCATAGTCGTCAATCAAGTCCAATTGTGGAAAGTGACTATGATAACACAACAGTTGTGGAAGATCCTGACAAGTAAAATTGATTCTTGAATATTTGTCTTGACTATTTCTTTTCCTTTGGAAATTTTAGTCCAGGAACCCATATTATTCGACAAACATCACTTGCCCATGATAAAAGGTAATTTGTACACATTAATTCGACCATTATATTCTCCATTTAGGTCTAGCCGTAGTATGCAGCGGTTTCCTCAAGCAGATGATGACTCAACTAATGGACTGAGTACTGCTCGAGCATTTCGTTCAACAGATTACATAAATGCAACAAATATTGAAGTTCCAATTTCCAAATCTTCAGCAACAAACGCTAATTCAGCACAAAAATCGGCTATTCCAACAAGTAATGGCCGCGCTCGTTCATGTTCAGGCGGACGAAATAAAGTTGTTTCACCGTCAGTTCAAACACGAAAAGGTACTTTAGCAATTCGACTCTATGAAATAGTCAAATGAATCACTTTAGGATCGACCGGACAAACTGAATCAAGCGCTGATATAGATAAACGAACAAGAAAAATTACTCATCGAATTGCCGAATTATTTAGTTTAATTAAAGAAAATCAATCCGATCGGTAGATATTCTACGAATAAAAAGATAAATTTTCATCTTCCCGTTCCTAGTTATCTCACATGTGCCGACAGAATCAATAGTTCTGTTCAAGATATGATTCGTCTATTTGATAGAGTAATAAAAACATCCAATTCCTTGACTTATCTTATGTATTCTTTATTTTTAGCTTTCATTAACCGAAGACATACGAACCAATCTTGATTTATTAAACTCTAGTGCTCAACAACTTCTTGCTCATGCGACATTAAAAGAAAAACTTCCAATGCCGAATAGTACCAGTCGCACCGAACAAATTCAATTCATCATTGATGATTGTTACAATATTGCCTTAGCTACGAAAAGTCTTGTTGGACTTTACCAAAAACTATAAACAAGTAAAATACAACCAATTTCTCTATCTCTCTTTATCTCTGCTCATAATAATCATGTGTCTTGTATTAATTGTTCGTCTTTCATTGAATCTCTTTTTCTTTCTTTTATGAATGTTTGTTTATGTCTAACGATATAATCATTTTTGCAATATAATCAAACATTATTTGTGCTTCCAAAATCCATTTTTTACTAACTTCTAATCTCAGGTATATGAATTTTTTCTTCTCCGAAAGATACGATGAATAATCCCATTGATATTATATTTACTCTTTCCTCATTCTTCCTCTTCCTACCTATGCGTGCTTGTACATTCATTCTCCTTCTTTTTTAAATAAAAATAATAGTGGTATTTAAAAGGCATAAAAATTTCGCGCCCACTAATCTGCTCTTCTGATAGCTTTTTCGCTAATTGCTTGGAATGACGTGAGCAACACTAATTATTAATTACATAAATGACAAGGATTTTGTTTTTCAATATAAAACATGTTTATTTTCTCTTATAATAACCACGAAGAAAAGTGTTTCAAACTATGTTGAGGAAGCACTGTTTGATGACTAATCTGACTGAAGTCACGAAGTCACAATCAACAACATAGAAAAGCAACAAACATACAGACAGGAAGACGAATCGCACGATCGAAAAACTAAAAATTTTTCCTCTCAAACTTTTGTATCACAATGAAATGAGAACGACAAAGCAAGTGAGAAGTGCTTCACAGTTATTTATCGATCAAACGAAAATGAACAAAGCCAACAAGAACTAATTCTATATCTTCAGTCAAAATATTTCGAAAAGCACAAAAAGACTAGAAGTGACTCTTGTTATTGTCCATGAGAAAACACACACACACAAACGAAAAAGAAAGAGAGAAGAAAATATCTATTGCAAGAATCTGATTAGAAAAAGAAAAGAATCACCGTCCTCGCCATCGACAGGGCGATTCAGCCGTATGTACAAAATACTGCTTTGCTATGCACATATATACGCATTGTTTCGAACGAGATTGCATAAGTAACAAAGCATTCCTGTACAAATAAGAGAACCTGATGAAAAGGTCATTCTCATGAAATTCTCATCCTTAAGCTTTAACAGATATGTATGATGCAGGAAACTTGTTGTAATTTCGTGCAGAATTATAGAATGGATTGTAGAAACCTTTGTGATTCTTTTTATAATTTGGTTTGCGTGTAGATTTTTCTTGAGGTTTCTCTTTAATCTCTTCAATTATTTTTGAAGTTGGTACTTCGTCAACCGTTGTCAAATACCACGATTCAGGTGGTTGTGGCAATGCTGAACATTCTGGAGGATCAGCATACACATTGGAATAGAATAGTGGAACAGCAGGTGATGAACTTGCTGATAAGGCAGTTGGTGATGTCGTATGAGAGTTCGTCTTTTTCGAATAAGATGATCCCATACTACTATTTGATCGCATACGGTTGGAATGAGGAACAGATATAGCGTGAGAAGCTTTCACACGCTGTTGATTGGATGGAGATTTTCGATTATTGTTCATGTTGCAGTGAGAAAATGCGGAGAAAAAAAAAGATGAAAGAGATCTAAAAGAAATGGGTAAAATTTTAGTACAAATGTAGGTCATCATTTTCGAGTCCTCTCGTCGTTTTTCGTCCGTGATGCTAGAGCAAAAGGTCAAATCAAGCAAGTTACGTTCGTATCATTTCGTAAAAAAAGAAAAATGAATTGGAGAAGCATGCACAGAGGCGAAAAACGAAGTGGTGAGAGGCAAACAGAAAAAAAGCTATTATATACAACACCGTCCTATCACGCACACTCATCATTGGTAGAAGAAAGAACAGAAGGGAAAAACAGAACGTACGACGACAAAGCCTCAATTCAATATGTATGCAGACGAAAAGGGAGAATATATATACGGAGGCGTACAAATCTTTGTCGTAGTTTCTTTTTTGCGTCTTCTCTTTTCGTACTTACTTGGAGTTTCGAACAATTATTGAATATTCAAATGTCCTTCGCTGCAGCTGTTTACTTTAGTATATATGTGTATTCAGTTTTCCCTCTCGACGTGTCACATGAAGAGAACGAAAAGGATAAAATACTTATTAGTCATGTTGACAGGCAACTATTTCATCAGCACAATTACGACAGAAAAGAAATTGTTTATCTTTGTGAGTCATGAAAGAAAAACAACACGTATTTATTCGTAAACTTATGACGTTTCTGTTTGGAAACGAACAATCATGGAAAGATAAAAGAACAGTGATAAGAAAAAGCAAACGTATGTTTTTCGCTCATTTCTCTCATTGAAATCAAATTCATGCGTACATACATATTCTCACTTGCGTTTAAGTGTAGTAACCAACGGGCACAACGATCAGACAAAAGAAAAGAAACCTCTACGAGATGGAGAACAGAAGAAGAAGAAATATATGATTCAATAAGTTTATTTAAAGAAAGAAAAGTAAAATAAAAGTCACTAGAATTTCTATTCGTGATGGTTTTAACTAATTATGTTTGTCTGCATTTTTCCACATTGAATAGATCATAGCAATGTATAGAAAAGCAGCAAGGTTAGCTGCTACATCCATAAGCATTTTATTTTGAAGTGACGATATACTACCAACAAATTTGCTTGATGTCATCAAACAAACCATACACGTATAACTTGAAACTTGAATTCAATTTTCAAGTCTAAAACTACTGTCAGATTTCTTCTTTACAAGTACGTTGATTACAGATAAACAGTGGTATGAAGAAACTAGGAATAATCAGTCGACGAAATATATTTTTCTTCGCAAATTAACAAATTCAATGTAGATCATGCATACTGCTTTGATCATTCGATTCGATTCTATCTACTTCGAAACCTGCGGTTAAGGGTAGCTTTAGTTATCATATTGTCGCTAAGAAAGAATGCTGGTATATGTATAGGAACAATGAATTTCAACTGGTGAGTTTGATGAAAAGCATCATTAATACTAACTATCGCATGTGGCAGTTCAATATACGAAAGGTAACCTAGAATTATACGTTTTGTTCTTTTATGAATATCTATCGATAGAATGTATATGCGGCAGAATGGAGGAATAACTGATTTCATATGACTTGATGTTAGGGTAGACTCGCTCTATCGAATTGGTTGTGGATTATGAAATTACTGTGCCTATTTCGTTGAGAAAAATCAAGAGACATCAAGTATTACTAAGCTTTTATGTAGCACAACTAGCAAGAGAGTGAAATTGCCAGTCAAACGTACTCGGAATCGTTCATAGGTGTTTAGGATCTGATTGAGTCGTCAACAAATATTTCACATTGATGTTATAGGGCGGTAAGCATACATTTCATAATCTATTGCAGTATCTGACCAAGTAATAATGATTTCGGAATTCTGGAAGAATATGCATCTAAATTTGCATTAATTGCTTTGGTGTATATGCTTGGCTTATACTCGTTTTCATCGTTGACTATCACTTTTATTTTAATCTTGCTGGTTCAAATGGTTGGATTTTACGAATGTCTAGATTTCTCGTACAAACGTGGGCCGTTGAATCCATTGAAAGTGGAAAGTGATTCTCCGAAATAAATCTCTAGTCTAATCATTGATTGTCTATTAAAACAAGGCTTTCAAGAAATGCTAAGTATTTTAAATTCTATACCATTCTTTCGCCTACGAGATGAAGGTTGTTACTAAGCAACACCTTCGATGAGAAAAGAGTCGTTGTACACGTGTGCATTTTGTCACACATCTAACTATTGTAAATAAGTCAAGAGAAGTATGGCACAAAGACCATCGATTCCGTTCACGGATGGAGGTTTATGGAATACTCGAAAACCGCAATATAGTACGGAAACAACCAAATTACTTAAAAGTATGGAATTCGTCAGAATTAGTGTCTTTGTATGAGTTCGTGCTTTTTAGCACTTATGGATGAATCTCGAGTAAACAATTTTCAGCGTCGGCAGCTAACAAGTCACATGCTTCGTACGTTAAAAAGAGACCATCATATGGAACCTATTGTTTTAATCTATCCATCTATAGGCGGTGAATCTTTACCGGAAAAACTCGGTCCCTCATCGACACAAACAAAAGCACCTGCAATGAAACGCGTGGAAAGCTCCCGCTCAACAAGGTAATCGATCATGTTAAAAAAGGCAATCGCCATCTTTCGATTCAGTACATTCGACATCTTTTATTCAGATCGTCACATGGATCAGGAGTACGCTCATACAATGATATTGTTAGTTCTGGTGCTTATATACCTGCTGATTATCAACCAAGACCGATGAGTATGCATTCGATTAGCTCAAGAAATCAATTTTAGAACATGTTTCACTTTCACAGAAGCTCGCACTGAGCAAGACAAGGATCGGCTAGCACATATGATGGCCTACGGTATTGATCCAACAAAAGTGTCGTCAAAACCAGCACAACGATCACCTACACCACCGAAAGAACTTGATCGATTCGATGAATGTACGTATGAGTTGTCATTTTTGATAGAAAAATGTTCTGTTTAATACTTTTGGTAGTGGTACTCGAAATTGAAGAACGAAAACAATTTCTGGATCAAATGGCTGCAATTGGAAAGCGAAAAGATTATCAGCAAGTGATTTCGAATGAAATTGCTGAGGTATGAATAGGATGAAGAATTAAATAGAATTTTCTTTATTTTAATTTCGTTTAGAAAATACGTGAAATGGAGCAGATCGATCGTCAACGTTCAAAAGCGTTAGAAAAACGTTTAAATGAACGTTCCTGAATAGACATTCAATGCGTGTAGAACTATTTATTTAAAATGTAAATGTATTCGATGTTACGATCAAATAATATGCTAGAATTCATATTTGATTACGTTGTTTTTTTGTTAATTGAATATGTCCTGTTCGTAAGAACAGTGATGCTTTATGACATTAAGAATATGAGTTCAATAGATCTAATTGCTTTCAAGTAATGCGGAGTTTATACATAGATATAGCTAATAGGGTGCATAGGGAAAAAAATACGCCGAGCGGTTTGTGTTTCATCCTGTCGACGAACTAACGGAAGCATTCCATAGGATAATCGTTGAACATTTCACTAAACCAGTAATCCAAACACAATCATAATGCCAATACTAGTGCATAAAATCGAACGATATACAGAAAATAGTTCGCGTTAACGATTGTACAAATGAAGTAAGCCAAATATGAAATGTAAGATAACATCTCAATGAACAAACTGTGATAGATGTGCGATAAACAACGTTTGAATGGTTCCATCGTTGTAAACGAGCATGCGTTGCCGTTGTCATATATCGATTAATGATAGCTAAACAAAAATTTGGATACGGGTAGAAATCCGCAGATGTAATTCTTAATTTATTCAGCAAGGAATCCATCAACCAGTATTCGGTATAGATAGCCCAGTATTCGTTCAATAAGATTCACTACAGACATGACTTTTACTAGATAAATACTTGAAGAATGTTCATGAAAGATGCAAAGACTTAAAGAAATAATGATGTTTAAAACTCCACCAATAACGCCAAGAATGATGGTTAGAATACCCATATATGATCTGAATCGAAAGATGACATTTCTGCAGACTGTGTAAAGGAATCGAAATACTATAAATATTCATACATGAACATCCCGCTCATTGTATTGTAAACACGCAGCATTTTTAGGTGGTATAACAGATAAGTCGAGCTCGAGATGACTGAAGAAGATGTACAAAAATGAAATTGAAGAACGCCATCTATACAACATGTATGTTATTGGTAAATTTTCAAAAACGAATTAGTCCTAGTAATATTCGAGAGAGAAAAGATTTTCGTTTGTTCTATGCAATAAAGTATCAAATCTATTCCATTAAATCAAATATTTTCTTTCAAATGTCAGACCCGATCGATGAACTAAACTCGTTTTTTTCCACCACCAAAGCCTTAAAAGCAAAAGGAAAAGTAATCAAATCTTTCGATCATGTTTCCAATAAACTTTCTTTTTCATCAGGATTTCTTTCAACTTCACAAGCAAATCACCGATTACAAAAAGACAAACAAACAACGGTCGGATAAACTCAATGACCCAATCCTTCGATTCATTCAATTTTCATGCGAATTAGCTAGGTAGAACGAATTGCTTTTCTCTGAACAAAATCTTACCTGTGAAAACCTAGTAATTCTGAATACGGCGCAATTTGGCAAGCATTGATCGATGTTACATCTGATATCGCTAATTCCTATGGATCTTTACATTCAGGAAACGATACACATACCTTCGATGTTTTCTTTAAACCATTGCTTCAAGTGAGCGATGTCCGACAAGTGAATTCATTGTAACATAATGAGTTTTCTAGGAAATTGATAGTGAAGAACATTCAGATTTATATAAATTCATTGAACGTCTCCTCGTCAAAATGAATTTAGGTTTTAAAATTGCGACTAGTGAAGTAAGTTGCGCACTCCTGTACTCATCTCTATTCTATCGATGATTTTAGTACTTTCGAAAGCTTTTCCTCGATGCATTTGCTTCTAACGTCAAACGTAAACTAAAAGAAAGCTATGATTTATTTCGTATTGTTCATGTACACATTCCGGAAATCATTCCACCGGTATTGACAATGCACCAAGCATTTCTTAAAGTAAGAAGCTAGTAGCGTGAAAACGGATACATTCATGCACATGTTCCTTTCTGTGTGTAGAATTCGAACCCTGATCAACATGAAATTGGTGTTCGGTTTTTTGTGGATGTTCTTACAGGAAAATATACAATCAAAGAAGAATTAAGTACGGATGTTCTCGATGATTTTCGAAAGAGGTAATGTTAAAACTAATTGTTTCTATCATTGTATTATTTGAAATTTTAGTTTTCATGAAAAAGACACTGAATCTCAACGAATTGTGGTTGAGAACCTTTCCAGATACCTTTTACGAAAAGCTAATATCACCAATATTCTCATTGGTGAGTCATCTAAAAACCTCTCTTTGTCCTATTTATTCAATGAATACATCTTTAGATGATTTGAGCAAATGTTTTGATTCAAATACGATTTCTTCTCCACTTCTATGCGTTCTTGTTGATCAAATCAGTTTAGCAATCAAAGAATGTTATCATGCTGCACCTGATTCTCTTCTCAATTTACTTGTCATTGCATCAAACCACTCGAATGTAAGGAACAACTCGTATTCATATTCTCCCTTTTCGACAAGAAATCTTTCATTCAGTCAAATGTAGCAATTATCTGTGTTGACACAATAGCTTATCTTTATCGTCTCTATTATGTCAAAGATCCGTATCCATCGCCGACTCGTTCACGTCTTGATGTTGTTCCAAGAATTGTTCTTCATGCAGCGATCAAACATCCAGATCTTATCGTTCGGTAATATTCGAAAGAACTTTGTTAATGTTTCGCATGAAATACTATGTAGGATTGAATCTCAAACAAGATTCTTTGAAAACATCATTTTCGAACACTATCGTATTGACGAGCGAACTCGTCAATTTTTTATTTTCGCACAATCGGATTTAGGTGATGAGGGTGTAAAGTAAATCATCCATTTCCTTTTCTGATTCATTGATTCATTTGTCATTGTTCACATAGAAACTATGGTCAATTACTTCATATTCAATCTGAGTATGTTATCACATCGAAAACACACAATCAAATCAACTTTGATCGATTTAGATTGCGATTATTGTTACAAAAAGCACTTGTAAAGTGTTGTTCAACAAGTGAAAAAAGTCTCACTAGGATGAGTACAAGTGATCCTGAAGAGGAAGAAGATGCAATTGATATTACACCGGATCTGGAAGAATTAGATAGCGAGAATGACGATGATCATGTCAAACTATCTCAGATTTTACAAAAACTGAGCGAATGTAAGCATACATGTCACATGTGATCGTTGTGAAATCGAAGATTGTTTTTGGTTAAGTGTGTTTTGCACCAAAAGAACATGGCGTGAAAAAACTACAAGAGTGGATTATGAAATCTGAACCAAAAGCGAGAGAGCAATTGCAATCAATGTCGTCATTGACAATCGATCAATCGACATTAGTGGATACGACGTTTTCCAGAACGGCAGATGTAAATATTGAAAGTCCAATGGATCTCTTGCCGTTTTTAAACAAGCTTTCTTTCTTTCTTTAGACAACAACTATGGATGACTCAACAGTAACAATTAATGAAGCTGTTCAACTCGTTGAGGATCGTTTAGCCAGTCGAGTATCAATCGTTTTTTCTCATGATTTTCTCGAAGAGTTTCCTTCATCAGCGCAAACTTACTTCAATGACGGTAAATATTCGATACTGAACGAACAACACGATTATTTTCAATTGTTTCTTTGTTCAGAAGCGCAATTAGAAGAACAGGCGGATGACGATGACGATGATGATGACGATGACATTCGTTCGTCTTCGTCTTCTTCTTCAGTAACAACAAATCTTCGATCACAAAAAAATGATCAACGTCAACATCGATGTATCAAACAAATGGGAAAGTTGACGAAAGTAAGATGACGCTGTAAACCATTCTTCTCGAATTACAACGTGTCAATGTCAAGGTACTTCGACCCTATTTGGAGAGTTGTATGGATGTTGAAATCTTGGAGAAATTCATTGCAGTTATTGATGAAAATCGACCAGTACTCAGTGAGTTCATTCCACCGAATTACATTAGTTCTCGATAGTTTACTTTCAGGTACATTTGTTTTTGGTATCCTAGCTGAATTTGGTGCATTACTCGGGCCAGGTTCCATCAAAACTACACTTATTGAGTAAATTATGACAACTTCTGCATCTTCATCAGATTATTCTCTCGTTTCTTTTGCTACGATAATCTAGTCGTTTAGTTGATGTATTGGTTGACGTAATTAATAAAGGTGATACGACAACAATGGGTAAATGGGCAGTGCGTGCACTTGTACCAATTGTTGGATCCAATGAACAACAACTGGAACATATCATTACACACAGCTTATTCGGCAAAGTAATCTTATCAAACTAAGTCGATATGTCTTATCTGTTCTCTTCTAGACAAAAACATCCTGGTGGTCAACAGATGGTTCGGCATCATCGCATCGATGGTTATTGCTTAGTCATATCGTAAAATATGCACCATCGACACGAACCATGTTCAGTATCCTGCAACAAATCATCAAAGTTATCTTACGTCACTTTCACAACGTAATACATATCTTGTTCATTTCATATGAATCTATTTTTTCCATTTAGCCAAAAAGCCTCGGTGAACCCATGAAATCTTTCGATGAAATTTCAGATGACATTCAAATGAGAGTATGTAAATCCGAAATAGAATGAGCTCTTCGTTCATGTTTGTCTATAGGCTAATCAACTGAAATTTCTCTCACGCTCAGCTAACTGTATTCGTGTTCAGCGCCATGGAAATACTTTTCTGACAGATAACGAGGACGATGACAATGAAGATACCGATGATGAAGATCGAATTGACACAATCAATTCGTTATTGAAATTCCTATTGAAGTTAATCAAAGATGTTCTTATTTTTCCCAAGGATGAGTCGGTTTCACATTCTTGTATTTTCTCAAAATATTTTTTGTTTGTTTATCAAAGACTCGGCCGACATTTTTTACAATTACAAGCATCCATTGAAGTTCTTCGAATGCTAGAAATTCCAGAAGTTTTTCACAGTTTTGCGCCGACAAATTACGTTGAATTATCTGCTGCTGCAACGGTATGCTTGACAAGACAAATCCGATTAATCACATATCAATTTCTTTTTACATTTAGCATCAAAATGCTCATGTTCGTCATCGCTTTCTTCAACGTATTTTAAATCGAGTAGCACAATGGAAATTGTCCGTTTTATTTCTTGGTTTCACAGTTTCTGTGCCCAACGATGACGAAGATCTGACAACTGCCAAAAACCTTAAATCAGTTATGGAACGATTATATATCTTAGCTTCGAGAGGATCAGGTATTTGATCGTACTTATTCGTCTCCTGTTCGAACTCTTTTGTTACTTCTTAGTTGAAACAATGCAACGTTTGTTACCTGAGAAGTGTATCTCATTGATGGTGTATTTACATGCAAATAATCGAAGTCTAGTTGTCGAAATCGACCGAGAGGTTCTTGAATCGATTACAAAGTATGTCGAGTCTTTCTTCTCAATTCGATCCTCATCAAACTTCGTCCCATAGTTCAGTGAAATGGATTCTACGTTTGATATTACAAGCTCGTGAGAAAACGAACAAACGCTTCCATGGTGCTATACCTAAACTACTCCATTCAATCAAACATAGTCGTTCGAAAGCTGATCCACTTGACGACAAACTACATTACGTGAGTAAAGTTCGATCTATTTGATCAATGATAGCCATTCTTTGTTTGTCAACTAGCGTATTTATTTGGTTGTTGATATATTTCAATCAGTATTTGCGGATTTATCGCCGCTCGAAGCGTATGATTTTGCCGACTCACGAAATAATCTCTCCGGAGAACCACTTCTTTTCACATCACCAAATTTTGTGAGTGAAAGGTTGTGTTGTTCAGTTCATCTCGAAAACTTCTTCCCTTCTAGACAAATTTGAATACAAAAAGTTATTTGCCCGACTTTTATAAAGAAAAGAAGGTGACGAAACGTTCGAAAAAGGACGAATCAATGGTTCTAGATGATAATACGGACAACGAAACCGAATTCAGTGAAATGGCGATTACACCGGCAACAACTATCGCATCGGATGATGAAGATGATGATCACGAGAAGAAGAAGCAGAAGAAGAAGATGAAACCAAAGAAGAATTCGCCGAATAAGAAACGACAACGATACCGCGCAAGAGAACCACCATCAAGTTCAAGTGAAACAATCGATGATGACGATGACGATGAAGAGCAGGAAGAACAACGAAGACAACAAGAAGAAAAAGAAAATGAGAAAAGAAGGTTTTGAAGAAAAACTTCAATTTTAACAATTCACCCTCTGTTTGTTTTCCTTTTTAGTCGAAAACGAAAAGGTTCAGCTACAGCTCGGTAAGCCTTATTTCATCGATTTACCCATTCAATGTATATACGTGTACTTTAGTTCGACAAAACGTCTTTCCAAATGATCTTTATTCAATTGTACATAGAAACCAATTATGAAAGCCTAGTCAAGATATTTCTTCTTATTTTTCTTGTCCGATCAATTGTTATTTGTTTGTCTCTTATTGATTTTTTTTCTTATTGAACATAAACCAAGTCAAATAAATTTCTCGAAAAATCAATACGATTAATATTACAAAATGGAATTGTTGATGGCTCCGTTGCGAACATCACGCCCTTGAGAACAAAAAGGAAGAGCAAAGAGAACGGATCAGTCCGATTTAGAAATTGATGGAAGCACATCAGTGCCTATTGGTCAGCGACGAGAGTACATTTGGATGATCGCTACCCGTAGGGTGTACTCGATTGCAAATGGGTCATTATCGGCATGCATTTCTTTTTTTTCTTCTCTCCTCTGCTTTCTACTGAAAATGCTCTCGTCGATGTCGAATCTAATGCGAGATATATGTATTCAATCACGTGATTTTCATTTTGCTTTCCTTTTGCGTTCTTCTCTCGATTTTCGAGAAAACGAGAGATTTGGAATATGAATGAAAATTTTCTTATGTAAAGTTATATTTACGCATTTGGGCTAAACATTATTCTGTAATCAAGATAAGAAGGTCCTCTCGCTATAGACCGTTCGGCTATTTCTGTTATTGTCATTGTTATGTACGTGATCTATCGTTTTCCTTTGCTTTGCCATTGCATGTCATCATCATCATCACATTCCACATACATACATACGAACAGACTGACTCATTATTTGAATGAATGTTAATCATTTTCATCTTGATCATCGCCGCAGGCGGTAGTCAGTCAGTTGATAGGAGTGAAACATATTATACACATTCATTTATCTACACTGCTTTCTTCTCCGTCGTCGTCGCCGTCGTCNNNACAATTGAAGCACGAAAGATAGAAAAAGGAAATTCAATCTCTATTTCTCTTTCACACACATACACATACACGGCATCCCCGAGGGATAATGATATCTTGATGTGTGCGTGTGTATGTTCGCCTTATTTACTTTTCTCCATGAATATATACTCTCATGCAGCTGCTTTATTTCTTCTTGTTCTGTCCTATGTCTGTCTGCTATTTGTCGTCGTCGTCATTGTACAATACTTATCTTAAAGAGACAGAAGAAATGTGTAAATCTGCCAATTGATTTATTTAAATATTCCCCTTGTTTATGTTGTCAATATTCTGACGGTTTTTTTTCTTTATTTAGAAAAATCCACGTATGACTAAACATGATGAAAAAGCCCTATCACCAAAGAAAACTTCTCTTGAAACAGTCGATCAATCATCCCTAACTGACGAAGCTTCTTTTGGCTCCTGTGAACCAGGTACCAACGTTGTTCTTCAAGGCATCGTTTGGAATGAAACTGATAAAGGTAAATTAGTTGAGCTAGAGAAAATAAATTTCAGTAATCATGTTATTTAATAGGTGTACTTGTCGTCAATATCACTTGGCGAGGTAAGTCATGTCAATGTGAATTGATATCATTAGACCACATGATGTTTTAAGGTAAAACTTATGTTGGTGCCTTGTTAAATACTACTGAGCAAAACTGGGCTCCACCACGGTAGGTTGATTTTTTAGTTCCGGTTAATTCGTAGTTGTTCCACAATGACTGTTTTTTCGTAGATATAAATCTGATGTTCGTTCCACAAAACAAAATCATAATCGTGATCAGCAATTAACGTCGATACCATCTACACATGATTCAAGTGAACGTATTTTACGTAATGGAAAACGGCGAGGATCAAGTACAACAGTAACTCCAAGTTCAACAAGCAAAAATCAATCATTCAAAATTCCTCCAACGCCACCGTTATTAACGAAAACGGATGACGGCACACCCAATGTTCTACCATCATCGGTGAATGCCAATGATGAAGATGACGCAAATTCCTTAAACGAAGAAAAACAGACTATAACGAATAGTAATCGCGGTGGTCATGATGAAGAGATAGGTGATAATGATTCAAATCGAAGCCTTAGTCCAATGACAAGCGGCGCAAGTACAACATCATCGAGCCCACCATTATCGACTACTACAGAAAATCAATTATCCTCAGACACAACGACAACGATTCCAGCAGATCTGTCCACCAAAACGACGACCTTAAATTTTGAACAAAAAGCGAACCACAATCTATTACCATACCACTTTCCTTCGGAAATAGTCGATCCATCGAGTTATTTCTCTTCACGACATGGTTCAACAAATGCATTCAATTTACCAACATTCAATAAACTCTCTTCTCAATCATCCACGATACCATCGCCATTTCTTTCGATGCCAGCACAACTTTATTTTAATTCATTAACATTACCTCATTATCCATCAGTGCCTTCTTTGTCAAAAACATCGCACTAGGTTGTATTTATATTTGTTCAGATACTTATTTCAATCGATCTTGTTCTGCTAACACATAGATGGCAAGGTGCTCTAATGTCTAGTAAACTCTGGTTCCTTTCCTTTTGTTTATTTGCTGTTCTCATCATTGTTTTTGTACATATATATATATATATATTCTTTCATTCAGTTTATCTATTCTAGTCGAATGTTCTATGTTCCCAGAGAAAGAGACATAACTTTTTGTGTAAATTTATTCTCTCTTTCTTTCTCTCTTTCCTTTACTACTATTACTATATTACAACTTACTACTACTATTATTAGTGTGTAATCAACACACAAAACAATAAAAAAACAAAAACAATATAAAAAAATAGAGATCAATGTGCGACAATGAAGAATGAATGCGCTTAGCATTCGTGTCACTTAACTCATTCCATTTTGGTAAACGATGATGTTGATGGTTCATGTTTTCTTTTCTTCTCCGTCTTTTTTGAGAAACTTGTTGATGTCGTCTTTTGTTTATTCAAGTAGATGAAAGTCTCTTAAGCTAGTGAATTCAATTGTATTCTTCGCCCCCTTCTCATCGATTAGATGAGGCATGTCGATTCATAATCGCAGTTTCCTCTTGTGACGTAATTTCCGTTTGGATTTCAATTGCAAGCATTGTTTTTCTTTCCTCTTTTTGTTCTCGATCGCATTAGATCGTAACATGTCAAATGTGTAGTATCGATATTTATTCTTTCGATTATAAGAGCAATCAAATCTGAAGTTTCCATCTTGTCTCAAAGAAAAGGTTATATAAATATTAACTATAACTTCCTTTTTCTTCGCCTTTTTTCTCTTCATCTTATGTATACAAAAACGTAAAGATTCAAAAACATCATTATCGACATATGACCCGTTGATATTACGTGTAATAGACATATTTACTTAATGTATATCTACACACGGAGACTACGACAAGTAGAGAAGTAGTATCAGATTCATTTCATTTTCTTTATATTTGTAAAATTATACCATTGATATGAAAGAAATCGAGATGTCAATTAAAAAACAAGGTTTCTTTCAATACAATTTAAGAACCTCTTGAAGAAATAAGAGGGGAAAAACGCAAAAAAGAGACTTGAGTGTTTCTTTGCTGATAGGCGTATAGACAAATATAGCTTATCACGAGTAGTGTAACCACGAATTTGCCAACATAGTCTGAAACGTCTTGTTGACAATGATAGTGATGAGATGGAAGTCGACTGATGTGAGAGTGGAGAAAAGAAAGAGTAATGGCATCTGTAGACCTCGAATCCATTTGTCTACTTGTATGTGTGTGTGTAGGCAAAAAAAGTAGGGGAAGTGAAAGGAGAAGCGCATATAAGCAAAGAACGTGCGTTCGCTCGAAACTCTTTTAATAACATATAAAGGCGCGTAAGATAGGCATTAGAAAGACGAGTGAGAGTCTACATTTTTCTTTTTTTTCCTCGCTCTCCCACCTCCCTTCTTTGGTCGAGTNATCTGTAGACCTCGAATCCATTTGTCTACTTGTATGTGTGTGTGTAGGCAAAAAAAGTAGGGGAAGTGAAAGGAGAAGCGCATATAAGCAAAGAACGTGCGTTCGCTCGAAACTCTTTTAATAACATATAAAGGCGCGTAAGATAGGCATTAGAAAGACGAGTGAGAGTCTACATTTTTCTTTTTTTTCCTCGCTCTCCCACCTCCCTTCTTTGGTCGAGTCCATACGAACGATAGAAAGGAAGGAGAAAAATATCTTTTCTACATCAGCACATTCATTTCTCTGGAGACGACAAAAAAAAAGAAAAAGAGAAAAAAAATACGACACAGCAATCATCACTCTCCGTAAGCAAACGCACACACATACACGCATCTAAAGAGAATACTATATATATATATATATGCAGAACGACAAACGATCTTTTCTTCTTCTCGTCATGTTAATACTTTCTTTGTTCTTCACAAATGTGAAATAGACTGACCCGTCGATAGAAAAAAACAGAAAGAGAAAGAAAGGGAATAAATCGTAGCAGTAACAACAGCAGGCAGCAGTAATAATAGTATGCATATGACTTTCTTCTTCTAATCCGAACCCGTCCTTAATTGCCAATACGTGCGTTATTTTCTTTTTTTCTTATGTGCATTTGTTATTGTTCCTTCCTTCTATAGGAATACCTAATCGACTCAGACAAATATATACATATATCGACGATAACTAAATCAGACCACAACAGCATGAGCTGGCTTGTTAAACGATGAATCTTCTTATTGAACAACGTTCAACATCAATAACGTCGAAATTGCAAGCAACTCAATCACCATTATCGAATGAAAATGATGTGAATAATAGTTTATCATCTTCACCGCTGATACTTAAAATAAAGCGGCAATCAAATTCATTACCAATGACAAACGACGATAATAACACTAATAATCAACGTTTAAAACGTCCTATTCCTAATTCAACTACACGTCGGCCATCTTCACCTGCATTTAATGGTAAACAACAAGTAACCAAACGTTCGATGACGATTGATAATAACAACAATGATTTGACACCAAATCTTGACGATAGTTTATCGATGAAGCGATTCAAACAAGATGATTTAAGTGTAAGTTCTCCGTCGTGTTGATTTTATTTACTTTATACTTTAGTTTACTTGAGTCAGTGAAATCAACCATATGTATTTATGTAAAAAATGTCATTTTTTTTTCTTTTGTTTTCTTAAGCAGTCATCATCAACTAAAGTGGATGCCAGTGTTGAAACAGTCTCCATTGGTTTAGCTACTGAACCTGATCAGCTTGGTCCCTGTGAGCCTGTACGTATCTCGTTGTTTTTCTTTCTTTCACTCTCAACGCCATGGATATCTTTTTCTTGCCTTGTCATTAGGGTACAAGTGTTGTATTAGAAGGCATCGTTTGGAATGAAACTGACAGCGGTAAGNCTTAAGCAGTCATCATCAACTAAAGTGGATGCCAGTGTTGAAACAGTCTCCATTGGTTTAGCTACTGAACCTGATCAGCTTGGTCCCTGTGAGCCTGTACGTATCTCGTTGTTTTTCTTTCATTCACTCTCAACGCCATGAATATCTTTTTCTTGCCTTGTCATTAGGGTACAAGTGTTGTATTAGAAGGCATCGTTTGGAATGAAACTGACAGCGGTAAGCGAACTTAATCAGACTTGTTTGTAACTCTTCATCATTCTAATCATAATCGTACAAAAGAACGTATACGCTTTAATATCGATCATAAATTATCAAACTAAACAGATGTTACCGTTGCATTTTCTATGCATGTGTGTGTGTGTCCTCTTGATGACAGCGATGAAAGAGAACGATGAAGTTTCTTCGTATTTGCAAGTGTTTCTCGGCTTGTTGTTATATGGTATGTTGTCAGAGAACAACTCAAAACATGTTTTATTTTCTCTTCACATGAATATATGTGATTGTTAAGTGTGTATGCAATCTTATCATCATGTCTTTTGATGACGAACGGAAACGTCTTTTCTTCTTCTAAAAAACAAAAGCAAGATGAACTTTGCCCATCGGCAAATTTTCATTTTCTGGCTCGAGTAATGCTTGTGCGTGGATAATTATGTATGTATATAGAAATATAAAATCAATTAATCATGTATGTTGATACGCATCAATTATTTATGATAAGTAAAATTTCTCTCCATTCTATTGACAAAAGATTAATATTATCTGTCTCTCTCACCTGTACGTGAATTAGCAATTGTTGTTTCAAGGATTGACCTTGTCAACAAAGATCGAGAGAATGTCTTGATTAGAGAAAATTTTCAATTTGTTTTTCTTATTATTTTCAAATATACATATTTTCTTTCTTTTTAAATTATAGGCGTACTCGTGGTTAATGTAACATGGCGAGGGAAAACGTATGTTGGAACATTACTTGATTCAACAAAACAAGACTGGGCATGTCCTAGGTAAATATCAATAATTACCAATTTTCTTGTTTTTCTTTCTTCGGACGAATTTGTTACTTCGTTTGTTTTTTTTTTCTTTCTATTAGATTAATATGTGAATCACCAACAAGTGATTACGATGCTCGACATAGTAATAAAACTAGTCGTACGAAGCGTACGAGCGCCGGTGGTAATAATCGTTGTTTGAATTCTCAGTCGACATCTTTGCCTCAACAATATTCGTTGTATATGAATTCATCAGGTTCAGACGATCGAAAGCTACGAAATAACATCAAAACAAGACAGTCAAAACGAATAAATCTCAGTTCTATAGATGAAACTAGTACCACTACCTCCTCGAATGCAACATCAAACACTTCGTCGCCGTTGTCCTCACCTTTTCGAGCAAATACAACATTTTTTCCACCGTCGTCGTCATCATCATCATCAAATCCGGAAGGACAATTAATTACATGTCCCGAATCGCAATGTTGTAAACGATTCGTTTCAACCTTAGCTCTTAATTATCATCTAAGTAATGCTCATAAAAAAACAGATGCCAACAGCTCCACGTCAATGCCACAAGCGAATACACGAGACGAAGAAGATGTTGCACACATTCTAGCTAATGTGGCTGATTATGTACGTCGACCATCACCTCGTTCTTCTCCCGATCATCAACGTTCAACAACACTGACATGGCCATGTCCGCAAATATCTTCGAATCTTGTTCTCTCATCACCTTTAATCAATAATGAACCATCAACTATTCCCGTTTCGACCAATCCGACCAAGTACGTTTCATTAACTAAATATACATATTTTGAGGACATTTTTTTTTCTTCTTATCGATAAATCCAAAGCTTTAAAAAGGAAGAGAGAAAAATGCCCTTCTAACATATTCATCTATTGACTTTTATTCTAAATAATACTATTTCATCTCTCATACTCTCTCTCCAGAGATGAAGTATTCTCTCGAGCAATATTTAATTCTTATTCTTTCCTTGAGGAGAAATAAGTCCTTGGTGCATCGTCTTCCAAGCCAGATAAGCTTAGCAAATTGAACAAAACTAATTTCCTGTTTAGATCTATTCTTAATAACACTGAGACAAATACCGAGCAAGATGAAGTCAAAGCACCCGATCATTTCTTACTACATATCAACGATGAATCACGGACAAATACGAAAAATGACTCCAGCAATGAAAATAAAAAGACTCTGAAGATTTCCACTCCGCCACCCTCATCTTTCGTACCCATCAATCTAACTCCAACAATTGCACCACCACCACCACCGTCATCACCAGCCTACTCGGATATATCAGATGAAGATCCTTCAACAGCGATAGCAAACGTCACCCAAGATTCCGAAAAAACTCTCACTCCATCGACAATCAATTTGTTAACAGCAACTAATGGAAGAATTGATGAAAACGATCAATCAATAATATCAAATGCACCATGGACAGCACAAATGCTTTTACAACAATATGGTTCTTATATTCAGCAACAAACATCCAATTGGTAAGAAAAAGAAATGCTTAGCATCGAATTTCAAGGCAAATTTTCTTTAGTTCGAACAGTAAAACCAATTCAAATAGTACTGATGATTCCACTGTGAAAAATATTCTCGATTCTGGACGTTTATCACTACCAAAAGTACCATCCCCATCTTCAAATGCTGATTCAAATGCATTAGAAACAGATTTACCATCGCTGAATGAAAATCTCCTTCATCCTTCAACAACAACAACAACAAGTTCTTTATCTTCAACACATCAGACTCGGTGATGCACGGACCCATTTCTATATTTTCCAAGAATCGATCGATTGATTGATTGGTTTCAAATTCATACTTATCGATGAATATCTTTTTTTTCTGTACAGCGATTCTTCTTCTTTTTTTGTATGTTCGATTATTAGCACAAAACAAAAACCACGGTGCAGTTTTCATGCACCAACAGTCTTTCACGTTCATTGCTTTGTGCGTGTTGTATTTCGCTTTTTCTTCTTTATGTTCTTTCTTTTTTTTTCTCTATCATTTTTGTTTTGTTTTGTGTATGTCGGCATTGTTCTATGAGATGAAATGATGATATGACAAAACAAAAAAGATGATAATGCTTGAACATCATAATGATGACATGAATAGAAAAGAAAAATTTGACATTTTTCCAATAGAGACTTCGAAAAACGCTATTTGCTTGTCAATATGACATGATATGAAAAGGCAAAGTCTATGTGGATGATTATTCGATTTTTTAAAAGATTAATAATGATAAATTGTGTTCAAAGAACATTAACGAAATAGATTGAGATAAATGATTGTAAAATGAAATGTTGCCTTCGTTGACAGAAATGTGCAAAACTAGAATGTGAGTTCGGGGTTTTTATGTGAATCAGAAATAGCTTCTGGAGTGTTGTTTCAAGTGTTTTTTGGTCGCTTACGAATATGTACCGTTTCACGATGTAGAGAACTATTTAAGAATCATTCACAGTTGCACGAAGTGTCACTTCTCATCCTTGACATATTTCAACTTTTTCATTTCTTGAACATTTGAAAAGACTCGAGGACTATTCATCAACAAAAAGTAGACAAATGTCTTTTATACGAGAATTCTCGAAACAGAGTTTTAGATATTGGTTTTGAACTAGACATGCATGCCGTTTTATATTTGTTAATTGCTTTTCAACCGTATCATTGTTCGTGTGTCAATTACTAACAGATGGACAGAAGAAAGAAAATAAATTATTTAATTAGAATGGCAATCAGCAGTACATTGAAAAGAGCACTAGAACGCGTCGACAATCGCTTTCTTTCACTGTTTCAATTTCGATTTTATACACTCAGTTCGAATAGTATCAGCCATGAACTGTACGCGTATGTGATCCAATTGTTTTTCGTGGAAAACCTCATGAGTTTTCAATACGATTTGAACTTCTCGAACCCTGATATTTTCATTCGTATTAGCAGTGTAATTAATGCTTTTACGATAGCGATAAGTTCCACCCACATTGTCTTCATTATTACTATGTTTTTAAGACATTATCCTTTCTGTCATTTTGCGAGAAACCGTAAATAACAAAAAATGATTGATGAAACGTTCCAGTTATTTTGTCGATAACTTTTTGACGTGCCAACAAAACAAAATTATTGTGAAAATATGTTCCCAGTTAAATATAGCGTTATTACAACTATTTTTCTCGCACCGATAAATTACGGTTCATCGTATTCGTTATGCATGAAATAATTTCCATCCATCTGAAAGACGATACTAATGCTTATTAGCATCTTCGGAATTGTTCCAAACAATATCACTGATTCAATTTCCTTCTATCTCGTGTTGATCGAGGAACATCATGAGGAGAACTGCAATGACCTCAGCTGAAAGTCGACGACGGAGAAGAGAAACAACAGCTTTGTGAATGCATCGCGACCAGCAGTCTGACAAATAAGTTTATAAGTTATTCTTTCCAATAAAAGAAATAATTGTGACGCCAAATTCTTTCAATGTCACATATATCCAATAACCAAATGATCTTTTGATTGTCCACATGGGATTCGAGCTAGTTTGACAGGCAGATAACTAATGCTACATGTGTAACCATCTTTGAATACACGCAAGTAGAGACAGGCAAAATGATCTGATGATAAATCTTGAACAGAAGATCATTCAGTGATTCAGTAAGAATACAAACGTTGCAAAAAGAAAGATTGTAGAAGGATAAGTCAATGTATCAATTACGAAAAAAGAAAAAAAGTCGCATATAAACAGAATGATTACGACATTGATTAAGATAAATAATTAACGATGAAGATTATGTTTTCTGTATACAGTAAAAAGACAAATTCTTTACTTCATTAACGATGTCACAATGATGTCGACTTGTCCTCAATCGATGCTAAATAACATACGATATACTGCACTTGATTTAGATTCTATACTGATCATCATATGAAAATAATCAACAGAGTCCGAATGGAAAACGATCGTCGTAGGCATTATTCGCGTGAAATCAAAAGTCAAGATTGAGTAATATAATATCTGCAAAATGATTGCCATAGTATCATATAGACATATAAGTAATGCTAGCTTGTTTCTAGGACAGAAAGATCAAGCAACGTGTTGAGAAGCTGTTTTTCAAAGACTGTGGTAGCATACAGGAGCATCTAAGAGAGACACACATATTTATATTCAGAGATTCGACGCCAATCTGATCTGTGTACTGTACCTATTTGTTGAAGATCGTTATAATGTTTAGAGATGTTATTGCTTGATTTTCAAGGACGAGAATATAACGGTAAAGACGTGACTGACTATGTCGCTAATTTAGCAGTATTTGTATTTGTTGTTCTACACACAATCGAGTATTTTCAGAAGGTTAACACGCACTTATTCCTTTTTCTCATGGTTAAACGTACAGAAATAGAACCTAGATCAAACAATCAGAATGTAAAATCCTACATTTGATTTATGCAGATCTGGTGGATGTCATCCATGAAATCACCATTTGTGTCATCTTCGCTATGCCCAACCTTTTTCTAATCATCTTATCCAGTTTTCTTACCATAGTCTAGATGGTAATTTACACAATAGAGAAAAACCTTGACAAAAAATTCTGGTATTTGCAGATATTTGAACATCCAACAGAAGAAGAATGAGTTTCCCGAAGTATTCTTCAAGTCTAATAAGATTTTATCGCTAACTTTCGTCTAACTGATCGATAACTTGCGATGTTTTTCTGCCACAATACTGTCAACATTGATTAATATATCGATTCCATCGTGTCAGAATGCCGATGACTATTTACGATACGACGAGTATCAAACAACACTCTCACCCTTCACAATTCGGTCACAATAGAAAACTTTCCTAAATTTAACAAATCCGATATAGAATTGTCTAGATTAGTAGTAGTTTGCTACACATTGCTCTTTTTATTTGTTTGACAATAGATCTCGATCTACCACTGTGTAGATGGGTGTTTGTTTGTGTATAGTCGAAAAAAATGTCTTTCAGTAAATAGACAGTCACAATTAGTGAGATGATAATAAAAATGGAAAGCGTATGTATCGTAGGCGAGAGAACATGAGAAATGCCTATAGACAGGCATCACCTGCAGAGAGCCTGTCATTCTTTCTTCTTCTTTTCTTCTTCTTTTTCTGTTGAGTTATTGATCATTGAGAGATTAACGCGGCAATAAGCGAACATTTTCATCAATACTATCTTATCCTCTATCACGTACATATTAGGCCGAAGTAAGTGTAAGTAAAAGCCAAATAGTCCAATCGTTATTATCGATCGGTCGATGGTATTTTCAATGTAATCGTACAGGAAAAAAACAACTGATGTTGACGGGAAGTTTCATCTTTGTTTCTCCGATGTTTTCGAAGTCAGATTAGTTTTCGAAGTTGTTCAGTAAATATGGAGAAGAAAAAACAAACATATAAAATAACGAAAGAAAGCGAGAAAAATGATAGAAAGAACAACACTAAGTAGATAAGGTTTAATATGTTTGTGGTATTTGTAATGTGCACCTGTTCAACAATTTCAACTAGACTATGTCTTTGATTTCACATCATCACTATAACATTCATTTATCGGTAGATAGAATATTACGTGCATATGAAAAGAGAGAGCGAACGAGAAAGAAGAAGATGATGATGATGAATCCACCAATTCTGACATCGATTCTTTTCTGTGCGGTGCGCGTATGTTAGGATCAACTTGGTAATCATGCACTTTTCTCTCTGCTTGTGTGCAAATTCTAGCAAAACTACTACTGTATGTTTATTACGGGAAGAAGAATGATAGATGCAGAGGATAAATCAGCGGAGACAATCTATGGAGAAGCAATACAATATTCTCCATCCTTTTCTTCTGTATTCCTTCATCTGTTAGCCTATATATATGTATGTATGTATATATATATGTATGTGCTAAAGAAAAGAAATTTCTCTCCATCAATTGCGACTACTGGCATTTTATCAGTCGATGTTATTGTTGATGTTGTTGTTGTCGTTGTTTGAGCCATTCGTGTATATAGTTCCGTTTTCTTTTTCTTCCGATTTATTCTGTTGACTGGCCGGCATCACTGCTGCGTTCCTACTGACGATTATGACTGATCATAAGCAGAAGAGAGAGAGAGAGAGAAAGAGAAAAGAAATTCTAGTTTGCTCTACCAATATCATATAAGGAAAATATGTCGACTCATTAGGGATAGTTTTCCGATTCTTCTTCTTCCTCTTCTGTTAGTCGTATCTGTACAAGAGAAAAAGAAGAAGAAAAACTGATTTCTTTTCCTTGAGGTCTGTCCTCTTCTTGCGACATAAACTACCACCCACGCTGAAGATATTTCCGTATTCGGGGTACACAGCTTCTTGTATACACGCACACAAACGTATATACGTTCGCATAACGCGCGCGTCTATATACTCTTTTGTTGTTTTCTCATCATTCGAAGCTAGCGGAGCTCTTGCTCAGCAGCAAAAAAAGGACCCTCGAAGTAAACAACGACAACAGCAGTCACAGCACAGAATTAGACCTTGAGTTGTGAGTATAAACAATTAAATATCGTAAATTTTGTTTAAAATCAACATGAAGATCACAAACTACACTTCAACGTTTGTTACACTAACACTTCAGATTAGAAGAAGAAAGAGACAATACAGAATGACCTCATATCATATCGACCAAAAAAAAGAAGAAAGAAGAGTTATATATGTCAAGTATTTTTTTCTGTGTGCATAGATTATATTAATTATCGAATAAGGAGTATCTTTCAGGTTTCAAATTGATATTCTTCTGTATCTTGTTCTTCTTTTTCTCTCTACCTCTCCTTTCTTTCTTCTCGTATTCGACATACAAAAGATTATTGATGCCACTCATCGACTGCTCAACACAATACTACATTCGGAGTAGAGAGGAAAAGAGTAGAAGATCATCATCGATATGTTATCGTATGATGAAATGTCGCTCATTACATCTTTACCGTCGAACTCTCACACTTGTGTAAATGCTCGTATAGTGCCTGCATAGGAAAAGAACGAGTCGAACAAATAAACGTTTTAGTTAAGTCATTCATCTAACAAGAAGATAATCATGATGAGGAATAAATGGACTTCTCATCGTTCACAAATCTATACCATTTTTTCTTCTCTCACACCTGTGTACGAATGAAACAAAAGGCGATGCATAAGTGAGTGCATACGTAATAAAAAAGAAAATATAAAGCAATTGATTGAGATTTTGATTCCTTTTATTGAAATGAAACCTTAGGAAGTTTTTGTTATGCGAGTGATTTGACAGTTCTTTGTAGTGAACAGAAAAAACACACACACACACGCGGACCATTTTAAGATGTAGGATGCTCTAAAATAACCGACAAATAACCATATTTTCCTCTTCTTTCATAGGCCAGTTGACATTCATTCACCAGGATGTCTATCTATTGTGGTTTAGTCTTTTCTTTCTCCTTCGTTATAATATCTTCTATATCTGTTCTTTTTCTTGAAAGATAAGATGTCGCTTGTTGAAGAACCGTTATTCCATTGATCATTCTCCTCTTCGAACGAATTAACTTTGTACAAATCGTTTAGACGCACAAATCGTTTTATTTCCTTTTCTCCTATCCTTTCGATAACACGGCCTTCGAACAAAAACTGCCGTGGCATTTTCATCTTTCGAACCTCCGCACGTTTCTCTTTTTGTCTATGTTTCAAGTCAATCTTCTTTTGTTGTTATTTTTTTTATCAAAATATTTCATTGCGTGCACACACACGCATCTCACACAGGTGCCTTTCTTCTCTTATATATATATATATGTCGACTGCTTCTATAATAGCAGTCTGCGTCAGAGATTTATTCTGTTCTTTTTCATATATGAATATACTCATACTCATATTCTAATACAAACGATTTTTGAAATTTTTTTTCTTCGATTCTTTCATGCACTAGGTGAATCACATTTACGATTATAACCACGAAAATTACCGCAGGTCGTTGTTGAAGAACAAGAAAAGAGAAAAAGAAAGAGAGTGTCAACCATGTACAATCAGTCAGCAAACGGCTATTCAGGTGGAGGCGGGGGAGGTGGTCCTGGCTACCCAGAAAATCCTCGATATAACGACGAAGGTGAACCGTACGAAGAAGACGAATTTGGACGTACAGAGGAAGGTAAATAAAGAGCAAGATTTGCGGTTTCATTTTTGTTCTGTTCTTATCTTAACTATTCAATTTTACGCATAGAATTTGCTGAAGATATGCAACGTGAGTTAGCTGATGACGCACCATGGAAAAGAATCCAACAGAACACATTTACACGTTGGGCTAACGAACACTTAAAGTTAGTTAATCGTAACTTGGATGATTTACAAAGTGAATTAGGCGATGGCTTGAATTTGATCGCTCTAATCGAAGTTTTGTCACAAAAGAAACTACCCAAATACAATAAACGACCAAATTTCATCTCACAAAAACTTGCTAATGTTTCAATGGTACTTGATTTTCTTGAAAATACCGAACGTATACGTCTTGTCAATATCGGTAAGTCAACGAACGAAAGAATGAATAAAAAGATAATATTTATTCCAGTTTGTTTCGAGTAGAATAGTACTTGAGCTGAGTGCATGAAAATTTACTACATTAATATCATTAAACACATTCATAAAAAAAGAAAAGAGAATAAAATTCTTGCGGTCTTCGATGATTAATCGAAAATTTAGACAGAAGATCAATCGTCTTAGCAAGCGTAACCTAATAGACACCAAGAACATTGAAGTGACCTCAACTTCATGGTCGTAGTGTAAAGGATTCGATCGGTCGAAGAGAATGTCGTAAAGATATTTTCTGATCTTGATAATTTAGTTCTTAATGAGAACAATTTCTTGTTGTTTGCATTCCATTTTACAGTTACCTCCCGTTGACACATTCCATAATCAGATCATTTACCATCCATCTATTTCCGATATGAAGAGATCTTTGTCTTCCTCGCGTAAAAACAAAAGAAAACATCTCGGCTAGATGTTTCCATTCTGTTATCAATTAATGTGTTTTTATCTATGAGATAGATGATAAAAACAAAAAGAAATTGATTGAAAATGTTTGTTAAGATGCAACGCACATTGTTGAGGGAAAATTGAAACTTATTCTTGGCTTAATATGGACACTTATCTTACATTATTCGATTTCGTTACCTATGTGGGAATTCGAAACACCCGATGCACCGGGCTCGGGACGAGATGCGACACCAAAACAAAAATTAATGAATTGGATCCAAGAGAAATTACCACCCGAATTACCTATTTCGAATTTTACATCTGATTGGAACGACGGCCGTGCTATTGGAGCACTTGTTGATGCTTGTGCACCGGGTATGTACGCTCTCAAAATCATTTTTCTTCTTCTATAAGTCATTTTTTCTACCATAGGACTCTTTCCGGATTGGAACAAACGTGATCCACGTAATGCATTAGAAAATGCTAAAGAAGCCATGGATCTGGCTGAACGTTGGTTGGGCATCCCACAATTGATTCAACCACATGAAATGGTTAATCCACAAGTTGATGAACAATCGATGATGACATATTTATCACAATATCCAAGCGCTAAATTGAAACCGGGAGCACCACTTCAGCCACGAACAAATTCAGCACGTGTCCGATGTTATGGTAAAGGTATCGAACCAACCGGTAATCAAGTTGGTGCGCCGGCCAAATTCCATGTCGAGACATTTGCAGCAGGTCAAGGCAATGTCGAACCTATTGTTATCAATCCCAGAGGTCAACGAGAAAAAGTACGACGATTTTTAATGGTGACATTTCGAGAGAAAAAAACCGAAAAATGCTTTTTCTAGTGCGATGTGGAATTTCGTAACGATAAGAATCAAACTTATGATTGCACTTATTATCCATCGATGGAAGGACAATACAAAGTAAATGAAAATAAACAGACAAATTTTAAACTAAAAAATTTGTCTTCGTCATATGATAGGTTATTGTGAAATACGGTGGACAAGAAGTACCACGATCACCATTCTCACCGTACATTGAAGGAAAAGCTGGTGATGCTAGTCAATGCCGAGCACACGGTCCAGGTCTTGAACCAAATGGAGTGATGGTTGATAAACCAACATGGTTCGAAATCGATGCAACAAGTTTGTTCTAGTTTTGTTTTGGTTTCTCCTTTTCTATCGTGATTTTTCTTGGAAAATTGAACAGATGCAGGCAATGGTCTGGCTGAAGTCATTCTTGTTGATCCACGTGGTCGACAAGATGCCGTGCCCGTATCTGTTAAACAAATTGGTCCGGGAAGATTTCGTTGTGAATACGTACCACGTGAACCTGGCCTTCATTCGGTTAATGTCTTCTTTGCTGGTCGACCAATACCAAATAGTCCTTTTGGTGTTAATGTTGCATCATGTATGTATCATTATAGATGATTCTTATGTAACGTGACTAGTTTGAACATCTGAGACGAATTAATCACCAGTGAGATCAATATTAGAATAAGTGAACTACTGCTTTTGATTTGTTAGCGGAAGTGTTTTATTGAGAAATGTCCTGTTTGGAACAAGCAAACTGATGATTGATTCATTTAGCATCGGACGCAAAGAAATGTCGCGCTTATGGACGAGGTATTCAACCAAAAGGTGTTCGTACAGGTGATGTAGCTGAATTTCGTGTCATTACAAAGGATGCTGGCGAAGGTGCTATGAAGGCGACCGTTACTGGACCAGGTGAATAGTTCACTATCTTGTATTTCGTAACAATTATCATATTTTAGATGGTAATGAAATACCTTGCCGTGTAACGAAAACCAATAGTACAACGTACGAATGTGGCTATGTACCCAATCGCGTAGGTCCTCATACAGTCAATATAACCTACGGTGGTGCACATATTCCACGCAGTCCATTTCCTGTTATGGTTGGACCCTACAAGGACTCACGTATTCGAGCTTTTGGACCAGGTCTTGAAGGTGGCGTGGTTGGCTATCCAGCTGATTTTGTCGTTGAAACGAATGGAGAAACTGGTTCATTAGGTAAGTCATTTTCATGAAACTTCATTGTTGCTAATTCGCTCATTCTCATGACTTATTTTTCAACAGGAGATATTAGTAAGTACTGAAACTCGATGTGAATATAGTCCCTTTTCCAAAAGCATGATCTTGTGTTTGCCGTGATATATTTGGGAAATGAAATTTCAGCAAAAGGAATAGACTGTTGATAACATGTTTCTTATTTTTCAGGTTTCTCGATTGAAGGACCATCACAAGCTCGTATCGAATGTCACGACAATGGTGATGGATCAGCTAACGTACGATATTGGCCGACAGTACCTGGTGAATATGCAGTACATATTCTATGCAATGATGAGGATATCCCACTTTCGCCATTTATGGCTTGGATCGAAGGACCAGGAAATTTCGATCCAACTAAAGTAAGATATAAACTCTTGGTTCAATTCTATGAATGAGATGTTATTATTTTATTGCGTTTTAGGTTCGAGCATATGGTCCAGGAATTGAACCATCGGGACAAATTATTGGCAAACCAACGGAATTTACTATTGATGCACAAAATGCCGGAGAAGCACCATTACGTGTTCAAGCTATGGATCAAGAATATCAACCGGTCGATGTTCAAGTTCGAAATAATGGAAATGGAACATATACTTGCCGATATACACCACGTACTCCATTACGTCACTGTATCTTAGTGGACTATGGAGGTGTTGCCATACCAAATAGTCCATTTCGTGTAAGATTGTGCTTTTATCGAGAATGAAAGGATGAGAAATGTGTTTAGGTTTGGCCAACCGAACCATCGAATCCTTCGAAAGTTCGTGTCTTTGGTCCAGGTGTTGAACGTGGTGTTAAAATGCATAATCCAACATACTTTATTGTTGATTGTAAAGAAGCTGGACCAGGTATGATAAGATAATTTGATTCTATAAATAAACAACTCATGCTATCTTTTGTTTCAGGTGACATTTCGATTGCATTAACCGATACGAAAAATCAAGATGTACCATTTTCTATCGATGACAATCAAGATGGTACCTTTCGTATTGCATACACACCAAAATTACCAGGTGTACATTGTATCAGTGTTCTATTTGGCGATAACGAAATACCGATTTCACCAATCAAAGTCAATGTTGAACCCAATATTGATGTTAGTAAAATACGTGTCGAAGGTCTTGAAACAAGTAAGTTGTTCTTATTCCCTAGCTGTCTAGATCTAGCATATGAAGGAAGCAAAATATCAGTTTCGTTACTATTTGTTCAATGTTTGTGTGCGCATTGATACCTTGAATCCTTATTATTATTCTTTCTCTTTCTACACGCACTCTATCTCTCTGTATCTATCTCTCATCCATCCTAGTGCCTATTGTTGGACAGCCTGCCCAGGTAACATTGAATACACTAGCGGCCGGTCCATTACCGCCCAATGCGGTTCATGCACGTATTACCGGACCATCAGGAAATACGCAGGACGCAGTTGTCACGCCTGCACCACAAGGATATAATCTTCGTTTTAACGTACCCGAACCGGGAACATATGTCATTGAACCAGATGTATGTACGTTACCTTTACGCCCTGTGCAAGTGACAGCGATAGAACCGCTTGACCCAAGTAAAGTTCGTGCCTACGGGCCAGGCCTCTCGCAAGGTACAGTCAATAAACCAGCCGATTTCATCGTTGATACTCGCGGAGCTGGTAATGGACAATTGGGCGTAACAGTAGAAGGACCATCGGAATCGAAAATCGACTATCAAGATAATAATGATGGTAGTTGTCGGGTGACCTATCATCCAACAGGTAGTGTCCTTTTTATTTACATCGTTTCGTGAATTATAAATAATTAATTGTCTACAGTCGCTGGCAACTACAATATTAATATCCTATACGAAGGCAAGCATATTCCAGGCTCACCGTTTCGTGCTGCTGTACGAGCCGATCTTGACGTTCGATCTATTCGTTGTTATGGACCAGGTCTCGATCCCCAGGGTGTGTACTACATGGATTCAACGACAAAACATATTCATATATATACATATATACATATACTTATTCATATCTAATCAATCGCATCGCATGCGCTACTCTTTCTTTCCGATATCTCATCTCGCCTGCATGATCTATAGCTTTTTCTTTTTGAAGTGCTCAAGTCTTCTACTAAAATATATGATGATGGCATTCATATCTTTAGTACGAATCTTTCTTGTCTTCAAATAGATGTGTTCAGACATATCTTCTGGTGAATTGTGTCATTTTTACAAAAGCGCATGTTGTTTTATACTGTCATCTAAATCTGTTTGATTAAATCTTTCCGTTCTTTTCTAGGAGTATTTCTCGAAAGTCCAACTGAATTTACTGTCGATGCCAAATCAGTTACTGGTAGTGGTTCTGGACGTGTCGAATGTTTATTGACAGCACCGAGTGGTCGACTAGTTCGATGTCCCGTACGAAATATGGGCGATGGTACTTATCAAGTTCAATATGCACCCTACGAACAAGGTAATTATTTCATCTTTTTTGGACGAGAATTGATTTTATAATTAAACGAAATTCTTCTATCTTCAAGGTCCACATCAACTTGAAGTCACTTATGAAAATATTCCTGTACCGGGAAGTACATTTCGCGTCAATGCTGTACCGGGTTGTGATCCATTACGTGTACGTGCGTATGGACCAGGTCTCGAATATGCGACCACCAACGAACCAGCAACATTTACTGTCGAAACCAAAGGTGCTGGACAAGGTAGCCTTGGATTGGCAATTGAAGGACCATCGGAAGCGAAAATGGTTTGCAAAGATAATCAAGATGGAACATGTATTATGGAATATTTACCAGTAAGATACATCAAACTACGCATTGTCTTAAAATACTTCGTTTTTATCTTTCAAATAGACAAGAGGCGGTGTATATGACATAGCAATTAAATTTGCTGAACAACATATACCAGGTAAGAAAAGATATTCACTGTTTTGTTCATCATACTTCAAGGTATCCGAGCAAATTGAGCGTGAAAAGTCCAAAGCTCTCATTGATTTTGAATTGTTCTTTATTCGGTTCTCGAAATATTCGATAGTTTCATTAAATATGCTTGTTTGCATTCGTTTCAAACGCATTCTAATCAGATACAAGTGGATTCCATATCATCTGAAATTAAAGTATATTTTTTCAAGGTCGTCCTTCATCCGAGCAGAATTTATTTGATACTCTTGGATGAACCAGACACGTCCTTTCTGACTAATAAAATCAGCAATGACGGGAAAAGGTCATAACTAATAGTTGTTAATAATTAGTGTTCTTAAATACATTCGTCCGATTACCTCGGCTGATTATCTTTAATGAAAAAATTGAGAATCGTCGGAATGCCTTTGCAACAAAGATCATAGACACAAATCAAACGGACCTTCTTTGTCTTCTAGGTTCACCATTTCGAGTTAATGTTCGTGACCGACTTGATGCTAATCGTGTCAACGTTAGAATGAGTGAAACAATGCGCGCGAATGTTCTTCAAGAAATTCTCATCGATGGTCAATTAGCTGGTGCTGGTGTTCCATCCGTTGATATTTCGGATATTCACGGTACGTCGAATGTTTTCGTTGATTTTGATGACAGAAAAAAACCAATGCACATTCAAATTAATAGTTCCATTGATTGAAAATCAATTTCTTCCCTCCTTCTATTCTCTTATACGAGCAAAATAGAAAAACAACATTAATTCAAGGATAAGGATCAAATTAAAAAAGAAAGGCTATATATATAAATTCTGGAGTAAACAACATCGATGAAAACATCTATTCACTAGTCTAACCTTATGACTTTATTTTTTACCGTTTTTCTTTTGTTCAGATTGAAAGAAGTTTTTTTTTTCAAATTAATTTCATTTCAGGTCGTCGTAAACCGGCAAATATTCGCCCAAGGGGTGAAGGCATATACGTTGCAGAATTTACTCCACAAATCGAAGGTCCACATCGTATTGACATTAACTGGAGTGATCAACCTATACTTCAAAGGTAGTTCAATATTCACTCGATATTTGTATCCTATATAAATCTCCATATATTTTATACAGTCCATTTCACGTTCAAGTTCTTCCTCATTTCGAACCGCATAAAGTTACTGTCGACGGACCAGGTATTCATAGTGGCATCCCCGCATCATTGGAGACTTACTTTCGTATTGATACAACTGAAGCTGGTTTTGAACACCCAGACGTTTTAATCAAAGTAAGATTTGCTATTCGCCTTGCTGCGAAAAAAAAACAAAATATCTTTGTTTTACGAGTATTTTACACGATGGAAGAAGACCCCGCCCTTTTCATAATTATAGTCGTGATGTCTTTGTCTGATATTTGTCCATTCTGTTTAGAGTCCTGAAGGTCTTCTCGTTCCCACGAAAATTGTCGACAATAAAGACGGAACATACAAAGTTACCTATAAACCGAACGATGTTGGTCGGTATTTAATTAATGTTAATTATGGTGGTGTTCCAATCAACCATTCTCCATTCAACGTCAAAGTGGAGCCAATAGGCGATGCATCGAAATGCCATGTTTCTGGTAAGAAGAAAACGCAATTCTATTTTCAAAGCAGTCACACCAATCAATGAGTGATCTTTTAGGCAATGGCACAAACCCAAACCTTCAAGTAGGTGAAGAATATACAATTACCGTTGACACACACGAAGCAGGTCCTGGCGCAGTAACATGCCGCATACGTTCGACTCTTGGCAATGATCTTGACATTGACATTGTCGATAACGAAGATGGTACATTCAATCTTTTCTACACCCCACATAATCCGGGCAATTATGTTATTAAAATCAAATTCGGTGGTCAAGATATTCCTGGCGGAGATTTCGTTGTCACAGTAAGTCTTTCTGTCGCATTCCATCATCCTTTTCTCATTACTAATAATTCGACTGTTTTAAATTCAATTCGAACTACTAACACCATTTAGCCTTTTCCATTGATGGTAGGCATAATGCAAAAAAAAAATTTGAATACACTTCCACGATTGCTATTCTCTGTGCAATGGAGAAAAATGAAAAAAAAATACACTAAAAGCTCGATTATACAGCTTTCGTTCTTCTTCTCATAGGGTGACATGGATGTCTGGGTATGATCAATATTCTCTCTGACTCTTTTTCTCACATATTTCAAATAAATCACTTCTTCTCTAAAAATTATCAAATCGAAGTGTCACAATTTACGCTCATTTCTGGACACTCTTTCCAAACATTTAGAATTTGACTCTCCTTCTTCTTATGTCACTTATTATCGAAAGAAAAATATGGCTACAATCTCTTCACTAGTCTATTCTTCTATGGTAGTACTGCTTTTTCTTCTTACTCTTGCCCTATCGCTGCAGAACATTGCTTCGTTGATTATCTTTGCACATTTAAATGATTGATTGTTTTCTGTAAAGGCTGGTGATGGCGATAAATACTATCGGGATACCCAAATCACGGAAACCGTTACTTCACGTCATACAGCAAGTCAATATCGACCTGTGGATTTTCGTTTACCCGTCGGTGGTGGTCAATTCGGAGATATCAGTGGTACGTATCGACAAGTCAAACATTTCTATAGATCGGTAGAACGATTTACAAGCTCTTTTCGTTATCAATGACAATATGCACCTGATGCGAAGGAAATCAATTCGTCAGACATTTCGATCTAGTTAGTTCGTATGAATAGTACCTTTTTAGTGCAAGTAGTCATAACGTACAATAAACGTCAATACACTCTCTTTCTTGTCATTGAATCGATCTGAATAAACTTGTTGTGATAAACCGTCATAAAAAAGAACTTTTCGCTTTTTCTCCCTTCCTTCTCCCTTCGTTTTATACCTATAACATTTTACCTTCTCCATGCATATCGATAAGAGTGAATGAAAAGCATTTGTATATGAATATATACGTATATACATGTGTATATGCTTCCGGTACTCGTTGTTCTGCACATAAACAGCACGCAAAAGAAAGAAAGCAAAGAAAGAAAAAAAATGAATTGAGATCAAATTACATTTTATTGAACATTTGCTGAGATGAGGTAAACAGCTTGAACGAAAGCAATTGTTACACTTATTTGATTGAGTTTTACATCTGTATGTAGACATACACATATACTCGCTGATAGAAAGAGAATCGAATGTATTCAGAAGGTATTAATGATTTAATAGTGGAAAAAATATTTCATTAGAGAAAATTGTCTTTCTTCTTTAGCATTAATTCGAACACCAACTGGACGAACTCATACGCCAATTATTGAAGATAATCACGATGGCACAGTTTCAATCAAATACCAACCATCAGAAGTCGGTCTTCATGAATTAGATGTTTTCTATCAAGGCCAACCAATTGCTGGTTCGCCATTCAAATTTCACGTTGATCAAGTTCAAACAGGTTATGTCACTGCATACGGACCTGGTCTTAGTCATGGTGTTTGCAATGAACCATGCAGTTTTCGTATTATTACAAAAGATGCTGGTTCTGGCGGACTTTCAGTCGCAGTTGAAGGAAGTTCAAAAGCCGAAATTCAATGTAAAGATAATAAAGATGGTACATGCGATGTCACTTATTGGCCGGTAAGCAACATCAATCGAATACTCGACGTACATGTTTACTCACTTTTTCTTCTTGATAGACTGCACCAGGTGAATATACAATTACAGTTAAATTCGCCGACAAACACATTGTTGGTTCACCATTTACGGCTAAAATAACTGGTCCACCTTCGTCAATGGATCAATACAAACGATCGCAAGTTACTCTTGGTAATCAAAGCGAATTCAGTTTACGCGTCACTGAAATGGATATTCACGATTTACATGCAACAATACGTTCACCAAGTGGTTATGAGGAGCCATGTATATTGAAAAAATTAGCAAACGGAAGTTTGGGTATATCGTTTGTCCCACGAGAAATTGGAGATCATTTAGTCAATGTTTATCGCGATGGTCAACATATTAAAAATAGTCCTTTCCGCATTCATGTCGGTTCATCAGAAATTGGCGATGCCAGTAAAGTTCGAGTCTTTGGACGTGGTATACAAGAAGGTAACGAATGGCAGTACGTCGATTGTAACAGTCCTCAAACTTTATATATATATATAGGTTATGCATATCAAACAAACGATTTTACTGTTGTTACACGTGATGCTGGTAAATAAAGATACATTTTAAAGAAAGAGGATTTTTCTTATTCTAATTTTCAATGTTTTTAGGTTATGGCGGTTTATCACTTTCAATCGAAGGTCCATCGAAAGCTGATATTGAATGTCACGATAATGAAGATGGTTCATGTCTCGTTACTTATAGACCCACTGAACCCGGACTATATATAGTCAATGTTAAATTTGCTGATAAACATGTGCCAGGTTCGTATATATCTGCCCTTGGAAAGATGCTTTCGTAGGACTTGATTGAATTACTAAGTTGTCAGTCGATTGTCGTCTCGACTAAAACGTTTTATTCTGATTGATTTCTCTCAAATACATCAATAATCTAATTGTAAACTTTCGTTTTTCTTTCTAGGTAGCCCATTTACGGTTAATGTTGACGGTCAAGGATCCAATCGGTTGAAAGAAAGCATTCTACGTGAACGTCGCGCTGTCGATGTGACGCATATTGGTAGTCAATGTGAATTATCACTAAAAATTCCTGGTATGTACAATCTAGCTATGCGGACAACTCTTTTTTTGTCATGGACTTAACGCTCTATAAACAGCAAATGTAGGAGGAAAAGAGTAGAATTGCTTGAATAATTCTATCTGTTTGTCTGTCTATATATGTCTCAAAACGTTTGCTATCAGTAGCTTCTGTAAAGACATCGTTAACAATATTATCTTTCATGATGATAATGATGACGGTGGGATCCTTCTGATAGACGAGGTTTGTCAATTGACATCAGCATAAAAGATACGTAGGAGGAGTAGGATGGCAACGACAACGATGCCAAAAAAGAAACGAAGAAGAGAGAACTCGCTATGTATCATCAACTATCGTTTGTGGTGCGAATGATTAGGATATATCTATGTTTATTTCGGTATCCATGTAAAGACAACTGCTAGTGTTATTATAGGAGAAAAAAAGAGAAATAGACACGTACATATACATATATCAACAAAAGAAGAAATACCACTAGAGATACCAGATAGTTGTTGGTTAACGAAACAATGTATCCAGGCAGTAACCTTCAAGCAAGCACGAGTGGTGAACGTCGTTCATCTTTTCAACATTATTCAATGTCACAAGTGAATAATGAAAAGCCTGTTGTACATCGTGAACATGAAGAACAAGTACAAACGTGGGGGCAACCGTCATCACTATCACCAGCTTCCTATCCATCACAAAGCATTGACATGGAGAGAAACTATTCTCAGGGAAATAATCTCGCTTCGAGTTCATCCTCGCTGTTCGATCGTCATAACGTCGTTGCACAAGAGAATACTAGTGGAATGAATAACATTAACTATCAACAACAAACTTATTCGAATCAATATCGAAGTGCTGTACCATCTGGATTACCACCTAAACCACAAGTACTTCGACAACATCAACAATATCAACAACAACAACAACAACAACAGTATGCGAATACAGCTTCATCATACTCAAAAGTAACGAATGTGTCTAACGTTCAACAACATCAACAATCTGGATCTCAACATGTTCATGATGTACCCTTTTTTCATGGATTTCGATTTCAAGCTGCTCCAGGTTTCATTTTTTGCGCTAGAGAGAAATACTTTTTTTTCGAATAACTACTCGATCGAACTCATATTAAATTGGATTCTTTCGATTTTAGGCACATCACCATTTGATATGAGCGCATATGTTACAAGTCCATCTGGACATTTGGAAAACTGCGAGATTGTGTAAGTTTTTATCTGTTGAAAGGCGTAATCATCAGATTTCGAGGTCGTTGAGTGCTAAATACAAACTCCATCGCATGTTTACATTGATAACGATGTGTTCTTTAGTGATCTCGACGATTGCAACTATTCAATTAAATTTATCCCGAAAGAAATGGGTGTTCATACAGTTAGTGTTAAACATAAGGATATGCACATCCCTGGCAGTCCTTTTGGTAAGTCGCAGGCATTTTTTTATTGCCATCGTAGTATCACCGAAAACTTTTATTCTAGAATTTACTGTTGGTCCCATTCAAGGTGGAGGCGCTCATAAAGTTCGTGCGAGCGGCAATGGCCTTGCTCGAGGAGAAGTCAATTCAACAAGTAAAGAAAGATGCGCTAGAACTAATAACGATTTATTATTCTATCTTAGATGAATTCAATATTTATACGCGTGAAGCAGGCGCTGGTGGTCTTGCCATTGCTATCGAAGGTCCAGCTAAAGCTGAAATTGACTTCTTCGATCGTAAAGATGGTTCATGCGGTGTATCTTATGTATGTCCTGAACCAGGTGAATATCAAGTATCAATCAAATTCAACGATGAACACATCCCTGATTCACCATTCAATGTTCTCATTGGTTCACCATTTGGTGATGCGAAAAAATTAACAATACATAGTCTACAAACTAAAGGACATGAAGTTAATCGACCATGCATGTTCACTGTTAATGTGAATGGCGCACGTGGAAGACTTGATGCTCGAGTAACAGCACCTAGTGGAGCAGAAGATACATGTATCGTACAGGAAATGGGCGATGGTATGAATGAAAAGAAAACATCAATCATTCCGATATATGATAAGCTATTTTCGGTCTTTCTTTCTATTGCAGAACACTATGCTATTCGCTTTGTTCCACGAGAAAATGGTGTACACTGGGTACATGTTCGTTTTAATGGACGTGATATTCCTGATTCACCGTTCCGTGTTGTTGTTGGTCATGCAAATGCTGACCCCGGCCGAGTATTTGCATCGGGCTCTGGTCTATATCAAGGAGAAACTGGTACTGATATACATTGGACATATTTCCATCAATACTTTCCCGGTTTTAGGTCATCCATGTGAATTTTTAATTGATACCATGAATGCAGGTGCCGGAGCATTAGCTGTCACTGTTGATGGACCATCTAAAGTTCAACTCGATTGCAGAGAAGTCGCGGAAGGTAGATATATTGTAGTTTTGTACTGAATATCCCCCATTGTGAAAAACTAGGTTATCGTGTGAGTTTTACACCAACTGCACCCGGAGATTATCTCATTACGATCAAATTTGCTGGAATTAACATTGCTGGAAGTCCATTTAAGTGTCTTGTCGGAGGTAATTATTTCTGATACGTAGATCGATTTCCACTACTCCTTCATTTAGGTGTTGGTTACAATACCAATCGTGGCATCGGCTCATTGAGTACCTCATCATCGTATGTACAACGTGAACAATCATCATCATACGTCTCGAATTCACGTAATAATTATGGATTTGCTGATGCAAGTCGTGTACGAGCACATGGAGATGGTCTTTTAAGAGCCTATCGAAATGAGAAGGCAACATTTACAGTAGATACACGCGATAGCGGTACGAGCAAGAATGATTTCCATATCTCATGCTTAAGTAATTTCATTTGTTTAGGCAACGGAATGTTAATGGTAGGTGTCTTTGGTCCGAAATATCCATGTGAAGAAGTTTTTGTTAAACATGTTGGAAATAATCAATATAACGTTCAATATGTACGTATTGTCGTTTTCTTCCAGATTTCATCTGTAAATATTCGTTTCGCTTGGTTATTTAGACCGTTCGAGAGAAAGGTGAATATATGTTGGTTGTTAAATGGGGCGATCAACATATTCCAGGTTCTCCATGGCATATCGAAGTTGTTTAAACAAATAAAATCAATCGAACAAAAGGAATTCTGAATGAAGAAAAAGAAATTCATCTTCTTATTTATATGCATATATGCTAGAGAATTTTTTTATATATTTTCTTCGTTTTTCTTCTCATCGAGTAGTTTTGTTATACTCTACTGTGTGTGCACGCATGCTCAAACTACTCATTTTTGTCTTTTTTTTTTATTAGTCAAGGTGCTACGATGTGTGAAATGAGTTAGAGAAAACAAACAACCAAATCAATCAGAACAATTCTCGTTTCTCTACATCTAATTGTTTGGTCATCCTTTTTCTTTTCTCTCTAGTTGGTCGAAAAATTTTCTCTTTCTCTTTCTGTTTGTTTTTCTATTATTAAAAATCATTTGTTCTATATATAGATTTGCAAGAAAAGACTAATACCTTTATCCCTATCGATTTGCTTTGTCCGTTTGTGTTATTTCATGTTTTCTTTTTCATACGTATTTTTTTTTCTATAAAAGAGATTTTTATGAAGAAGTCGAGAAATCTCTCTCGAGAAGACGTGCCTTTTTCTATTCAAGTGATTTATTTGATGCGAAAAGTCTTTTGAGTATATTTGCACTCACTAATCTCGATGAGTCTTTGGAGGTTTTCAAGAAAAAGGCCAAGACTGATGACTTATTATAATGAGACATGAAATAGAAAACTTGTTCTGAACACAATGAAAGATGTTGCCGAAGTTTTATCTTCCTATCTTATCTTTCTTCCGGTTGTGCACATTGGCGTAGATTAAATTCCATCATTGTCTCTCGATTCTGTCATTACATGTCGTCTTCCAAAAGAAAACATACAAATTCAGGATGTTCACATTCAGATGCCAGCTGCTCATCTCTCTTCTCTAATCAAACATAACCTCGTCGACGAGTTTTTCGACTGCTGCTCTTGTTTTTCTCTTCCTCTCGTCTTTCCATTAATAACCATTCATTAGTACTCGAATGCATACGTCTCGTGTATTTCAACGTCTTACTGAACGTTCCGATTCCGTGTCTTCTACGTCGTCATGTCCATCGACACCACCGTCGTCGAAACTTTGGTTCGAACCACCGAATATCGATATATGTGTGATGACAATTGAACATCGTGAACAAGTATTCGAACTTGTCTTGGATACTTTCTTTCGCGATGAACCATTGAACAAATGTCTGGCTTTTGATCTTCCAACAGAACCTATCGAATTTGCTGAACTCGTCATATCAACTGCGATTGAAGATCAATGTTCATTTGTCACTATTGATGTTCAAACACAAAAGATCATTGGTGTGATTCTCAATATAATCAAATCTCGTTCGCAGAATATCGATAAATTTCACATCGAGAATTTTCGGTCGGAAAAACTACGATTTATTTTGAATGTTCTCCAGCACGCTCATGGCACGCTTGATTTGTTCAAAGAGATGAACGCTGATCGTCTACTACACGTGGTTATTATTGCCATCGATGCAAATTATCGCGGTCTACGCCTGACGGAAAAGCTAATTCATGCCAGTTTAGAACGTGCTAAAACCGAATTCCATCTCCAAGGTGCTTTCTCAGAAGCAACAAGTCTTTATTCGGCGAAAGCTTTTCGTAAGCAAGGTTTCCAAATCTACAATGAAATCATTTACACGAAATACGACGCCATTCGTCTAGCTAATTTAGCCGGAGAACATGATCGCTGTCAATTACTTGCTAAACAACTATAAATTTTTTCTCTTTCTATTGATATGTATGCTTCTATCAATGTGTCATATCGACTTTTTCTTTCTTCTGCATCGATTAAAAAGAGAAAAAAAGCACGCTCGCCTACCATGATAGTTTCGGTTGAACGATTTACTCGTTTCTTCCTTGCAATATCAAAAAAGAGTATCTGCGTGCATCGATACATTTGTATACATACATGTTATGTAGAGAAATTATAGAGGTAATCAAAGAGAAACTTGTTTTTAGTTGAATGTTAATGAAATTCTTGCATAGCAATGAATGGTTTTCCTCAGACAGACTCTTCCCGAAACAACCCTTTACAACTCGATCCAATCAATCCCGAAGAATTTCAACGTTTACGACCGATTGCATTTTGGTCATGTGTGCTTTCATTCATTGTTGACATCGCACTGGGCGTAACCGCTTTTATTAATTGCATACGTACAGAGTCCTTCGTTGGCTTCTCATATTCTGTACATACATTCATGGATTCAATGTGTACGGGTTTCGTTTCTTGGCATTTACGAGGATCAACAATAGCAGATAGTCAACGTCGTGATACATTAGCTTGCTGTGTCATTGGCGCACTGTTTATTGGATCGTTTCTTGCAATTGAAAGTCGTGCGATACAAAGTATGATATCCCCACCAACCGTTCGACCAGATAGGACGGTGGTGATCTATTCATTTATTCACATTATTGTATTTACTGTGTTGTCGATCATTAAAATACGTATCAGTAAAAAAATTCGGTCGAAATCCTTAAAATTCGATACATTGAATTCAATCATCGGAATCATTATGGTTTTACCGTTGATTATTTGGGACCGTGTAGTGTTTATAAACAAAGTGACACATCTCGATGATCTGATTCAAGCACTGATGGCTTTATTTCTGTTTGTTGCGGGTGGAAAGTTAATTCTAGATTCAATCACAATCATGAACACTGAATACGAACGGAAAATTCGAGAAGGAAAGGTAAAAAAGATGTTAGAAGAAACGGATGAAGATGCCATAGTGTTGAGCGGAATCAAAGCAACTAATTATGATATTGGCACGTAACAATCAATGTTGGATGCTAATTTTGAACTTCATAGAATGAATTTTTGGAAGAAAAAGCATCCATTTAGGCCTCTTTGTTTCTCTCTCTCTCCTTGCTTCAATGGACATCAGTCTAGGCATTCACCTCTGTTTGTTTTCGAAAAGAAAAATAACCTGTACTATCATTTATTCATTTAAGAATAAACTTGCTTATTCATAGAAATGAATGCATACGTTCATGTTGCTACTGAAAGTAGAAAGATAGGAGATAGGTCTCCAAGGAGAGAGGTATCTTTCTGAATTGGATTCTATGGTAGCAAAAGACAATCGAAGAAAACCTTCGATTTGAAATATCTTTAACAATGATTTTTGAAGAAACGACTAAGGTTTTATCCAATGAAACGAATAAAACCTACTCTGATCTTCGATGCAATCTTTCACGCTTAGTATTCTTCCAAATGAAATAATAGTAAACAAACAAATCGATTCATTACGTAGAGTCCGAGAAGTTATATGTACAATAACAATAGATGGCATTGAAGGCTAGTTATTATCGACGATTGGCTTTTTAAATATTCAACGCTCGAATGAATGAATGAATGAACAGAGGTATTTATTTGACATAAAATGGAAAACGAAATTGACGAAGACGAATTAGCAGCGATACTTGCTGAAGATGACCAACAAGAAGAAATTGAAGACATCCCAATCGATAAACCTTCTACATCGGAGTTATCATTTGCTGAATGCGCCGAAAAAATGACGCCAGATCAATTAATTCAGTTAACATATGCATTAGTTGATACACCCTCAACAGCAGTTACTACTGCTACTACAGAAAAATCTGCCACGTATAAATTTTCGGACAAAGACATGGGCGATTTATTCGGAAGTAAAAAATCTAAGTACGATCCAAATTATCATCGAGAGTCAGCTCACAGTTATCTAATCGATTTCTTTTAGTACAGCGCAAGCGTCGAAAAAAGCGATATCCTCTACATTATCAACTGGATTGACAACTCAATCAATGATCACACCGTCGGTTTACATCGAACCATCGACGCACATTCGTATTGGTACAATGAACTACACACCAGCAGAGATCAAAACTAAGCTAACATCAACGAAATTTGTTCGTCTATCTGAAATCGAAAAACAACCATCGCCAATGCCTGCCGAATGGTGTACTATGGCTGTTCTAGCTCATAAATCTGATGTTAAACAAGCGAGTAACGGCTCAACATATAGCATTTGGCGTCTTACAGACTTTAAAGTGACGATAAATATGTTTTTATTCGGTGACGCACATCAGTCATTATGGAAAACGGTACTATCTAGTGTAGTACTGATTTATAATGGTGATACGAAAAAGTCTGGTCAACTGTCAATCAAACACGAGCGAAGCCTTTGCATACTTGGTTCAAATCCTGATCTAGGCCAATGTAAAGCAAAAACAAAATCTGGCGAACAATGTAAGATGCTAATCGATCGACATGCTTGCGAATATTGTGTCACACATGCAAATCAGATACATAAGAGTGGTCAACGAAATAATAATAAATTCAATGCCGGCAATATGTCGAGAATGAATTTACAAAGTACCGGTTCATATGTACCACAAAAATTTGCTTCGATCGGTAGTGGGAGCGGTGGTGGAGGGTATGGTTCATCATGGTCAACAAATTCGTCGAAGTCAATGGTTAAGAAAAAGAATACGTCAACAAAAGACAATGGAAACGAACTTAATAGCAAAGAAAAATCTATGCTTGTGATGTTGGGTATTGAAGATGATCCACTGATGTGTGTAAGAAGTGAAGAAACCAAAGGTAATTGGTATGTTTCATTTATTCTCCATCCTTGTGGCTTTAGGCTTAGGTGATTCCATTGCTGATGTTCGTGAACTGTATCAAGCTAGACAGGCAAGTGGTAAAACAAAACGTGTTACCTATGATGAAACCAAATATCGAGATGAAGTGGATGCCTCAACGCAAATCCGGTCGTATCCAATGGCAGCCAGTGAAACTCCCATAGCACCAGAATCACAAAAAGTCGATTTGCTCAAAAGTATCGCTGTAAAGCAAACGAAGGACATACAGCGTAAGTGTCATCGATATGTCTAAGAAATCAAATACTATCCTACATTTCTATTTAAGTATCTGCACCGAAACAGTTCGTTGATTTAGCCAAACCAGCCAGTTCTGAAGCAATCAACAGTGCTAAACAACGTGCCATTGATATACTCAAACAACGTCTGGCACAAAAACAGATAATGCCAAACAAAGGTCAGTCGTTGATTTCGGCTGATGTATCTTCTCCTCCTTCGAAACGATCGAATACGGACTCGGATTCCGCGAATCTCTCACCAAAACGCCTGAAAATTTCGAACACGAGCGAGCCAATCAATGTCAAACAACGTTTTACTGACATTATGAATATGAAATCTGCTCATGCTGATCTTTATAGTCAGTTAACACTTGATGAAATCTTCGAACGTTATAAGAAAAAAGAAGACATTGAAGAAAAACTACTTCAAGTTATGGAACGTGATATCAAAGTTGTCATTTGCCGACAATGTCAATACACAGCATACAAACAATCGATTCTCTGCAAACAAAAACAACATTACGTGAAAATTTGCGAAGTCAAACAGAAATTTTTCGAATGTATCGAATGTCATAAACGTGTTTTCACTTGGTCTCAATATCCAGTGGAAAATTGTACAAATTGTCATAGTCTGAAAGGCTTTCGTCGTACGGCTCTTATTCGCGAACGGCACGGTGCGAAATTTGATGATGAAATCTTATTATTACGTGGTGAAGAAGAAAAATTTCTGAATTCATTCATTAGTTATGAAAAACTACCTTCTGTTATTGATTGAATAGCTTGTTATGATCTGTTTTTCAATATGAAATAATCATGTATACATGTATCTTTTATCCTTTTGCAATGCATTCCGTACACAAATCCAAAATATTCATTACGAGAAGAAATTGATGCTTTCTTCCACTCAACTCGATGATAAAGAAGTGCTGTGAGAAAACGTGTATTTTTTATTCTAAAACGACGCTCATTAACAAATTTTACTTCCTCTTTCGTTGAAAAGCAAAACCGAGGTTTTCTTGAATAAGCATAAATAATCTACTAAGCGAAGCGTAAATAATGTTTCATTATAATTCTTTTCTGATGCCTTCCATGATCCTCCGCCTAGATTTCCATTTCGACTAAACTCCATCTAAACATCAACATGTCGATATTTTTATTAAAAATATAGAACAAAAATAGTGAAGTGAAAGAATCTCTCATTCATCTACATACTTTTAGTATTCAAAAGCACTGATAAACTTCATAAAGAACAAAACAAAGATGATTACTGACAGTGATGAAGTAAATTCTCGTGCGCGATTACAACCATCGATTGAACACAGTCCCATGTAACCTTGTAATCGTATCGATCCAGTCATAGATTGAAAACCTTTCAGACGAAAGTTGCCAGATGATTCTAGAGCTTTCGTCGAATCCATAATATTGTCAACTAAACATGAACGATAGTAGATAATCGCATTCAAGTACGAGGCATTAGCATCGCTATCAACACTTGTAACACGGCCAACAATTTTCACACAGAATCGGGCAGGAAATGTACCATTTTTACCTACCGATGTAGCCTAGATTGAATACCTCAGACTTTAGTTTTTTCACTTTCGTCGAACTAAACTTACTTGACAATTTGTTTGAATTGGATTCAGTAGTGAAGAAAACGGATCTTGACATGAATCATTATTAGGATCTGTGGTCATGCATTGAAAGCACGATATACCTTGACTTGATGCAAGTTTGATGACCAGGGAACATTGTAAAACAATCGAGATGAGCCATTTATTAATAGAAACATACAACTGCATTCTATTGAAAGTGTAAACAAACAGTCTAAATTAGATATTAATATAGTTGTTTCTGTTCTTCTATATGGTTGCTAACGAAGCTGTCAGAGATAGTTAAGAAGTAGATGAGAAAAGCTCTCTTCCCCTTTTTTTTTTATAAAAATAATACGCATTACTTCTTCGTCTTCTTCTTCTTCCGACGAATCATTTTTTCTTTCTTTCTCGTTTTTTTGACATCCATCCTTCAAGAATAAGAAGTTCTCTTTTTTTATTTGTCATGTCGATGTTTGACTGTTACTCCGATTTTTCTCTGACTAAGAGTATCCTTTACATCTCCTGTCATCCACAACATTCATGTAGAAACAAATCCATTCACTGACAATGATTATTGTTATTACGAACTGCTTGTTTCTCATTCAATAATGAAATAGATAAGTTTTCCAAATAAATTATTGCACGACTTCCTATTACAACGTCAGAAATTAAACAGAACATCGACATATTATCTGTTGAAAACAATTCTTTCACATTAATCATTTTCGTTATAATAGACTGTTCTGTTTTCTGCCTGAATATGCCTTAGCGAACCGAAACATAGACTGTAACCAGGCGAAGTCTCAATGAGAAACTTTCACTTGTAGATATATTTCCAAATTGATCTTCGATCAGTCGACTTTTATTCCGGAACTCGTACAAAGCAGCCAATTTCCGTTTTTATCGACGTGTTTTCTTTTCAGTCAAACTTCCATCTGTCAAAAATGATCTTTATATATCGAAGAAGATATCGTCATGAAACACAATCACCAAAAGATTTTATCTGACAGATTGAAACAGAAAAGAAAACTTATCATTTCCGAATACCTTCAAATGACAGATGTTTTCTTGACAGTTATCATATGTGCTGCACACGAAAGATCATAAAAATGACAGATATTCATTCATTCTTATCATATGTTGTCTTTCAGTTGATGTTATAGAAAAGTCGCACACAAAAATAACAGATTCGCCTTCAATTAAATTTCTTTTTGCGTAGGACATACTCCCGTTGAGTTCCGTTTTCAAATGAGATCTGTTCAAAGTGACAAAACTATAAACTGCTTAGTTAGTCGTACACTGATGACAAAAAAAACGACTTTTTCGACGTGTATCTATAAGCTATCGAAGCGGAAAATCCGGATTCTTATCTGATCGAGATGTAATAGATTTTGATACTGATCAATGCTTGATTAGTAAAAGTCCAGCAATGTTCATCGCTTTAGAAAAAGCTTGTGCCCTGTTTATTAAAAGTAACTGATCTGTTTTTTCTTTATAAAATACATATATTTAAAAACGAACAAAATGAAGATTTTGTCAGTCATTTCTATTCAATTGATTATTTGATTTCTTTCGTCTAAGTTCATTTAGTATCGTACTTGAAAGCATATGAAAACATTCGTTAAACGTATAAGCATTCTGTCCTTCACTAAAATCAATTTCATTCAATGCGCCAAGAACAAGAACATAAGAACAAGCGATACGAAGAATTGAAAGACGACTTAGTTTAGGCTGATCACCATACATGGGAATTACTTGTCGTAAGGCTTCAAATGCAGCTGTTAAATTATGTACACGTTCACGTTCACGTGCATTGGCTTCTAAACGTTTATCGTACGTTAACCGTGGACGTTTTGATGTCACATTGCGATACGCTACCGTACTTTCTTCATCACCACTAGTAATGACATCTTCTTCATCCGGAGTGTTCGCAGTGGGTATATTGGATGTTTCGTCATCGATAGTATTCGTGATTGATTCATCAATTTGATTTAAACATGAAGTATTTGTTGAACAATTGATAAACAAATGTTCACTTGGTGTTTGTATTGTTTTGGATGGATGCGCCGATTTTCGGGATCTTTTTATTGAATTTGAACGCGGAATTGATGTCGTAGGTGTACCAATAGCGGCAGGACGACTTTCGATTTCCATAGGTTCGGATTTCATCGGTTTTCTACATCGTAAAGCTGAATACAAGTTCCTAAGCAAGATACTACTAACTTACTCAGCCATAGTACAGTATCACATCAATACTGCACACTTTCAAGAGAATGTATGAGGTTGTGCTTGTATGTGTCTAAACAGCTTGTTTTATAACGCATACATATTTCTTCTACTAGATCCGTATGCCCGGCTGCTGCTGTTGTTACTGCCATTATTTCTTCCATTTTCTCTCTCTCTCTCTCGCGTTTGCCACCTATCACGCATATATACAACAGCCGTCATCATTGACTAGTCTATTCGCATGATGATTGCCTGCAACACATGTTCACTGCAGAAGAGAGAAAGACAAGCAGACGGCGCAAGAATACTGATGTGATAGGAAATGTATTGCACACATGTGAGAGAAGAGAAAACGCTTTCCATTCGATACTTTCCCCTATTTCCTTTTCTTCTTAGAACGACTTGCATTTGTTCTTCTTCCCGTACTGCTGCTGCTTTTTTTCTATCCTATTCGTTCGGTGTCACAACGTTACTAGACGTCCATATTGATAATCTAATAAAAGAAAGAATAAAAGAAATGTTGACAGCTCACAGGTGCACATGTCAGCAGCGCCCAGATGGATCTGAATCTCATAAAATAAGTGAAAGAGTTCCGCCTAAAAAAAATTCTTTTGTAAAATTTCGGTGAAAACCAATTTGACATGAAAGAGTGCAAGAACAACAAGAAATGTAATCGATCAATCAATTTCACTAACGGAACAAAAGAAGAAAATCATAGTCTACATTAAAATGTCAATGGAGTATTTCCATATACCTATTTCCTTCAGTTCGTTACTACACAAAAGTTAATAGAAATAGGAAAATATTTGACCGTCGACATAGTGCAGATCTACCTGGTTTTGGCACGATTGAAAACAATAAATCCGATCACCATAGAACCTGGCAAATAACAGTCAATTATGGAAATTAATCGTCCGACACGTATGAAGCGTAGCGACATTTGTTCGAAAGTATTTCAACGATAAAATTTACTTTTAGTAAAGCAAAATTGGACAACGAGTGTCTTGCGAGAAGAAGCAGCGAATTTCAATGCATTCGGTAGGAGAACATGATCACTATTGATTCAGATGAATTCTCACATCGGCTGCAAGAATAATTCTTCAATTTTGTTAAAGGTAATCGACAAGCACCGAATTATATAACGGAATCTGAGACTCAACGCGAATACCGAAATCCATTTATGGAATTAATTGGACAGAACCGGTACGGTCGTTACGTTTATACACCTGATCGGAATCCACCGAAAGGAATTGGTATGTCCTCGTTTCTACGAAATGTTCTTTTCGTTCACTTTTCCCTTCGATATCGCTTCGTTTCTTTAGTGCCTACGTGCAACGCCAAGAGCTATCCTGATGTCATTCCACGCTTTCGTTTATATCAAACATCATTTTAAGACTTTATTGTTTCAACCTTCTCCTTTTTTAATGGCAAAGGAAAACTATCAAAGATATACGTCGAGCAAAAGAGATTCTTTCCAATATAATGGAAATGCTTATAAAGCGCCTTAGTGCAAGTTATTATAACATCACAGTTTGAATAGTACGATTACTGCTCACACTCAATGGCCGTTGAATAATTTGACCATTTGATAATTGTGTTATGAGTTGATTGGGTATCTGTAATGTACGAGGGCCAACGGAGTTTGATGACAAAACTACTCCTGGTTGACAATTGAGTGAAGTTCGTTCTGTTTTAATTAAATTCGATTGTAAAAGTCCAGAATCTCGAGCAACATAGCCCTAGATGAACAAGGAAAGGGTGTCAACAGATATACACATATTAACAAAATACAAGGAATCAGTGAACTTACTATCGGTACTTGTTCTGTATAAACTTGTGCTGGCGGATATATATCTTGAACGTATTCAGTTACTTGTAATTGTGGTTGCTCAGCGATAGCAGGAGGTCCTTGAATTGGAATCGGTATAATGATCGGTGGTAAACTTGCCGGCGTGCAGCTACGTGATCGACAGCAGCAGCGGCGTCGCCGACGGCGACATTTGATTCGGATTGGCTCTTCGACAATGCGTTCTATAACACGACAAGATGATGGTCTATAACTCTCCTAAATCAAATGAATTAAATTGAAAACTGAATATAACGACTGATTTGTCTATCATATACTTCTTGTACACTATATTGGCACTGTTGAGGAACTTGCATAGGAACTTGTACAGGAACTGGCACGGGCACTGGAACTGGGACCGGAACTGGTGTACGCATGTCCATTGGCTGAGAGCACATAGGCTGAGAGCACATAGGCTGTGGTAACATCATAGGTCGTGCACATGTTAATGGCGCGGACATAGGTGCTGGGCATGAGATGGGAACGGGTACTGGATAGGGTTGAGGGCATGGAACGGGGACTGGAAATGGTTGAGGACAGGGAACTGGGACAGGACGATCAACTGGAACAGGAACTTCAACAGGTACTGGATAAGGACGATCGACGGGGATCTGTACTGGAAATGGTACGGGACAAGGACGATCAACTGGTACTGAAACTGGTTGAGGACATGGAACAGGAACTTCGACATGTACGTAACATGGACGGTCGATGGGTACGGGAACTGGTTGAGGAATAGGCACAGGACATGGACGATCAACAGGTACTGGATATGGTTGAGGACATGGTACTGAGACAGGAACTGGAACAGCGCATGGACGATCAACCGGTACGGGAACCGGCTGAGGGCATGGAACTGAAACTGGTGTTGGTAAAATTACCGGCTGAATTGTGTTCTGCACAGGTACATCGACAGCTTGAACAAAATTTTGTACGAAAGGTTGTGGTACTGGAACAGGACTTGCAAATGGTTGAGGAACAGGCACATCGTACGGTACCATCATTGGTGGCGAACATAATGCCGCTGAAGATGAGGTAAATCCTCCGGCAAACATGCTAATATTTTACTAACAAATGATGCTAATGGTAGAGAGACAAAACTACTTTGGGCTATATGGAGAAAATAGAACCTTCAGATGTTAACCTTCATCGGTAAGTATACAGATCAAAACAAAAACAATGCCATGACTGTTTTTATTCAATATTCTCTTCGCTTCACACTCAATCTAAACTGATTTTCAATAAGCGGAATATCAAAAGTCTGTCAATATAAGAAGTTATTCTTCTTATAAAATTGATTTATATTATACGAGTACAATGTAAACAGGAGGAGGAGACAACACATGAAAGACATAGAAAACGGAAAAAGAAAAAGAGGAAGAATTGATTTGCTTCGATGATTTGCTATTTGCACACGCATACAATTACGAAATTGTATAATGAATATTTGATTATTGTTGAACGAAATTTGTCGACGATGTGCACGACAATTTAATTTCTTCTCGACTTTCCTATTCAATAAATGATTTGATCAGTCATTGGCGATGTTCATAATCGAAAAATTTGTTCTCATCTCTCTAACGTACGTGAGTATCTACTAATTATTTTTCGTTATTTTAGAAAAAAAAGGAACCTTCGGGGAAAGGCTACGATCAGTTAAAATATATCGAAGGCTTTTCTTTTCATTTCTCAAGTTCATACACATCTATTTATATTATTTCTCATATTCATGCGTAACGGCGGTGATTATTAAGACGAGACAGACTCGATAGTGTAGTATCTTTTATTTACATCGGAAAAGATAGGTTTATATGAACAAAAGACCTGAGAACAGAAAAAATCAAACCTAAATCAAATGTTTTTTGTTTTGGAGCACCGGATAACTTGCCTTGTTTTCCTTTCAATTGTCGTTAACATTTGAATGTCTTATCACGCTGCACATTGTAAACGTAATAAATCAAATGTTTATTATCCCAGGCAAATAGTTTACCCTCGTACGGATTATACGTTAATTGAGCTAAGAATTGAAATGGAACAGCAAAACGAATCTTTGTTGTTGTAAATGCCACATTTGAATAAATATCGTAGACCACATCGATATATGATTGTTGTTTATTATAATATTGTACACCATAAAAAACACCATATGCAATAAAAGCTTGACTTAAACTTGATGGATTATACGGTAGAATCCATGTTTGTTGAGTATCTAAAGTGTCAGGATTAATATTGGCGGCAATGAAATTTTTCGTTAGTTTATCGCGATACAAAATCCAGAGACCGTTTTCATCAATTGAAAAATCATACCAATTCGATTGCGGTGTATTGTAGAGTGGTTCACGACTGGCAACTATCTCGGTCGATTGAGTTTCACTTTCCGAGATAAGATCAAAACGTATGATAGTATTCTTGTTTTCAACATTATAGATAAAACTGCCTTGGTAAACAACGTGATTCACTCCAGAATATGGGTAGGGTAATGTGATAATCCGATTAGGTTTATCGTGAGTTAAGTCGGTTTCGCTATTATACTCATATAATTGGTTGCCAATGACATGTCGTGTAACATATACCTTTTGAGCACCATTGGCGGTGCGCGGCATAGGATCTTTGAACCATGCGCCGAATGTATAATTGTCTTGTTTGAGAAGTACAGGCGTGCCGATGAAAGAGAAGATGCAACCTGGACACAGATAGAGAGAATTAGCTGTAATGTGTATGATTTTTTAGTGTGAAATATTTACGTTGAGCACGACGAAGCGTTGCTGATTGGCATTGAAGAGAGAAAAAGGTGAAAAATTTTAAAATGGTTCAGTTTGCAAATCTTACCGTCACGCTTTGTTGTATCTGAAATGAAAAGTAAAAGTTATCGAATGTCAAATATTGAAAGAAAGTACGAACCTTGTTTAGGATCCGATAATGATGAGAATGGTATGGATGGTGATGATACTGGCGATGAAGGACAAGTGCAAGTACCCTAAAATAAGTGTGAAAAGTAATAAAGTAAACACGATTGTGTTTGAGCGACAAAACAAAACATACAGGAGGACCTTGTGGGCCAATATCACCACGTGGACCTGGAAAACCAGGTCGTCCGATTGGACCTGGTGGACCTTGAAAGAAAAAGAGTTGATTCCATGTAAAAATCAAATATTGGAATGAATTTGCTACCAGCTGGACCTTGAATTGTATCACCTGGATCACCTTTCGGCCCTTGTGGACCTATTGGTCCAGGAACTCCACTCGGACCAGGTGATCCTATTTTAGAAATCAATCGTTCAACAATATTAAGGCATTTAAAGAAATTTATCTCTACCTGTTGGTCCTGCTGGGCCAGCTAATCCTGGTAGTCCAGGATAACCACGTTCGCCTCGTTCACCTTTAGGTCCACGTAATTCTATCAAAACATACTGCAATTATACATCAAACGACCTCGTAGACAATATTTACCTTCATTTTCTGACACCAATTTTTTACAATGATCTACCGATTTAACACAAAACGTTGACATTGCCATGGGCTATAACCGAACACTTCGATTTTCTTCATTTCGCTCAAATCTGTTTTTCTCTTACCGGTACTTTGAAATAAATTGATCCTAAAAGTGAATCAACATCATCTATCTCTTCTCCTGGATGTTTATTGAATAGTTTTGATTTCAATCGCGCATGTCTCGATCGGCGATTCAGTGCGTCATTAGCGTTCGCATTGCCTGATATGATGATTTGCGTTGATTCCAATTCAGCCAATCGTTGATTAAGGATTCCCAATTGATTTCGATCAAGTCGGATCGTACGCGAATAATAAATAAACGACAGACCCCATAGGATTGTTAAACTAGCAAGCAGTAAATACAAGACGATAATATGAAGACGATTCGATCCTGCATAGTGAATCGTATGAATAACTTTTGATGATTTCATCTGAAAAGAAAATCAAAACGTTTTCTGTCAACATTCTATTTTGCAAACTAAATTGTATCTGATCTGTTAAGTTGTTTGCAATTAAAGCATAAAATGAAAACGAGAAAAAAACGCGAGAGGAATATGAAGGTTGACATTCTCTCACTTCATACAGTGCCTCACATATTCTTTTTTTTCCTTTTACTACAAACCCCGCAGCGAACATCTCCCATATAAGTACTTTTTCATACATTGATGATAATAAAAAAAAATGTATAACCAAAAAAAAAGGGTCCGCATAGAGCATATACATATATTATAATGCAAAATAAAACAATTATTACATCGAAATATATATATTACCAAGTAGAAGGATCAATAACAAAGAGACAATGAAAAGTAGACGAATTAATATGACAATTGTAGTTATACCTGAGAGGATAAATGATAAGCATTAAGAATTTCATGATTAGAAAAGAATTGAAGCCATTAATCATGCAGGTATCTTTCATAATTTTCGTTTGATTTTATGTCAAAAATGATAAACGGTTCTATTGTTGATTTCTTTTTCAAACATTCAAATCTTCTAACCATTTAATTGGCCATGAATATTAATCAACGACACTTTCGCGCGATGATTTTATTTGTTGTGCATATTAACCACTATCGACCGATGTACAGTTCTTCTTTCAACGTTAAAAATTAGCGTAGATAGAGAGGACAGTGAAGTGCGTGTCATATCATTTGTTACACGAATATTTGTTCATGTAAAAATCGCATAATTTATTTTCATATCTACAAGAATATTGAAAATTATTTTGAAAAGTTTGAGTCGAATTCGCTATCTTCAATAGCATTCGTTCGTGAGGATGGTTGTCGGTAGGGAATTTTAGGCGGTGGCGGAAGAGGTCCATCTAATCCGACAATACGTTTCAGCATGGCTTGCAGTGATGATCGACGTTTGTCTAACATATACAATGTTTTGAGACTATCTTTCACTGAACTCACCGGTCGAAAAATGGATAACTGTTCGAGTTCAGCAGTAGATGTCAAGGATGATGATGTGGCATTTGCTGTGGGAGTAGAGTGGCAAAAGGAAGGATTTGAGGATACAGATGGTGATTCAGTTGTTCGTTGACTGCTCGTTGTTTTAGGACGCTCGTCGAACTTCGCGTGTTTTTGTTGATCTTTCACATCTTTCCATTTTTTAAAAACAGTCTGTGCGCGGTTTTGACGTAGTTGTTCTGCATGCAAGCCAAGAAGATATTGTTCGCGTTGATACGCTTGAGTGTATAGTGTTCTTATGCAATGTAATTGATAATTTTGCTTTGCCCATTGTTCACGAGTTAAAGGACCTTGCTGATACGATTGTAACAGTTCTTTATAACGTTGACGATAATATTCTAACGAATAAACATTCTGTGCCACGATTTCATTCTGTTCTTGCTTATCGAGCATCTCGCGGAACGTTTTCTCTTGTTTTTGACATGCATCTTTCGTTAAGAGATCAATCGATAACCAGTTCGGTGAGGAATAGCGACGAATTTCAAAACCATAACGACTGTTAACATAACGAGTAGAACTTCCAAGAGTAGTCTTCGGCTGAACTTTATCAGTATTCGACTAAATAAAAACAACTTATCGGTCAATTTTGGACTATGCTCGTACCGAAATGTGATTTCAAAGCAAAGAAATCGAATAAGATCAATAAATAAAACTATAATTCATTATTAATGTATGCAATATTCTCGTTCTTTTTTGCTTATTTGTACAACAAATAGACTAGGTTAAAGCCTTGAAAATCAGTGTCCTATACATATCTGTTTATTAATACATTACATTACCATTGTTATCGTTTGTTCGTTACTCGACGATTTGACAGATGTATTCATATTTTTCTCCTTTCGTCTGTTTAATCGGATTAGTTTACAATCATAACTCAATGGATTCACTTTTCGCATATGAGCCGCACGCGAAATGGTCAATCGATCATAAGTCGGATTGACTAAAAATACATGACGACGAAGGTGATTGAGAAAAACAAGTTCAAACTTTTACCGATGATACGCATCATTCTGGATGAATCGTCCAATATAGGATGTGGGCGACTAGAATGAAATGATATCCATCAATAAGTTTCACTCATTATGAGTAGGACATACCTATTCGCTACTTCAGTATTCATGAAGTTATCGATGTATTGACAATAGCGTGTAAATTGTACACTGGTACAAGATTTCAATTTGATTCTTTTCAATGAAAGTAGGTAGTGAATAATGTTGATTGCAAGAAGTTTATATAATGCTTTCTCTTTCTTTTTTTTTTCGAATATCATTTACATATCGGTAGGCGACTGCAGAACAGACGGTAAGAAACCAAAGTAACTCGTACGTTACTCTCGAAGTAATGCCATTAGAAGAGAAATCGAAAGCTTTCTTTTCTTATTGATTATAAACATTGAAGATATTTCTCTCATAATCGAAACTGAACTTTCACCATTTGCACTCGCGTGCTATTCAACTTCCTTCAAAAGAGACATTGTTTACAACAATCAATAAGTTTCTTTTATCAAACAAACGAAAGAAGACGCACACGCATAGACAATCTTAAATAATATTTTGAAATACAACACGCACATATGTTTAGATGAATATGACAAAGAAATTTATACAACAACTTCGTAGATAAGTTTTTTGCCATTGTGAAGTCGAGTAGGTGTGGAGAAACCACTTTCCTCTTCTGACGACGAGATTCGTTCATGAATTGGAATATTCACATGTTGATCTCTTTCTCGTGCGAATGAATAAGCCGACAGAATCATTCTGTTCGTTGACATTCTTCCATTGACCAGATATTCACCATCAGATCGTTCGTAGAAATCCGAACCTGATAGTACTTGAGAACCAACCGAATCGGAATTATCCGATGTGGTTGATGGCATACCAGAATCAAGACAAATCGAATTTGGTTTCTCTAAACAAAGTTTTATTCATACAAATTTTCTAGTACCAACATTTTTCGTCTTCTTACGTTGAAGAGAATAGACACCTGTATGTTCGTCATTATAAAATACAGCTTGCGATGGATAATATAAACGTGAATTGGTTTCATTGACACGAACTGAAGTGTTGGCGACACCATTTTCTGAAGTAGTCTTCAGTGTGTCCGTTGAACCATTCTTTGCTTTCACTCGCCGCCGTTGCCGGTGTACACAAACGAACAGTACGATCAATCCAAGGACAATACACAAACCAAAAACGCTTCCTACGACGAAAAATTATTATCTTGAATAAGAAATGGAAGGAGACTTTTACCAGTAATAATCAAAATCAATTCGGATGAATCATTGAATAGTTGACTAGTCGTCGGAATGGTGACAAATTTCGAACAGATATCTGTTTGATTAATTAAACATAATTTCAAACGTATTCCCATAGCTTCGACTTGCAGTTCTAAACCATCTTTTAATGCTTCGAGTGAAGTAAGAGGAATACATGGTGGTATAGTTTCGCTATTATAATGTTGAATACAGAGTTGATCGAGTAACATCATCGATGGCTGCAGTGGACTCAACTGAAAGCGTATTCGTCGTCCATCAGGAGTGAAATACGCTCGTTGAATGCTTGGAAATGCTTCCAGTTCGACAGGTGTTTGTTTTGTGGTAATGATCACGTTCGATGAATAATCACTATAGCCAATATCATTTTTCGAACGAATTTTTACCGAATATCGCGTATTGGAATTTAAATCATCGAAGCGCAAAGAATTGAGAAGAGTTTCTCTTTCATTTGTCGAGTTGTCATCAAGAGAAACATAGAACATTTGCTCGGAACCACCGTCATAACCTGGTTGCCAACTCAATACGAATGATGAATGAGTGACATTGCTTGCCTGTAAGCCTATCGGTGGATCGGGTAAACCAGGTCGTTGAAAATTAATCACGAATTCACGTTGACCAAAATCATTCTTTCCAGTACAGCGATATTGTCCAAGGATTGGTGAATAAGATAGTGGCACTTAAAAAATAAAACACGAAATTGTTGAATAAGAGTGGAAAGAAAACAATTTACAATGCAATTCAGATATGGTGATCGTATTGTTGAACACTTTTTCTTTGGTAAATAAACTTAATCGTTGTCCCGATGGACCAAACCAACTAATGTCAGGTTTTGGATACGCATCAACAATGCATTCAGCTTTAACATCATAATTTTCAACGACCGCCAGCTTTTTGTAAGAATTTAATATAAATGGTTCGTCTAAAACAAATCAAGCTCACTTGGTTCAAGTTTTTTTTCATATTTATTTCGACTTACATTGTACTCGAACATCGGTCGAGGCAACTGCAATTCCATCGAAGTGATCGCTAGAACTGGTATTCATTGAATTCTTCACTTCGCATATGTATTTTCCTGTATTCGATCGATCGACTTTCTCGATGACATATTCTGTGAATTTCTTATCTGTACACGGTTCCTTAACCAATTCTTGCTCATTAAATAGCCAACGAATTTGTTCACACCAAGGATTAGCGTCAATCGAACATTTTAAAACCAATTTCTCATTCTGATTTAATGTGACATTTTCGATCATAGATAATTTTGGTTTGTCTAATCGAAAATAAAGAAAACCAGAACTTTTCTTCTTCAGAATCAAACTTTTTGCTTACAAAGGATATTGACATCGAGGTATGCTTCTGTTTGTCCAATGGAATTTCTCGCACGACACGATAATTTGTCGATGCCATGAAAATTGACTCGTAATTGTTCTTGATTTTCTCCTACGATGAACATAAAACAAAAGAAATGAACATTTCACCAACCGATCAATCACACAGAATCTTATCTAATTCGACTCGAGACAATTGAATTCTCACCTAGAATTAATTGATCATTCTTAAACCATTCAATATTCGAGTTGAGCGGTGGATTCGACGATGTCCGACAATGGATCTTCTCAAACGTATTTTCAACAACTGTTAATGTATTCGCTGCAAGTTCTTTGTCTTTGAAGGAAAATGTGATTAACGGTTTAACTGAAAAAGAAAGGAAAATTCTCTTGCTTATCTCTTCAAACAAACTGCTCACATAAGATATCGAGTTTGACTTCAATACGCGTCTCTTCGACACTTGCTTTATTGGACACTTGACAACGGAGAATGTTATTATGATCAGCAGGTGTTAGTAAAAGTGTTAACAGCGATGAACTTGAAAAGAGCAATGCATCGGTTTGATTGCCGATTGAACTAACAAATGAAGAAAGAAAGAAATACAGTGCTGTTGTTTTCTTTTCATCGAATAATTGTCGAAATACAAACCTTTGAATCAGCTTATCGTTTTTGTACCATTCAAATATTGGATTTGGATAAACACGCTCGCTACTACAATGAAACGAAACTAATGTGCCAGCAAGGACAGGTGATGAGGTCGATGATGTCAACCGAAGACGCGATGGTGGTACTAAAAAGAAGCAACAACAGATCAAACTTATCTCGGCAATTGTTATTATTTTCGTGTTGATCCGATCAATTGATTCTCGACAATGATTATACACGTATATCATGAATCACTTCTTCTCCTGATGTATAGATGACTGTTATATGATCTGAGTTATGTTTATAGGATATAATATCTTGAAAGACTTGTGCAATCTTGCGATGGTTATCTTTAGTTCGGCTAATTGATAGATGGAAAGGAATCAATTCAATGTCCGTACTCGAATTCGATAGTCAGTCGAGTTGCGATTCGTTGGAATCAAAAAAAGATAACTTCTCCTCTAATCGATTGTACGACTGTTTCATCTTGGAAATCATTTCGCAGCAGATGTTTGCTTTGATATTTGTTAAAAGAGGAAATAAACGATGTTAAATGAACATACCAATCACATTAACTTGAAAATGATTCTCTTCTTTTGCTGTAAAATTCTGGCATTTGTAAAGTCCAGATGATTCCAATTGAATATTAATTATCGTTAATTGATACGTATCTGCGTTCACTTGATTTATCAAGTATTTCTTCGGATTATTCGAGATTGAATTGACTCCGATAACTTGTGTATCGTCTTTGTACCACAGAATGATATTGTCCGATTGATTATTCTGCGAAAGTAAGGATGTGAGTGAATTGGAGAGACTTCTGGATTTAGGTGAATCGAAGTGGCATGTAATCGTGATATTGACATTTTCTCGGACTTCTATTATTTGAATCGACGACAGAATCGAAGGAACATGAAGGCAAATGCATAAGAGATAGAGGAACATCTAAAAGTAAGAATTAGACATGTATACATTACTGAAGAGATATTTATGTGTACAATGAGCAAATGTTATTATACGGAACCTTTTGCTTTCTTATGTGTTTGTATGTATGTGCATGTCGGACAACTAGCAATGATGACCATTGAGTAGAGAACGAGAGAAGAGAAAGAGAGAGAGAGCGAAAGCGAAGCAATGAAGATATACCTTTTGTGTCATTCTCGACAGCGGAGAAGAAGAAGAAGAAGAAGAAGAAAGATTGTCCATTTGTTCCACTAGAAACAAGAATGCATTGAACTTCATTGAAATAAATGAGTCGCACATTTCTCGACGTGACCACATCGAATATCTTTGTCTTTTATTTTAACAATGATTTATATCCTGTACACAAACTCAAACGATTGTTCTAACAGAATCTAAACGTGATCATTCTCTCTCTTTACACGCTCGGGGTTAATTACCGGTTGAATGTATTAATCTTCTGTGGCGATCATCTTCTTATTAGAAAAAACTAGAATCATTATGATACTCTTACACAATATTAAATATGCATGACTTATTCAGCTGAATGTATTCGATTTCAAACGATGATCAGAAAAGGCTACTTACGATTATCAAATTTCACAGTTTACTAGCGTAGAGATGAGAAAAAGAGAAGTTCATTATTCTTTGAGATAACTAGATATGAACATGTTCCATTCAATAATGTATACTTAATATGGAAATGTTTTAACAGAAGATATCCTAAGGCAGCTTGACGTAAGAAGGTCAAAGTTCTAATTGATTATCCTTTATTGTTATGTTTACCTCGAGTATGATAAACGGAAGTAATTTTTCATTTGTATAAGTCATAAACGCATCTTTTAGCAATGTACTTTCTTGTATATATATATAGTTAATTGAATAGTACTCTGAAGTATTGTTTAACGAACGTGAGTTCTATTTGAACTAGTCATGAATAAGAAATCTGAGTCGCTGTCGGTCTTGTCCATTGACTGTTCGAAAGACGATGATCTTCAATGAATAGGCACGACTCGTGGAAGTCTTACAAAGTTAAAATTAATTTTCAATGATGACTCTATTGAAACCTCGATGTCAAAATGTATGCACTGAAGAGAAAACGAATGGTCATGATGAAACCTTAGTTACGTTAGGAATTAATTGAATATGTAATATACAGATGGAAAAGGAGACTTCCGTTCCTTATTAAGACAACTAAGTAAAAGTAAGATTAATTATAGCATACCTATATTATCGAATCAGATGACGATGTGTATGTGAACACTTTCTTTTAGACACATTTATTCTCTTTTTCTCTCTTTCCGTATACTATAATGAATGTCATCGGAATTTTTCTCTCCCATTTACCAGCAACGAGACGATGTGAACAAATTAAGGTATGTACGCGCGTCTAATGTATAGTTTTGTCGCTCTCTCTCTCTTCTTTCTCTCTCACTCCTTTTCTTTTCACTTTCATTCGAGGCAACCAAGTGTAGAAGACGCGACATATTTATATGTATATATTCAAGTGTTCAAACTTCAAATGATTGGAACTAATATCTGAATGAATAACAACAACAACTTGAAAATTGTTGTTTTCTTGTCTTTTTTTCCATTCGCAAATGTGATTAGGACAGATAAAACAAGCAATGACATCATTATATATCAATCGAAACAATGCGATGATTAAAGGAAAGGTGCCTTGTCGTTGTTAGAGATTAGATGACGATATTCGTTGTTCAGACGATCCTAATTGTAAATAGATGATCCATGTGTATATCAATGAACGATGATTTCGTTTTCTTCTCTCTTTTGATTTCTAAAGCATCGCGCTTGAAAGCACAAAACGATGCCGTAAGGTTGACTGTTAAGATATTTGCCGTTGTTTTACTTTTGACCTCCGGTGTTTTATTGTATGATATACATATAACCTGAAGAAGATTATCAACAGTTGAAAGCGTTCTATTCATTTTCATGTCCGCACGCACCAGTTCAATCGGCTTTTCTTGTGTAGACAGGTGATAAACTTGTCATGTATACTTGCCTGTATATAACAGAACCTCGCCGGAGCGGATTAAACTTCACGTTCTTTCGAATTAATCAAGCGCATATTTTTTTTCATCGATATGGCAAATGCTGTTTTGTAATCGATTGATCATTGCTAAATGTTTTATCAAATAAGGGTCGTCTTCTGTCATTCAAAACAAATTAAACTCATACGTATACACGCATGCATTGAAAATCATCGTATTCAACATCGGATAAATGTCGTTCGTGTTCTCACAAAAGAGTCAGTTGTCTTGTCATTTGACCATCGAGTGTACGACGAAGATGTGTGTGTACTGAACGTGTAATGATTCAATGTGACATACACACGCGATCAATTAAATTGAGAATAATTGCGACGTTCTCCTCTCACTATTTCTATTTTCTAAAATAATTCATTCGATAGTGTATCAAAACTTGATTCCGATCAATCTAACTGCGAGCGCTTCTTCAATTCGATTAAAGAATGCTGTTAAAGGAGGAAAATCTCTCGTATGATGTAAGAGTTAGACATATAGCGTGATCAATTGTTTTGTAAGTACCTGTCGTCGTTTGACCATCTGAAATGTAAAAGTAATTGCGACCATTATTAACTGTAATTCTTTGAAAATGTTCAGAATTGTAAATTGACAATATAAGCCCGCATGCGGGAGAGATTTCATGACAACAACGTACTTGTGTTCGGATTTCTTTTCTTGATACGATTATTCGTTGAATAATTAAGAGTCGAAGTTTCTACATCGAAATACACTTGACTTGTCCTATTCGAGCAAATGGCATACAATGGTAAACAAATCGATTTCTACATGAATAATTAAATCATTCCTAATAGAATTATTCTGCTTGATGCATACAATAGAAAAGTAGACAGATATTTACATGGGAAATATATAAAGAGACATCAATCATAGTTAAAAAAAACTTCTTGTTTTCCTTCAAAGATCTTCTTGTTGTCATATGTTTATATTATAGTTTCTCGGCAATACTCGTGCACCAGCTGGATAAACATTGAATGGTAAAAATGATATGGCTGAAGGCTAAAGAAACTCGCGATTTCGTTCACAGATCATCTTCCAACAAGTGTGCGTGTTTGCTTTTTTGCGGCTCAAATCTGTTTCATACCGTATCCGAATACTTGATGATGTAAAGGTAAAAGCTTTAACATATCCGAGTGACATCTATGAAGACAGAAAAGAACACCGATTCTCATTCGAGAGATGAAGTTTGAGATAAAAAAAAAGAATTTGATTCATTACTAAGAGTTTGCTTCATTCGTATTTGAAAAGTTATGGATCTTGTTTGTGATCTCGGCTCATCACGTTCTGTAAGTAAGAAAAATCGATTAATCCGTTGCATATTGTTAAATATATGTAAATGTTTTTCTTTTCTATACTGTCTATGTGACATCAAAGAGAAAAATTCTTTATCTATTATGAGAATAGACTAGGGAATACGAAGAAATCAAAGATCGACTTTTCTCTTTTCTTGTTCTTCAACTTCGTCGTCTAGATATACTTCCAGGAAGCCCAAGCTTAGCTATTCTTTTCATCTCCTATAGTCATATAAATGCATGACTGAGGAGCTACTGTATCCCATAATGCAAATCAAATGTGTTCGCAGACATGTCTCTACTCGCACGGAAAGTGAAGAAGAGGAATTGTCATGAGAAATGACTTGCTCTCATTTCGAATCTATTCAGAAGATCAAAATCAATGAATCGACAGTTATTCATCGAAGTTCTTCGACAGATCTCATCGACATTCGATCTATTCAAAAGTTTCCTTTCTCATGAGGATTATCTTAAGGTATTTCACTTTCGCTTATTCCTATTCAGTTCATTGAGAAACATTATTATTCTTATTTCGATGTCTTGCTGCTATTTAGGTAGAAAATGTTCTTGTCATTGATCGTGCTAACAATCGGCAATATGTCAGTGGTAAATGAATATTTCATTGCATTAATATGATGAAAATTCGATATGTTTTCTTTTAAGGTACCATCTATTTGACTGCAACACACTTACTATTTGATGATCCTGAAAATAAGCGACAAACTTGGGTAACTATTGGTAGAAGCTATTGATTTAAAAGCTTTATTTTTCTTTCACTAGATTCTTCTGCCATTGATATCATCTGCAGATAAATTACCGACGACTCAACAAGGCTGTCCATTACGCGTCCGAACGAAACATTTTCTTTCGATTGAATTCATCATTCCAAAAGAACGTGATTGTACTGACCTTCATGCCACATTGAATCAATTAAAATGTGGTAAATAGTTGGTTGTCTCTCTTCAAATATTATCCAATTTTGTCGTTTCTTGTTGAATTTAGACTCAATCGAAAAACTTTATTGTTTCAATTACGTCGCACCGACTTACCTGGAAAAAGTTTGGGATCCATTTCTTTTAGCGACAGAGTATATGAGAATGGGTGTACCAAATCGTGAATGGAGAACTGAGACTTGTAATAGTAGTTTTGAAATGTGTGATACATATCCATCGTTATTCTACGTACCAACATCAACTACAAAAGCGATGCTCATTGCCAGTTCGAAATTTCGTAGTCGTGGACGGCTACCTGTACTTACCTATCTTCATCCGAATGGAGTAAGTAGGCGAAATTTGTATACGCGATTGTACTATTCTTGATGTCTCGTAGGCATCAATAACGCGTTGTTCACAGCCGTTATCTGGTTTTAGTCAGCGTTGTGTAGAAGATGAACAACTTCTTCAATGTATTTTGAAGACAAATTCACAATCATCGACAATGTATATCATTGATACGAGGCCACGTGTAAGTTTGGCAATGGAAAGAAAATTTCCATTAGTTTCGACTTTTTTGTTCGCTAATGGAAATAGATCAATGCTGTAGCCAATCGTGCGGCTGGAAAAGGATACGAAAATGAAGATCATTATTCCAATATTCAATTTAAGTTTTGTCCAATAGAAAATATTCACGTTATGCGTGGTAGTTTACAAAAATTACTTGAAAGTAATTCGAATATCGTCGTTCACTCTCATTTAACTAAAGAATTATTTAGCTTGTGAAATGAAAAATCCGTCGATGAATCAATACTTGAATAGTCTAGATAATTCTTCATGGTTGCAACATATCAAAGCTGTTCTGGATGCTGCAATATTTATCGCTCGAGTAAGACAAAGAAGAAGAGGAAAGGACAAAGAGTGAAATTAATGTTTTGATTTAGGCTGTTGAAGTTGAAAAGAAAAATGTTCTTGTTCATTGTTCAGATGGATGGGATCGAACTGCTCAATGTTGTTCACTGTCCGAATTACTTCTCTGTCCATCCTATCGATCGATACATGGATTTCGAGTAGGATTTTGAATTTTGATCTTTATTAGTAAATCATACTTTTCATACGGTAGATGTTGATTGAAAAAGAATGGCTATCATTTGGACATAAGTTCGGCGATCGATGTGGTCATACGCGAGTGACAGATATTAAAGAACAATCGCCCATTTTCCTTCAATTTATCGAAATAGTTTGGCAATTGACACAAATCTATCCGTCAGCATTCGAATTCAATGAACGTTTTCTAATATCACTACATGATCATTGTCATTCTTGTCAATATGGAAATTTTATAGGAAATTGCGAAAAAGATCGACTTGATCTACGGTTGAATTGATTATTTCTTCTCCTCAAATTTCATCTCACACTTTTCTTTACATTTTTAGTGTCAAAGAGCGAACTTATTCATACTGGAATTATGTTTTACAAAATGTTAATGATTTCAAGAATCCGGCATTCCGTCCGCAATCTGCATATGCAAGTGAAGTTCTTATACCGACGCTTAACACGCAAACGTTAAAGTAAACAACAGTCAATAAGTCTACAGTTTTCCTCTGCAGAATTGTTTTTCAGATTTTGGTTGAATATGTACCATCGATTCGATAGTTCATTGCTACCAAAAGAAAACATATCGAATACATTGACAAATCTTGTTGATCATACAGCAGCCTTGAATGATCATGCGCGATTGTTGGAAAAAGTAAGTCATTTTCAATACTGCTGATTTTTTTTTGCAATTGTATTCGTTTAGCGTATTCGCGAGCTTCGTTCAGTGCTCGATAATGGACTGTCATCGTATGAAAATATTCAAAATCATGTTAGTCAAAGTACCAAAATACTTCCTGATCATGACAGCAGTTCAAATGGGAACGAACTTCCTTCATCAACCATCGAAACAAAACAATCATCAGCGCCGACGTCATCCTGCGATGTTGAAAGTGAAATTCGTGATGATCAATCGCTCAGCGGACAACCATCGTCCATCCCAGTCACTCTTCAGCATCAATCAAGCACAGAAATCAATGAAATTCCATGCAATGAACGTATTGCATTTGAATTGAATTCTGTCGCGTTGGATTGGCGTTCGTATCGAACACCATTTCAGTGTATGTGTGCATTACCAATGGATTCTGCTCAACGAAAAGTAAGTTTTGATAGATGAATCCATTGCTCATGAATTACTTCCTTTTAGCATGTCTGTTGGCGATGCGGCGAAAACTTTTGTTCACGTTGTATCGAACATGGCGTTCGTTTACCTGGTCTCTATAGTAATAGTGCAGCACCAGTATGTAAAACTTGCACACGTTCAATAAAATCATCGCTATCGATGATTGAATGTTCCAAGAATCTATCTACTGTAACCATGAAACCATCTAGCTTAACTGATGATGAAAACCAAATTTGATTCACCGGTGATTTACTTGCCTATGCTCGTTCTTGTAATTATGTCAGATTTGTTATTTAATTCGAATATATTTAGCGTCTAAATTACTCTTTTCTTCATCTTGCCATGAATTCTTACGTCTTTATCTTCTATTTTACAGTGATTTTTCTGGGTTGTTTTCTTCTTTTTGATTGATCGATGATACTATGCAAAAAAAAATAGAATTTCAAATCATCAAACCTGTTTCATAATTCAAGTTGCTTCGATGAAAGAACATTACAAACTAAACTAATGTCCGGAAAGTTTCGACATTTCAATATGAACATAAGACAAGGTCTACTTCTACATCATATCCTTCAATGTCAGCGTATAGTCGTTGTACATTTACCGGAACAACTAGATCGATGAACTATTTCATGGACTTCTTGTTCATTTAATAGTTAATAGGAATAACTAGGTTTCTTTTTCTTCGATGAAACGATTGCTCTAATTGCAATTCATATATATTTAGTTGACTAAGAAAACCTCGTGCCATTGAAAAAAACGAAGAACAAAGTTAAATCAAATAAAATATTAGGTCAATATCTAATATATATCTTCACCTTTCGATTCTGAGGCACTGTCATGAGGTGTCCGTTGAAGTGAAGCAGGTGTTGACGCTTTCGATTGTGTAGTTTTAACAGGTTCAAACGATGTGATTGGAGTTGGTATTTTTCGACTTGGCGAAAGAACTCTGTCTTGTCGAAGTATAGGTGCCGTTGTGGAATTCAATACGTCGTTTAGTTGTTCGATGTGTGATGATGCACTTGAATTATATTCATTTAAAACACGCATTAATTCGGCGCTAGGTGGCGGCAAATCTTCAATACGATCGACGATACGAACATCACTATCGTCATGTTGCTTATGATAATCAGTGTATTGATTAGGATCCACGCGAAAGACACCTTCTTCAATCACTCGACGGACTGTGTAGGCTTTTAACGGTTCATATTCGATGATGACGTTACGTGTTGGTGGGGGTGGTGGTACAGGTGGAGCTTTTTGCAAAAGAATAGGCCGTTTGACTTTTTTGTACGGTAACCATTTTTCGAATATGACTGTTCGAGGTTTAGGTGGAGGTGTTGGCAAGCGTTCGATAATAATTTGACGAGGTGGTATCGGTGGCGGTGGTAGGGGTTTATCAATAATACAAGGTCTAGAGAAAATCGTATCAGAAGAGGAAAAAAATGAGAAAATTGCTTTACTCGACATGTGCTGGCGGACTTGGTGGGCGCTCACGAATAATCAATGGTGGTGGTGTACGTGCTTCCGGCTTCTTCTCGCGAATAAGTAATGGCTACAAAAGAAAATAGAAACGACTACTGTTGCATAAGAAACAGACAAGAATTAGAATCGTACGGATTCGGGCGGATTTGGTGGTAATTGTTTCTCTCGGATGATAATAGGCGCGGGTGGCGGAGGTGTCGGAGGTTGCAAATAGCGAATACGAATTTCTTTCTTATAGACAACGTTTTGTGAATTTGGTTTGACAACTTTTACAGGTGGATTGTCCAGTGAATCGATTTGATGTAAGTAGTGCTCAGCTGATACAGTTGGATCACTACTTGTTGCATTGTAACGAGGAATTGGTGGCGGTGGAGGAGTTCGACGCGGAGAACTTCCTTGTTGAGTCATATCGTCTGGTGAGTGTGTCTTTGACGCTTGACGATTAATAACAGGTGGTGGTGGTGGTGGAGGCTGTTGAACGTATGCAAGTGGACGGGCTGTTGTGGTAGTTGTTGCTGATTGTGTGATTAATGGTTGAGAGTGTGGAGAATACTTTGTGAATGCTGATGGATGATCAGGTTCTTTTTCTTGCGGAGTATTAAAAAGATATTCACTGGGATCTAGACCGAATTCTGCAAGGATTTTGCCAATATCTGCTCGGTCAGAGCTGCCTGTGATTGACGTCGATGTTGTTGTTGTTGTTGTTGTTATGTTTTTGTCGTTCGATGAGTCGATACCGTGATTTTGTGACCTGAAGCGAAACACATTTAGGAAAAAGCAAAGTAAATAGTAAGAAAAACACAAACGAGAGTGTTTGTTTGTGGTTTATATATGTAAGTGTACGTAGAAAAAGAAACAAATATTATTGATAATAATCATTAAAGATGAAATCAACGTAGCGGAACTCAATAGTTCGTAAAAAAGAACCCATAGTGAGAAGATGATTCACTTCCGCAAAAAAAAACATTGAAAATTTCACTTCAAACTCAAAGACATTGGAAGTCATCTCTCTCCTTTCTTCAAACGATTTTTGCGAAAGATCGATGTTCATCTTCTGTTCAAGGTTGTTTTACAAGTTGTATTATCAAACAAACAATTGTGATCATGACTTATTTCGGTCCTATTATTCGCACTAAATGACACTTTCTATAGAACAATCCACATGAGTCAACTTATATTCGTAAATACGATAAAGAGAGACTGAATGATATACTTCTATCGTAGATTAAAATAAAACCCTATGCTAGAACTTACGTGGCCATTATGTTTCAATTGTAGATACACTTGTATTGACGAGAATATTACTTTCTGATTGCTACATATGCATTTACAAGTTAAATATAACTAAACTAAAGTTCAAGTACGTTCTTTTGTATATATAACGATCTTTTTTACAGGCAGCTATAAAATAAAAAATCACGCAAGCAAGTCATTGACGCATGACCAAAAATGTTCTACGAACTCAAATGATAGAGTAAGCGACGATACAATACAGAACAAAAAAATGTATACTGTTATGTTCACAGTGCTCAATCATTACTTTTCTACTATTCAAACTTTTTTTCCTTTCGATTACATGTAACCTTCACGAAATACTAAAAAAGTCAAAGTTGCGTCAGTTTACGTTCTCTCAATCTGGACAAGCAAATCATCCAGTTTTGATAAATGATCAACTGCATGGTAAATCTTGATAGCAACACTATGAAACGGTCAACTGTGTACATATGCTAACAAATGATAATCGAACAAGGTCATTGGAGTGACATTGAATATTTGTTAACAAGTTGAAGAGAAGGTACATATGAGAGCTAAAAGGCTAGCAGTTAAAGAGAGAAAAAAGAGTTTGAAGTCTATGTTTTGCTGTTGATTTGTGTTCAGTCTTCTTCTTTTTTGACGAAGAATTGTTGAATAACTCTCAAGATATCTTGTAAATTGATGTTTTTGATGAGTTTTTTCAAATCGTCAATGATTTTCTTGACGAATTCACGAACATTTCGGAAATATCGGAAATCGCCTTCGAAAGTGCCGGAGTTCTCGTGTTCATCAATGATTTCGTCAATATCAATGGTTGTTGTTCGAGGTGTCGTTGAAGCTTTGATCTGAAAGTAAAAATGATGAAAATTGTTCATTTGCAACTAAAACTAAATTTTTACTCTGCGTGATGATTTTGATGGTGAAGTACGTCGCGCAGGAAATGTAAAAGTTGAACGGCGAGTGGTTGTTGTCGTCGTCGTCGTCGTTGTTGTTGTATCGATTTCATCATCGTCATCATCTTCATCGTCATCATCGTCATTGTTACGGTTAATGGCACTGCCATCATCTTCATGAGGCAATGCTGCATCGTCATCATCTACTACAGCCGGTTGTCGAGCAGATGGTGTTGACTATGAATGAAACACGTGAGATTCGTTCAGAAACAAAAATAGACTTACCGATGGTGCTGATTTTACCAAGCAAATAATAGCAAATATGGCGAAAATGATTAATAACTTCATGGTACACTATCGGATCTTGTTAGAAAAATGCCTGATAGCAGAACGAGTTTTTGATGCGTTTATATAGGATGCGATGCTAAGTTAGTAATACTTATGTTATCTTATTCTTAGATAGGATTGTAGACGAGTGACATATGATGATTAGCGTTTCTGGCAAAATTTCTTAACTATCTATCTCGATTTTGCGTAGTTAGTAAAGAGACAGTTATTCATCGCGAATGTCGCCTGTTCGGATGAGATTTATTTGGTTTGTTTGTTTTCTCTTTTAGGATATGAGAAAGAATTGCATAACAATAAATCGCATTTCTAATCCGTGTCTTGCAAGTCAAAGATAAATGACATATGACATAAAAGATCGATTGTAATCCACTAAATTAAACATTTCCTACCATGAATACCATAAATAAGTTGCATATCTCTATTACAGCGTTGTTTCCAGTGCGATTCATACATCTATGCTAATAATTCTACACTTAAGTTTGACTTTCACGAAAAGCTTAGTCTTGTCATACTTTGTCTCCAACGAAAAGTGACATCTAGATGCTCATGTTTATCTATTCGACGCCAATCATAAACAAGAGTTGTTGACATCCATCTATCATTCATTCATTCATTCTCATAACAATAAAAGAGAGCGTAGCGCAACGTGACTTAATTTATCTCAAAGATTTCTTCCGATGTTGATTATTCCATTAATATTGATGGTGATTTCGTCGCCATCATTCGTTTTCTGTGCTGATGAATTTGAAGATTATCGTTGTAAATGTGTATGCCCATCGCTAGCTGTTCTAGCCGGTTCGCCTGTGAATGAAACAGATCGTCGTGTTTATGTTGATGTCGTGCCACCGAATAAATGTTTATGTCAACTGGTTGTTTTTCGCTCCATTGACGCCACGCAAGATTTCAAAGATCGATTTTGTCCTCGGTGAATAATCTTCCTTCTGTTAGTAGAGAAGAAAAACACGCTATACTTTTCTTCTTCTAGCTGTGTTTGTAACTATGAAGTCCGGAATACAACAACGATGAAAGTTAGTTTTTCAATAAGACCACTATTTCATTCGAATGATTATTTTAGGTTGTAGTGATTATAATCATGGTTGCCATTTCTCTCTTATTCATTTACATGTCATTCTTACTTTGTCTCGATCCAATTATGAATCAGAATAGTAAGTCAACAACTACAGCAACAAGTGGCAATCGTCAAGCACGACAATATGAAAGACAAGTCAATGAAGATATTAATGTGGATAATCCAACACAAGAGTGTGTCTTCAGTGAGCCGGCTGCTGCCAGTAACCTACAAGGTAATCGACAACGTTCGTCAACAGTATTGAATTTAGTGACACAAGAACAATCAAAATGGAGAAAAAATGTAAGATTTGAAAAATCCTTTCTTTGAACAGACAAAACATGATTGCTTCATGTTATTTTTTAGGTTCAACAACAACGTCAATCTGTTTATAACAAACATGAATTACTTAATTGAGAGATATCTTAACCTTTCTTCATTGTGTTTGTGTGTGTTTTTTTTGTCATTCCGTTTATTCGATTATTTTACTGAAAGAAAAAAAGAAATGAATAGTGCTAATAGATACGTATGCTCTATGTAATCAATGCATCCGTCTCGAATTCCATAGTTTGATAAGACAGATGTTCACTATGAAACCGGATATGGTCGATTAATCTTCATGTCAAGATTCAACGAGACTTTTCCATTTCCTCGACAAACCATTCATTTATTATTTCAAATTCAAAACACGATTGACTAGTTTAAGTTTATTGAAGAGAACAATAAATCAGTTCGTTTTTTTCTGTCGTTTTTGTGCTGCGTAAAGCTGTTTTCGACGATAAACAGGATCGTCATCAGCATCTGTGATCGTTACGCATTGACTCAGAACGTATGCAATAAGGAGTAAGCAGAATGTCAAGAAGCCAAAGAGTATGTACCACACTTTTTCATCGAGTTCGACTGGAAAATATGATTGCAATGTTAGAACAAGATGCTTTTGTACAGCAATGTACGGTCGAGTTAGAAATCCAAGTAATGCATTGAAAAGACGAAGTATCATCGATGTTATCTAGAAAAGATAAGATTTTTAAGTAATTACATGGGTTTTTATCAAGTGTATTCCTATATTGAATATTCGAAATGAGTAATTCTATTCAAGAAACACAAAGAATATTACATTAGATGTTTAAAATTCGCGTCTGTAGTGGAAGAATTCATAGGTGTTGATGATGTCGAGAAATTTTGTGTTTCACGTGCATTTTTTAAACTCTCGAGTTCTTGTAACAGTTGATTATGCTTTAATTCCAGTTGTTTTTGACGGATATTATTCAGAACTTCTAATTCTTCCCGTTCTTCAGCTGAAGTAGAATAATTAAGAATTGTTTTTTTTTAAACTCTGTACGAATATTTTTAAGAAAAATAGACTTACCGATAAAGAGATTTTCCGTTGCTGAATGTTCGTCTTTGAGTTCTGCAACATGATCAAAAATTAAACCATCAACCTTCAAATCAATCAGTGATTTTGATACATCTTTGTTACCTAGAAATTAATCCAATGTCTCGTTAATATTCATGTTTTTGTCTCCATTCGACTTACTCGCTTCATCTCCCCAAATGAATAGTAATTTTCCATTTTCTTTTACATGTTTTACAAAATCTTTATCTGAAAGGATGTCGAGTGCAGGTGCAGTTAAACCCGATAAATGCTCCGCAACGGTGAAACACAGTCCAATATCAATCGACCATGTTCGCACATCTAAAAATTGCGGCCAATCACCTTTGTCACCTTGGGTTAGAAACAACACAGGAAATAATGTTTGTTTTCGTCTAAGCATCGATGCACAATCAGGATCGAATGTAGACAAAACAATCACACGTTTGCCCGCTAAAAGAAAAACAAACCTATTCTTGACCTTCACCCATTTAAATTCTCAGCTTACCGTGAGCGATCAAACAACGAAGAATACAATCGATATACTCATTTCTTTCGAAATAATAATTTTGCTCACATCCACCTTGTCGATATTCCATAGCATATTTGATTTCAACATTGAAGCCAAGATGTGGATCAAGTTGTTCGAATAATTCTTGGAGTGTTGGGAATAGTGATCGAAAGTTTTTCTGACCGGATTGGTCATCTTCTTCAACTTCCTCATCAGCCTTACTCACATCAGTTTCGCTAGCATGATGAATCTTCAAAGATTGCAATTGTGGTAAGGTGAGATCTTTGACGGGTACTGCGAATAATTCAGCTTGTTGAACTTTACGTTTCAGGGTTATGGCGACTTGAAAATCATGATAAACGACAGGAACTTTATCTTTCGATAGCTGAACATCGAATTCAACGAAATCAAAACCCAATTGAAATGCACCTTTGAATGATGCCAGTGTATTTTCACTAACGAATTTTGTTTGTACAGGTCGCGTAGTTGATGGCATTGTTGATGCTGATGATTGTGTACTAGGCACACTAACTGATGGGTCACTTGATCGATGACGAAGTGGATCAGACGATGAATGTTTCGATGGATTATGTTCACCATTCGTTTTGCCTAATAACAACGGTTTGAACTCGAATTCAAACACGATATTTCTTACCTAAACCTCGATGTCCAACATTGACTGGTCTTCGTCCTTCGCGCCAGTATTTCGATTGCGTGACAAGAAATTTCTGTGCCACGCCTTCTAATGATGTTATGAGTAAAACGTCGATTTTAATTTGTCCAATTCTAGTGGGGGAAAAATCAATGAACATTTCTACGAACAATAAACTACGAACGGATTATGTTTCAATCCAATGATTGGTACGGTTCGATTGAGATGTTTGTTATCATTGGATTCTAAATTCGAATGTACGGGTAAAAGATATGCAAAGCCAATATGCTTTCGTAATGGCGATGTTTCATCCACAAGATAGAAATCAATGTGATAAGCAACATTTTCGGGTTCAAATGTTTGAATTTTAACGATGATATAATCATCTTTTGCAATCACCGCACCATAATCTCCTTGAAAATTCGTCTCACAACCCGATAAACGTAAAATTGCCGATTGAATGAAAATTTTCGATGTTGATGGATACTGTTGATTCAATGAGTCGGACGTCACTTCTTCATTTTCTTGTTGATATGTCAAATCTATTGGAGAAACTCTCAATGATAAAGTTTTATCACGTAATTTCGATGACCATATATGTAGAGCATTGGAATGAAAACGTAATTGTATCTCAGTTTGACCGGTTAGCCAACCGATATCTGTCCGATGTATACCTCGATGACATCCGAATATAGCTGGATATTCATCTGGTTGTTGAGCATCAGTAGGATCTGCTGAATCAACTGAATGGAAACATAGCTGGCGTGCTTCTTTGAATGTTTCCCCTAGAAAATATATTCGTCGAAAGATGCGTCATTCGATATGACACTTACATTTCTTGATGATTAAATTCATATCATCATCCATTCGTACAATTTGTGCAATGACGTATCGATATCTGATTTTATCCGTGCCATGAATTTTGATATTTGTCGACCAGAGTTCTCCATCTTCAGTTCGATCGATACGACTCAATGGTACACAACGATTGGGTAACCATTCACCTAATTGTTCACATGAACCCGTGATAAGAACGCTATCACATGAACTTAGCTTCTCTTTTACTAACACACGAAATTCAACATCGTAGACCACGCGACGAATCATTGTTAATATCTGCACATAAACGAAAAGATGAAATAACGAAAAAAAAAGTAATTGAACGTTACCGAGAATGAAAGAGTAAATTTCGTTTGACCATGAATTTATGGATGGGAACAAAATTTTCCGTTCTTTAGTACATAAACACACATTTATGAATCGCTTTTGATATTACATGAATAAGTGAACAAGTATGTTCACGGACGGCGTGATCAACTCGTGATTCATTCGATTAATTCTAGAGAATAGAAGAGAGAAAGAATAGTTGTCCAGTGATTTTATACATGAATATTTCTATGATCCAGATGTCACACACGATCAATGAGATGAGATGAGATACTTATTCGAGATAGATTTAGAAAATTCACTCATCTAAAGAAAAAAAATTCAAGGGCAATCAACTGATATGTATCGGCATAGGAAAATCTATCTTCGAGCAAATAAGATAATTTTCCCTTCTGTCGACTGATTTCTTGTTTTTTTCAGCAAACCAAAAGCGATCATTAGCGATCTTCACAGATGTCGTTTAGCATGCACGATTGAGAGACTGATTGCGAGGAATATCGACAGATTTAATAGTAAAAAAAAATAACAAACAACAATCAAAATTCGAATCTGTACTCAGAATATAATTGTAAACAAAGCAATTTTCAATGATCGAAATTCGAAGTCAATTACTATTGAGAAAAAAGACGAGATTTTTCCTAGGTGATGCATAGGAACTTCAATGTAAGTCTCTTTCGTTTCCAGGACAAGTATCGTCTAGTTCTTCTGATGTTTCAAATGTTTGTCCACACCAAATACAGTACAAATGTTTATCTCGTAAATATTCTGTCAATGTTTTCAATTGTAATTCCATGACTACTTGTTGATTGTTACCATCGTCGAAATCTTCATCTTCTTCACCTTTTTCATCTTGTTGTATGTTGCTATTTCTCCAGAGAATGTTCTCTTCAAGATTGAATTTTTCTCGGTCGAGTTTCTCACATATGGATTGACATTTACCAATATCTTTTCGTAGACGTTTGAAATGATATTTTTGTTTTAAATGATCTTGATAAGTTGACTGAGCTTGTTGATGAAATTTTGTTCTAATTTCTGCTTTGATACGAAGTTGCTCTTCTTTTTCATTTTGTTCACCAAGACCAGTACGTGACGGAAGAATTTTTATTGGAATTGGCTCGGCTAGACCATTCGATTGATTCATACCCAGTTTTGTCCCTTCTTTATAGCCCATCTTCTTTAACAGTTGAAAACCTTTATTATCACTTGCTATTGCAGTAGATAAACCTTGTTCGCGTTGTTCAGTTTCAATTAATTTACGAGATTTTTCCTTTGGAAGAGGTGCAGAGGTTGGTGGTGGAACACGCCGACGAGGATTCAGTAACTGTGGAGCTGATGCTTGAGCAGCAGCTGTTAAGATTTTGTCAGACATGTAGTCATCTTCATCATCTTCGTCTTCATGAAGGCGTTTCAACATTCTACTTCTTAAATCTCAACTAAAGTTGAAAATGAATGCAATCGAATTGAGCCGAGTCCAGCGAAGTGACGAAATTATCATTGATCATTCTCGCAACCATTCTATGATGCATGCGAAATAACTCACTTCAGATGGCGCTAGATCTTTCAGATAGATCAAGAATGAGAGTAAATTTTATTTAGATAAATATATGACAGATTACTCATCGACAATCAATGACATTTTTCGGATAGTCACAAAGTTGAGTACGAAAATTGAATATCGTCATCTGCGGACATTCACCTTTCGTTCTAAAATAAAGTTTTCTAAATTAAAGATGTTCTTCTCGCTTGTATTCAAGACACTTTACCTCTGTTGACAATCGATGAATCGTCGGCAATTACCAGGATAACGGATTCTCACTGGATTCGGTTCTATTCTTGGGCATGGATCGACTAAACTCGTGAACAATAAGTACTAACAAGTAAAAGACGACGTTTTAAATCTACAAACCACATCTTTGACTTTCGTCCGGTATAAATTGAAATGCACATTGACATGCGCCATCGCGGCATTCAGCATTTTCAATACATTCGGCAGTCGCTTGTTCACAAACTGCGCCTGAGTCTCCTCGACATTTATGTTCCAGTGAGTAATATCGATAATTCAGTTCACATGAACATGTCGACGCTGTTGCTGTTTTGTTACAGATTAAATTAGAGAGACAATCAGTTGTTGTCTGACATGGTGCATCATATTCACCACCTTAGTTAACACAGAAACTATGACGAAGTACGGAAAAGCACTGATTTACTCACGGCACTGCTTTCGATCGAAATCATAATGATACAGGTTTTGACAATGGCAACGTCGTGTCCGATCTTCCATACCTGAACAGAGCATATATCGTTGACAATCCTTATCTTTCGTACATATTGCATCCAGATCGCCAACTAAAGCGAATAGATATCATTTGATTGAATAGAAATCTTTGGCTGATTGCTATACATACTACATTGGTTGTTAACTAAAGTGTAGTTTATTGCACATCGGCATATACCTGATGATGATGCTCGGTTTTTAAAGCATGTAAAAGGTCGTTTACAATCATTGTTATTCGTACACGCTTCACCATACTGCGCCACTAGAAACCTGATATGTATAATTGGAGAATGAATTAGATCAGTCATTACCGCCTTCAATAACAGCAGAGTTAATTTGAGTGACTTCTTGGCCAAGAACTAACGATTTTCCTATCGAAGTCGTGCTCTAGATGTAAAACGAAACATTTTGTCTGAACACAAACACAGCTACCTGGAAATGTCCATATTAGAAAAATTATCACAACGAGTAAACCTAACATAATAAGAACGTAAATAAGTAGAAGACAACTTAACAAACGTCTTTCTTTCGATAATCGCTTGAATCGATGTTGTAATCTGGAAGACATAAATCTTTCTTCGGTAGCATTGTTTACTCTTAACATTACCTTCTGAATTGTTCAGAAAATGAGACATTTGAATCAGTTGATGAAAGAATCGTTTTCGTATCATCATCGTCATCATCAAAGTACCGATGACTAACATAAGGTGGTTCGGATTTTTCCGTGTTTGTTTGCGTAGTAACATTCTCAGTTTCATTGTTCGAAATCGGATCTGTTTCTACTGCTTTATCACAATATTCAATCGGTTCCACATTGGCTTTTGTATGTTGTTGTTGTTGTTGTTCACCATCTACCATAGTCGTATCATATTCATGATGTAATTCGAATTGCGGGGATGGTAAATCGACTTGAATAGCTTCATCTACTTGTTCAATATCTGTTTTAAATGTATTTTTTTCATTTGACTCTGTTCCGATACACTTATCATCGAAATGATCATGTACTATCCGAGTTTTCTGCTGCTGTTGTAATGATTGACGAAGATTGGTTTTACTTAGTCGATCCGATTCAATAGTAAAAATCGATATTGTTTCATAATTATGTCTTAATTTTGGTTTGAATTTCGTCTCTTGTTGACTTTGTACATATGGATACTGATGGCCGAGATATGCATCGCGAGCATCGCACCATCGTTTCATTGCTGCATCAGACATCGGAGGTATATGCAAAGCAGGAAGATTTGCTGCAGGATTATTACGATTTGATGACAACGGGACTTTCGATGTGTGACGAGAATGACTAGTCATCAAACTTACGTTATCCATGTTGAAAAATATATTTGAGAACACGAGCGACTTGACGAGATGATGTTGAAGGTTGTCTACGTTATAGAATATTTTTATTTTATCTATTCTTTCTTTTTTGTAGACGCGTCTTCTTGAAAAGATTGAATTACACAGCTGATTTCCATCGTCCTTCGTATTCATAACAATGTTTTCTTTTCGATTAAATATCTCATAAAAGTAGTTTTATTTCAAGAATTGAATCGCTAGACAAGAGAGAAAACACTCGAATCATATTCGGCATTTCACTAATGATAGAAGTATCCAATGGGCAGGAAGGAGATTACATAAATATACGATGTGAGCATTTTTGTTGAAGACGAAGACAGACTGGCTAGAACTTTTGCCGGTAATGATGCTTTCGTTGTTGATGCCCATGTTGGATTTTCGTAGTTAAATATCGGATGATTGATCAGTGATTTCGGCATGCCAACTTCGTAATTACCGCAATGACCATTCAAGATAGGTTGAGCGGGTATTCCTCGTCTAGATATACAGAAATCAAATCAATTGGAATTCATTTTAACACAAACCTTAATAAACGACATCGATGAACATCCTATACAAGAAACCATACGGAACACGTGAATGAACCAAATGCAAATAAATACTTACCAATCGAAACTGAGCATCCTCAGAATTATTGATCGTTGCAGGACTCCATAAGCGTTCAGCTACTGCAGATGCTTTAGGCCAAAATCGTGATAGGAGATTTGTTCCATCAACAAACTCGCCCCATAGACAAGCTTCTCCACCAAGAATGCGTTCTTTAGCCTCATTTGACCCTGAAATAAAAACTCCACAGTTGTACTCATTCTTCCACATGAAATCTTACCTGAAAATTGTCGCAATGGTTCAACTTCGTAGTATTTAAAAAATTCAAGATTCATCACTGATCTGTCCGTATTGTATTTGCCATAACTGATATAATTCAGATACCAAGGACTTGATAAAATAACATTGTAGCCTTCATTTGCTGCTCGATTCAGATACGATGCCCACGAATCAAATTCTATATTATCACTTGAATCTTTCCATACTTGAATAATCGTACCTGGTGGTAACTGAAAACAAAAGCGTAAAATAAAAAAAGTAATGCAATGAATGTAAGTCATACTTCAACTTTCTCATCCCAAACATCTTGCCAAACAATGGGTGTTACACTAATATTTCGAGTGATGTCAAGAATTCGGTCAGCATAATATTTCTGAAGACTCTTAGTACTTAAAATATTATTGTCGACCATCCATTGACGAATATTCGGATTGGACAGCCTGAAAGTAGCTCGTCGACTTATTCGAAAGTTCTGTTCAAAACACAAGGAATGTGACTTACCAACATTTGTCATAAACTTCGTCCATACCTGTTCGTGAACAAACACAAAGCACACATTCTTTCATTGTTTATCAAACATGAACTTCTCTTTCTACATACCGAGATGAATGTAATTCGAAGGAAATCGTTCTTTGATTTCTCGAAGAAGTGCATCCATCGTTGAATACACTCGTGGTTCACTTGGATTGAAGATTTCCATTTCACCTTGGATAGAATAGATCGCTTGATACGGTTTACCATGTGCCCAACAAACCGTTATCAATTCAGGCATAGATTTACTCCACGAGAATGTATGTCCGGGTGTGTCAATCTAATAAATCGATGAGAAAGATATTGAGAAAGCAGAACTCCGAGATGGTGCTTTACTTCAGGAATGACACGAATACCACGTAATCGAGCATGCTCAATAACGTCAGCAACATCAACAGGCGTATAGACATGATCAGGAGAAAACGCTCCCTGAAAGGATGATAATATTCGAAATGAGGATAGACGAAGAGAAATGCTAGTTATTACCGCTCGAGAAAGATTCGGAAATGTTTTACTTTCGAATGGAAATGATTGATCATCAACCAAATGCCAATGAAAGACGTTTATTTTGTTATACGACATAGTGTCCTAATAAAATCTGTTGTCAGCAATATATCGTGTACATTTGAAAGTAGTTACCAAATTCTTTTTGATCACTGGAACAGGGACGAAGTGCCGTGCGGTATCAAGCATTATACCACGATGACGAAATCGAGGACTATCAGTAATGTTAACCGAACTATTTATCACCACCTGAATGAATTAAAGATGAAAGCAATAGTTTTAAAGTCGTTTGAAACCTACATAATTTTGTTCATTGATATAGATCAGCTGTGAAAACGTTTCTAAACCACGCAATAAACCCCAAACAGACTCGGCTTCAACGACTGCAACCTTTTGTTTAATGGTTAGATTATCTGCGGAAAAGAAACAATGAGGTTTCTCGTCTTTTGATGGACGCTGATGACTCACAAGCTTCACTGGAGGTCAGTTCAATATACTTCTCACATTGACTTTTATTTTTAACATTCAATGTTAACGTTTGCAGAATATTTTCTGCGTCGGCTGGTGGCTGGTGCATATCAAGTGTTGGTGGGAAGAATAATGGTTTGTATCGTTCGATTGCTTTAGCAACAATATCGCAAGTTTCAATATTCGAGTCAACTTGAAGATCGTTCGGACGAATGTATAATAAATCGTTGGAAACTTCCATCTTTTGTGGATGTGGCCATACTACGTTTGGTGGAGCTAGTTTGCCCTTGAAATACATTTTTTAAATACTTTCCTCGATTTCGTTCCTTAACTTACCGTTAATGGATATTTTACTTCGATATAAGTAATATCACATTGAATATTTACGAAACATATGATGAATAGTAGACACTTCATGTTACTAAATACAAAGGACACAACAAGAAACAATTGTTCGAACTGATCAAATCACCAAGCTTATTGTCCGTTGTTTCGCTTTTATTTAAACAAGTCCGCTCGATGATCGCTGAATAAATATGAGCCGGTTTACATCATCATTATCAATAGTAAAAACGAAGCAATTGAGAGAGATAGAAAGGAAGGAAGGAAGGGGTTTTCCGTTTTATTTTGTCTCTTCAAACACAGACACACACACACGTACATATATATGTTTGATCTGCCTTACTGAACGGTTGATGATAATAATACGCATACATTAGCAAAGGACACAACGACAAATAGAAAAGGGATTTTCTTTTCGTCTAAGTTTTTTAATCTCTGAACTGAAAAATGAGAATTCGGGTTTTTTTAGCCTTTAGAAACGAGATCGCGGTATGTTTTTCGCGTCTTGATAACAACAACAACAATAATAATAATAATGATCAACGAAACAGGAAAGAAAAAACCGAGAGTTAACAAAAAAAGGTGCGTCTAGATAATCGAACTACGCATGAGATGAGAAAAATCAAACGAAAGAACATAAAAAAAGACGATCTATGTGTGTGTAAATGTCAATGTGTTTGCTTGCTTCCTTTATAAATTTTTTTTATGTGGCTGCTGCGTTTGATGCGGCTTGTTTAGCTGCATACATTTGTTTAGCTTGGTGAGCTTGAAGTACGGCAATAGCTTCTTCAACCTAGACAGAGAGACGATTCGATCTGGATTTTAGCATGGAAGAAAATGAACGTACTTTAGCTTTGAGTGATTCACGAGATTCAAGCATATGGAGAAGTTCGGTGTTATCGATTTCCAAAAGCATACCAGTGATTTTACCAGCTAATTCAGGTTGCATATGTTGGATCAAAGGAAATAAACGTTCGCCTAACATTTGTTTTTGTTCTTGTGGTGTTGCATTAGCAAGTGCGGCTGGTGTTAATGGTTCTTGACCAGCGACAACAATTGAACCTTGATATGAAGCTTGATTCTACAAATAAACAAGAAACGATGGGTTTTACTTTTCCGAAATTCTATTCCTTCTCAATAATACATACGTTTGGTGGCATATTTCGTGCTGTACGTGTATAAGCTGTTGCTGGCTGTTGTTGAACACCTCCTTGGGCTCGAACTTGATTGTTACCCATCATTTGTCCTGGTGCTGGTGTTGGACGAGCGGACATGGACATACCTGGCCGTGATGCAATTCCAGTCATGGCTGATCGTTGGGCAGCCATTGCNCGTATTCACATACGTCAAGCCGTCGTGAATTCACCTCACAGAATTAAAATAAAAGTGTTACATCTAACTGTACGTGTTATTTTTCGACCATCATCTCAGAATGGATCTGTTTATGTTGATTGTTTTTAGTAAGAAATGTATATGTTAGATTTTATCTGTAATCGAAATAAATATAAACACTTACACGTACTATAAGGCACTCGATAGAATTGAATTATTCATCTTAATTTTATCTCATTAAATTCATCGATGATCAACTGGTACAGTTCGAGCACTTGTTAAACATGAATCGACGACAGATTTATCACTGTCAATCAATTTAGAAAAACAACTTCCTATACAGGATTTATTTTGAGGATATAAGGTCTACAAATACTTCCATCAAATGACGCAATAAAATAAAGAAAATATTTGTCATATTAATGATGATCTATATATGAAATAAAGAAAAGAGATTAGGCCTTTTTTTGCTTGCTATAACTATCTTATTTGTTTCCATACCAATGAATAGACAATGTCTTCTCAATTGAAGACATACAATTATGTTGATCTTGCCTTCATCTATAGAACAAACAGTGGAAGAAGGACAGTTGCGGGCGTGAAAGATGATAGGCGAATATAGAATAGAGAGGACGTTTCCTTCGAAGGAAAGGCGACAAGCAACAACTTCCTTTCGCATTTTGTTATATCTTGATAACGTTCTATATATCCTTACGACGACAATCATTAGTAGATTGAAAAAGAGAAAAGTGTTGTCCTAATAGAACTAAACAAGTAAATACAACGCGAAGTCGCTGCTGTTGTTGGTATGACTCAATAAATGAATGTGTACGCTGATTAACCACATATATCTTGACGGTATGTCATCTAAACTGGAACTAATGAGTTAGTTATAGGGCAATATTTGTATATTTATGAAGGAAACATTCGTACATTTACTCGAGAGTATTGAGTTTTCAAGCGCGGTGTAAGAACTTGTCTAGAACGGAATCATATCAGATAGAATATCGGCATTTTTCTGCTCTCAAACTACTTCCGTCTGGAAAATTCTTTTCGAGATTAGCTCGATGTATAACGATTAAGATTACTCTTTCCAATCAAATATTGACATGTTAAATATGTTGTCAAGATCGTTTCTTAGCTAATAGCCGCAAACTCTTTTTCCTTCGGAGAAAAACCTGAGTCTTTATTTTGAGTTTGTGTATTGAATTCTCCTCTTTTCATGTGGACAAGTAACTCATCTATCATATCGTCATCTGTCATCGAATAAAGTTCTTTTACAGTATAAGAAACATCTTGATATGCCAACTGGATGTTTTCTTTCTTAAATGAAGAAAGCCTTTCAATCATCTATTGGAAATATAGAGACATAAATCATTGAGTGCGGTGTGCGTTAATGAACTACATTCGATTATCATATCGGCATGTCGATACCAGTGAGTAAATATTGGAAAACAAGTTTGGCTTATTCTCTTCGTCTCCTCTCTTTTGATTGTATATCCTCAGGAAAGTAAAGCAAATAATTTACTTAGTTTATCAGGATGCAACTAAATCATATGGATAGAATTGTGTATGAAGAAATAGACAAATGTATTGTTTTTCTTAACGAAATTCGAACTAACTTTGTTTGCTTCGACACTATAGATATGTCACTTGTAATATAAATAAGACATCTATCGCTTGATGAGAAGAAAGAGAAGAAAGATGTTATCTATTTTTCTCGATTTTCTCGAAAGAAATAGGACTCGTTATATAGATGATTTTTCACGAAGATCAGAGCATCTACACTTTTCCAACGGATATATCTCGAGCTTTGAAAATTTTTCTAGCAAACAAGGCGAGTAGAATTGACGTTCAATTGAAAACTGTTTTCTTTTTAAACATATTTTATTTTAGTTTGATTACTTGTAAAATCTTCTTCATTATCCATTTGCAACGAAGAAGATTCGATCACTTTTCAATTGCTTACAAGTTATTCGACGAGAATGTCATCCAAACATACAATATTTGCCGAAACAGTTAATTCCTTCGGTATCCCACTGAAATCGAATGGTAGCAAAGCGACGACGACTGTTATTGCAATTCGGTAAGCGTCGCAGGATAGATTCAATGATCAAAATCTTCTTACATAACTCGCTCAATTAATTATCTGTTTACTTATTGATTATCATAGCAATACTCATTTTCTTCCTTTCTAAGCATGTAATTCAATACGGAATAGGATGAGAAGAAAGAGTCAATCGGGTTTGCCAGCATGTGTTACTATGTTTTAGACAATGTGTCTGTCGTCAATGATGTTAATTGTTACTTTGATTATAAAAGAAGCGAACGAAGGGTTGATTTCCACGAAGGAATAAAGAGGAAATCTTCGGAAGATGATAGACAGATCTGTCTGTTGTTATTGAGAGAGAAAACAAACATATCGAAGATAATTTCTGTCTAATATCATCGATAATCGTTCAATGATTTTCAAATTGTGTATTGTTTTTAGAGAAACTGAGAAGCCGGACGTACATGATATGAACTATCTTAATCATCGATTTGCTGCCTATGTTGAACGCGTGCGATTTTTAGAAGGTCAAAACCGGAAACTTCAACTCGAAATCGATCAAATACGGTAGATTTTGTTTTTGTGAAATCATCTTTCGGAGAATGATCTGTAAATACAACAACTACTTTTAGTTCACAATGGACTTCGCAAAAACATCGATTGAAAGAAATGTACGAAATCGAAGTACGTGAAGCATGCCATATCATAGATGATACTGAAAAAGATCGTATCGAAGCTGACCTTCGCGTGAGACATGCCGAACAAGAACTTACACAATTAAAAGACAAGTATGTTCGAAACAAGAAACAGATCTCTGTTGCAATCGAAAGCGAAATTTTCGATTTTGCTTTTCTAGATTTACATCACTAGTTGGAAAAGGCTCCGATCGACGAAAAATCGACCAGTTACAAAAGCAGATATGCGACAACGAAGCAGATATCCATCTATTTCATCGTCGTCTAAGTAAGTTTTGCTTCTTTCATCAGAATCCAAGGCGAACATCGATATGGGCAGATAATTCTTGATATTTTATCATGATAATCAAACGCGTACGCACTTTGTCTGTCTAGATGATTTACAAGAAGAACAGAAACGTTATCGAATGACCTCTCAAAATCTTATCTTAGATATTCAACAGATAACCAAAGAATTAGATCATGAAATCATTACACGAGTTCAATTAGAAAATCAAAAAGAAAAACTCGAAGAGGAGATTGAACTTTTGAAACGTCTTCATGCACAAAAAATTGAACAAATTAAACAAATAAGTTTAATCAATGTATCATTCGATCCAACCAATCTATTCGAACATCAGTTATCGACGGCGATTAAAACAATCCGTGCAGAATATGATCAACGGAATTATCATCTACGAAATGAATTAGAAGCGTGGTATCAATGGAAAGTCGCGCAAGCAGTAGGAATAAATCGAACTTGAAGTGCTCACTGTTTCTGTTCTACTAGATACAAGACGTACAATCCTGTCGAGCTATTGAACAAACAGAAAATGTTCGTAGCAAAGATGAATTTCGAAAATTAGAAGTATTGATGGCAGAATCTCGACAGGATATAGCAGCGATGCGACAAAGAGTAATTTAGTTGCGTTTCTTCTCTTTTGCATAGAGACAAGCTTTGGTTCTTTGATTGTTGTAGAATGGAAGTATTGAAAATCGTATTCGAGAGTTGGAAAAATCGATTCGTTCAGAACGAGACGGTCAAATTCGTGCAACGGACGAACATTATCATCAAATACAAGATTTACAAGCACGTCTCGATGAATTAGATCGAGATTATACTGATGTAATTTCAACAAAATCATCTCTTCATTCAGAAATTGCTGGTTATCGGAAATTACTTGACGGAAGAGAGCACAGGTACGATATATATAGTGTTCTATTTCACCTTTTACACAATATTCTCCTATGTGTAAATTCTAGCGCAAGTCTTGCACCATTATCAACACAACCACTCAATCATTTACAGAGTGAAAGGCCATATGCAGATTCATATCCACGGTTCCGCACGAAACCTAGCAGCGGTCCAAGTAACAGACGAACATTTCTACTCATCATATTGCATATTTGTTGCTATTCATTCTATTTGTAGTTCTCAGAAATAACTATTCAATTCTGACACCTTGTGTACCATTCAGATCTGTGGAGTCAACTCAAACGGAAACGACCATATTCGACAAAGTCTATGGTAGACATCGACGTCCATTGACGATTAGTTCGAATATTCCATGGACGTCCATCGTTGAACATTCGTGGTCACAACAATGGAATGAAGGTGATGTTATTCAAACTCGAAGTTTCAAGGCGAAGACTTTTTACGAGGCTAGTCACATACGAGGACTTCGACGTCGAAAATCCATCACACCACCAAGCTCAGACTATACAGATGCCTATCTATCTATGTTTGCTCCAAAACCAAATCCCAGGAGATCTATGTATCGCTTAACGACTCCGATCTTTGCGAATGTTGAACCACTACCATCGGTATCGAGGCGAATAGATTTATCTACGGACAATGAATTTAGAACGAGCGAAACTCGTTTTAATCCAGTGAATAGTATACTAACATCGAATTCTTTCGATCGCGCCAATCTAATTTCAGCACCTTCATCTAACCTTTTGTCTGTTTCATCTAAAGACTCGTCGTCATTTGAAAACCAACTATCGGATTCCAATTATTCATCGTCGAAGGAAATAACTGATGTTCAGCCACAACTGTCTTCATCCGCATATCTAGTTACTGATCGTTCTGAGTCGCCGTATGAAAATATTGCTATAATGGCACCACCTACTGATCTTATTCCATCACTATCGTCGTCACCGAAACCTTCTGTATCACGACAGTCATCATTAGTCAATGACACCAACCAAGACGATGTTAATCTAGAAAAGGCTGAAAAATTGAACGCATCTCTAATGTTTATCGATGAAG